ATGGTGTTAAAGTCAGCTCTGTTATAATCTCTGATCATTTTAAAACAGTTGGATGAGCGCAAATGTGGAAACGATAGAGAAAAATGAATTATGTCGTGATCACTTAACACAGGCAGCAGTGTTATCGGGGACACAAGATCTCGAGATGACGTCAACACGAGATCTAGAAGTGATGATGTAGTCGAGGTGACACGTGTGGGATGCTGAACTAATTGTGATAGCCCAAAGTCATTGCAAATCGAAAGAAATTCGGTAGATTCAGATGACGTTGCCATAGAGCACTGGTAAGTGTCTGACCACTGAATGGCCGGGAAGTTAAAATCGCCTAAAAGAATAATAGTCGCACCTGGGAAACGAACAGTAATCTGGTTTAAGCAGTCATGAAAAGAATCGCAAAAGTTCGATGGGCTGGATGGGGGTCGGTAACAAACTGCAATTATTAGGTTTTTAAAGCCAGTACGAATACAACACGATACCGATTCTAAGTCGGTGAGAACAGGAACAAGGAAACATTCAATGTCATCTTTAATCGCAAGTAGAACACCACCACCTCGTCGCTCATATCTGTCACAGCGAAAGACCTTGTAACGTTGTTCACATTTTAATAATTCGGCATCAGAGACTGTATTCGACAACCACGTTTCAGTTAGAGCGACAATACCAGCGTCACAATCATTCATCAGGGCACACAAGTCATCACTTTTTGACAAAAAGCTACGTATGTTAGTACTTATTACGGAGAGAGCACCGCCCCCTGCATGACCCTAACTTAGATCACTTTGCAACATACGGCCAGACCGGAGTCGACGCGGGGAGGCAGCATGACTATTTGCGGTTCTGTGTGTGATATTACTGATTTTTTCGTCGTTATTTACAGCGTCGCTAATACTTGCGCCATCTCCTACGTTATTACTAGCCGGGGAACTTTTTGTTGTGGATGGACCGATGACGTACACTGCTTTAGTGGTTTTATCATAGCCGTAGCATTTTCCGTTGGCGAAATGTTTCGTGTGTTGAAGATTGAACGGAACATGCAGTCCTTTGCCATATTCGTACAGAGCCTTTCTCGTATCATGCGTAGTTGCACAAAAGTCCTCACTCATAGAAACATTGCAGCCTTTTAGTAAGAAGCGTTTAATCAAAAACGGTTTCTTTTGTTTTGTAGGCCGAAAATTTTACGATAAGAAGGCGGTTCCAGCCACTAGAGAATTTGCCAATTCTATGCGCACGGGCTATACTATCGGACGATGTCGTCAGCTGAAGCTTGCTAGCGAAAAGTTTAAGAACTTTCTTTTCAGATTGTTCGGCAGTCTCTGAAGCGACATCTTCAATCTGAAAGAACACAACGTTGTCCCTTCGGGAGCGGTCCTCGAGATTGTCAAGACGGGTTCGAAGCGAGTTCGTTTCAGTTTCCACGCGCTCCACTGCAGCACGTGTCGCATTAAGGTCTTCCCTCACGCTGTCGAAACAAGCTAACTGGCTTTCCACAGAACCCAGACGCTTGCCAATGTCGGCGATTTGGCTCATAGCTGCTTTCTGTTGCTCTTTTAACTCGGATATGTCATTGGACATGGCTGTTTTGGATGCCTCTATTCTAATAGACCGCGCGGACAAGTCCTTCAGCATTTTGGCAATATCTGCCAGAGAATTATCGCCAGGACCAGGATTTTGCTCCACATCCCCACACATAAGCAAGAAAAGGGCACTGAATGATTCAAGCAATGCTTCTGGGCATGGAAGCACCTCAAGAAAGCGATCATCAGATTTGAAACGGGAATGAGGAAGTTGACTAAGGTAACTAACCTGCGAAAAAACGAAGAACCACGGTATGAGCATTGTTCTCTCGGCGCCTCCATGCCCACTGGTGAAGACTAGCGCGCGTCCTGGGTTTGTAGGCCGCGGTGGCGCCACTGTTGCAACTGTCGATGTCGATCCGGGATAGCTCGCAACGAAGCTTGCTTGAGCAGGAAGCGTAGCACGAATATGTGGTTCGAGCGGCGTCGGTGTGTGCGTGGATATATGCGATAGGCACATGCCGGTATCGTTGGCGGCGAAACGCATGGCACGAGGGCTGTCAAGGGAGACACTCATGCTGCTATCACCCATAAATACATCGGGCTGGAAGCTGTCAGCACAGGCGCCAATAATCTCTTGGTGGTTGTTGACGATCCAGTTACTGGAGCTGAGCTTGAGCACCACGAACGCCCTGATCAGTTCGCCGGTTGTCTTGCTCTTGTAGGCCGCCCTGGCGTCGTTGAAGCTCAGGTCAAGCGGGTCCCGCTGCGGCGGCAACTCGGCGCTGCTGCTCTCTGAGGTGGCCCGATCGAGTGCGGCCGGCGATGCGCTGGACTTGAGCCGCCGACCGTTTGCCGTGGACGATGCGGCGCGGAGCACATGACAGCAGCGCACGAAACTACATCGTGGCGGTATCGTCCTGCCGTGCAACTCAGAGAAAAGCCGGAGGGCAGCAATCAGCCCTCGACGATCACCACCTGCTCCGATGGGCGAGAACGCAACAAGCGAGACTACCCCTGGCTCGGAAGACAAAAATAATCTGGTCATCTAGGTTACTCGCGAACGCTCGCCAGAGTGAGGGAGGTGTACTACTGGCTCGGACTTTCGGCAAGCGTGAAGCAGTACGTTAAAAGCTGTCGTGAATGCCAGCGTCGAAAGTCGCCACCAAGCAAGCCAGCTGGATTACTTCAGCCAATTGATCCACCCCACAAGCCATTTGACTAAGTCGGCATGGACATTCTCGGCCCTTTTCCTTTATCGTCAGACGGCAACAAATGGGTCATTGTTGCAACTGACTATTTGACCCGCTATGCTGAGACACAGGTGATACCACGAGCCACGGCTTCTGAGGTAGCACAGTTCTTCATGTGCCACATTGTTCTGCGCCACGGTGCTCCATCTACAGTGATAACTGACAGAGGAACAGCGTTCACTGCACAGCTTATGGATGAAGTTTTTCGGCTAAGTAACACTAAACATCGAATGACGACTGCTTACCATCCACAGAGCAACGGCTTAACCGAGCGACTAAATAAGACAGTCACAAACATGATCTCCATGTACATCGACGTCCAACACAAAACTTGGGATCGCATTTTGCCTTATGTGACGTTCGCTTATAACACCGCCATTCAAGAAACAACCCGATTTACACCGTTTCGCCTTCTTTACGGCCGCGAAGTTCAGACGATGCTGGATGCGATGCTTCCTTGTGAAGGCGCCGATCAATTAACAACTGACGCAGAAGAATTTGCAGAGCATGCCGAGGAAACTCGCCAGCTTGCCCGGCTACACATTGGTCAGCAGCAACAGGTCGATGCACGACGTTACAATATGCGTCACAATGATGTATCTTATAGTCCGGGAGACCAAGTTTGGGTTTGGACCCCTGTTCCACGCCGTGCCCTCTCCGAAAAGTTGCTCAGCAGATACTTCGGTCCGTATAAAGTATTACGCCGCGTGAGCGACGTAAACTACGAAGTAGTTCTGGACGCCACGTCGTCACGATGGGTACAACGAAAACAACCAACCTCTGACGCCACGTCGTCACGATGGGTACAACGAAAACAACCAACCTCTGACATAGTTCACGTGGTGCGCATGAAGCCTTATTTTGTGCGTTCCTAAAAGACCACTTTTTCTGTGTTATTTTTTATTTGTGCTCCGACAATTGCCTCATCATTGGTGAACTTATCGCATCTAACATTTGATTATTGGTGCCCTTTTTCATTGTTTAAGCTACATTGTTTTGTTTTTTTCAATAACTTTACAGCATCGGGATGATGCTCTTTCTTTTTTTTTTGTTGAGGAGGAATATTGCCACCTACTTCGAGTAGTGGGTCGTATGCCAAGGTGAAGGCTCACACCATAGAGAAGAAAGAAGTGCGCAAGGGGCCCCGCTCTGGCAAACAAGCCCAACCGACGTGCTTGGTTAGAGCCCTGTTGCTCAGACGTCAATAAACCTTGTCGACACCCCCTGGAGTGACATGACAATATAAACAATAGCAGACGCCGTCGAAATCTGTGACATCATGCCGTTTCATGTGGGAATTTCAAGGCGGCTGCGCCACTTACACTTTTGTCTTCATGCATTTCTCGTTTAGCAAGCGTCTCCTAACAGCAAGGGTGGTGCTATCAGTATTGTGAAATTTTAATTTACTTCAGTGACAAATAGTTACCTAATTGAGTTAAGTGACAAATATTTAAAGGGACACCATAGGCAAAGGACAATTTCTGTCAGAGTGAAAGCTCGATGTAATGCAACGTCTAAAACTGCAATATTATTAACAGCAGTGCCTTGACGTGATGACGTGAAAATGTCTGCCTACAATTAATGGCTAGTAATCAAACTAGCTGCAATAAAAAAAAAAGAACTTTCCGTGCATCAGGAGATGTAATAAAATGCTGCTTGCCAGTTTCTGTTTGATTTATATAAAAAAGAAATGCCTGGTGTTACTATAGGTAATGGTTCGAGTGGTTCCTCCCCCTAAAAGACAGCTACGGGGCTCACTTTGCTCTTCTTTTCATTTATAATCACTTCCCCCCCCCCCCCCCCGAGTGGTTCAACAGCTCAGTTTTTGGCTAATCAAGCAAGCAGAATCATGGCCTCCGAAATTGCAGAAAATTGTGCAATGGCCGTTGTTGCTACTGTAGCTCCTGCTACTGTCGCTCTGCTGCTTTTGGTGTCGATGGCCGCGTAGTAAAAGCAGGCAACGTCTGGCATGAAAGCTGATGTGTAAGAGTCCGCTTCTATGCACGGGGTGATTTTATTTTAAAATAAGCACTTCCTTGGCACAAAACTAGCACTACGAGGTTTCTGGACGGCTATTTCAACAATCAGTGTCAACTTAATATTTAACTTAAGTATACTTATAAGTGACAAATACTGTAGTTTTTCTCCTTGGTGTCATTCTAAAACTTTGATTCTGGTTTTTATTTTTTTCAAATAAGAGTGATATAATAACCCATGCATATTTACCTTTCAGCTGCCCCCAAGGATAATGTCAGCCGGCAGAACTATGAAATGACTATCCAGGCCACTCCAGGTGAGTTGGTATTTCCCTCACTTTTGTGTGTGTGTGTGTGTGTGTGTGTGTGTGTGTGTGCGTGTGCACGTGTGTGTGTGCGTGCGTGTGTGTGTGTGTGTGTGTGTGCGTGTGTGTGTGTGTGTGTGTGTGTGTGTGTGTGTGTGTGTGTGTTCAGTCTTGTAAGGGTGGCACTTTTAGTACTTTAGTTTATGTAGCTGATTTACTGCAACATTGCCCCTTCATCTAGTGGACATTGCTCCAAGTTTTCCAGCTAAGTGGGCAGCATTGCACTGAATTTACAAAGAAAACATATTCTTTGCATCTACAAAGGAATAAGAGTTTTAGTTAACCGCTCAAATTTTTTATTGGCTTAGTCACCTCTATGCGACTCGACGACTTGGCTCGATGCCATGATGTGTAGCATATGGAGGTTTCATTGCCTGTTGTCATTGTATGGCATGTATGTTCGCACCATGTGATGCTTGCTAATGAAGAGATATGAAGAGACATCCGTTTCCATGGTCATTTGTGGCATGCACTAACACCTTTTAAGCTAAATATAGTAACCCAACACTATACTGTGTAAGAGGATGGCCGCCACTGTGGCTCATGGTTCGAGAATCACACACGCAGTGCAAAATACTATGTGAGGCTCTTAATATGTGGATGCAAGTAATAACGAAAGTTGAGTCTCTTCATCTACCTTGCTCTTCTTACTTGTCACTTGTGCAGACTCCCTGGACGACTGTGGGCTTCGGTACTTCCTGGCGGTGCGTCACCACACGTACTTGTTGCGGTGCCTGCCATTGGCACAGCGGGCGCAACTGCAACGCCACGGTCTGGGGCCTCACAACTTGGTCTGGGCTTTCCACTCGGAGACTCAAGAGGAGCTCGCGCAACTCATTCCAGCCCTGCAGAAGCCTACCCTACGTTGGTCTGAGCTTAGGGAACTCGGCATTGGCTGGTGGGTCCGTTCCAACCAGCTGCTAAGACGTATCATTGAGAAGGTAAGGGGGCTTGCTGCGCTAGCACAGTTGGTGTTACTGGCGTGTACCTGTAAACCAGGGGTTCTCAGCCATGGATGTGTCGAGGACCCCTTGTGGACTGGTGGAAGTGATGTTTGACTTCTTGCAGCAGAGGTTGAGAGGGGCGGGAGATGTACGTAAATTACCACAACAGAAGCGTGAAGCAGGTGCCTTTTATTGCTACCAAAAAAATCAAACAAACGTGCCACATCACTTCATTTTGGACAGTTCTTCAATACGTGGCACAGTCGCACTTAAACAAAGTTGTATACATATAAAAAAAATTGAAAAATGTTAAAAAATGTTGTTGAGGGTTTCGCAGATCATAAAAACAGCTTCGCAGACTCCTATGATCCGCAGACCCCATTTAAGAACCACTGCTGTAAACGTTCGTAATGGCAAAGATGGCTTCTTGGCGCTACACGTAAGCACGTGTGGGTGCACTCCGCACTTCGAAAGAACTACAAAAAGAGCACAAGCGTATATATAATTCATGAGGCTGCTCAGATGGCATTTGAAAGGAGCACATGCGTAAGCAAATCGTCAGTTGCCCTGTCAGAAAGAGTGCTCTGTTTTTTGGGGGGCGCGAGGGACAGCATAGCAGGCTTAGTGATTGTTGATGTTATTTTGCATTGTAACTTCTGTCATCTTTTTTGACTGTTTTTTGCTGTTCACTTGGGTGTGTATAACAGCCTTCCAGTCAATAAAATTTTAGTTGGAAGTCGGTGCTTGTCCCATGTTTTTTCTGTCCGCCGTGTGTTATTTTCACGCTGTTAACCTTAAGTATGCACAACGAACTAGCCCAGTCAGCCACTTTATGTTTTCACGGGCCCACCCCCAAACAATGTATTCACTTCTAATGAACTCCCCTGGCCTCAAAAGCGAGAGAAAGCCCTCGCATGGTGATCTACCCTCTCTGATGACGCAGGAAATACACGCACAGAAACATGGCTCGAGTAAATGACTGATGTATTCCGAAAAGGCTCTCTACAGTTCAAACTCTGTTTTACTTCAACAAACCTGTTGTCTCCATGGAATTTGAATTAATTAGATTACATTGTGATTATTTCGTATGTATCTTGTGTATGCTAAAATGTTCATTTGCTAGAGAAAGTTTTATAGCCAAGCGCAAGGCCAGGCATCATTGATGAGCTCAATTCTTGCCACAGTGATTGTAAATTCAAAGACAGGGGAACCAAATGCAAGAACACTGCAGTATACACAGGTTCTCACTGAAGAAACCACAACTGATTCAAATCTATTGAAAGTTTTCTACTACAGTGCTTGAAGGCCTAGACATTGCTGTTAAATGCTAAACCCCATCAATAAATGACTGTTTATTAACTTTTTTTTTAATCATGACTTGGCTGCTACGGTGCTTGTAGCAGGCTGGCATTGTGCATTGTTACTCTTTATTTCAGTTGGCCAAAAGTTCCTTCACGGATAAGCAAAACCCCTTGGATGCTGCTCTTTACTATATGGCAATGAAAAAGAAAACAATCCTGGCTGGACTGTTCAGGTATGTGACACAGATGTACTGTAAAATGCCGAGCAAGTGCCCCCACCCGAGCAAGCACGCCTCTCCTTTTTTCGGGAGATCTGAAACAAGTGCGAAACAAGCGTTAATGACTGTTCCGGGAGTGAGCCAGCGCCCTCCCCCCAAATCTCGTCAGATTATTCTTAACATTGGTGGGGACGCTTGCTCGGCTTTTTTCGCTAGTTATATCCATGTTCTTGGCTCCTTATACTAAGCAAAAGTTCTATTGTCCTGGTGCCTGTTACACATCGTGTATTTTCTGACGCATTGTGTCGCTGCAGGACTGTGAACGACAAGCGGATGTCTGACTTTTTCCAAAATGACTTCTCTCAAGACCGTTGGAGAAAAGCGGCACTCAAGAATGCTTACGTGTTGCTTGGAAAACAGCAGTTTGAGTATGCTGCAGCCTTCTTCCTCCTGGCCAATGCTGTGAAGGATGCTGTGCAGGTAAACTGATATCTTGATTCCATAAGGAAGAAGTTGTTTTTTAATGGCCCAAGCTACTCTTTGTCGAGGTTGTCATGTTCAGTGTTGTGGTTTTGTGTTAGCCTCGTATTGTGGCGAGAGTGAGCTCGGTAGGACGGGGAGCGCTGCGTGTGCTGCGAGAGGGCGAGAGGTGAGGTCCAGGTTGTACATGTTGGGGACGTGCCCTGTCAACGAAAGGCTCTGTGGACGCCGCCACAATCTTTCCTGAGCTGTGTCCTTGGGTGCGTGACCCCTCCAACCCTAAATGAAAAGTGCACTGCCTAGGTTGTGATGTCAACTTTTGTTCACCCGTGCAACATTCCTGAAAGCAGGTGGTTTGTCAGTCCTTTAAAAATATCTATACAGACACATGTTTGTGTCATTGGTTTCAAAAGCTTGAACTCCTTGGCAATTTTCAGAGAAGTTTCTGACATCACTGCCCCAGAAAAAGTGCTATTTTAAAAAAGTGTGACAAACTTTTAATCACCAACATGCATAGTCTTTACATTAGCTGTGATAAATTACTTACATTTGCAATAAAAACTACCATGTACAACTCTCTTGCACAGACGAATGGCAGGTGTGCAGCAGTTCGGGCGGCATGTTCTTAAAGGGGCCCTTCAACACTTTCTGATCATAGTCAGAAAAGGTGCAAGCACATAATCCAAGAACATGCAAGCCAATTGTTATAGCATAGCGTGGTGCCTGGAATTTACCAATAAATTCTCAAAGGCAGCTAAAAATCTCTTTTCTCTCGACAAATGACGCTACAAACTCAAAAATCATTCGTCACACCCATTGTATTAGCCTTTGGCTGATTTCAGCATGGCGACCTTAGCTGTTACAGGGGCCGCCACGGAAGGCATGACTTACACGCGCAATCGTGCTGAAAAGCTTCATATTCGAAAAAAAAAAAAAAAAAAGGGAAGAGAGAAAAAGTACTCATGGTTGCAAGGCATGCGTGATGTATTTTTTTTACCCATGCCATTCCTCCCTGCTTAGCTTCCAGCACTTTCATGGGGACGAGAGAAGTGAAAATGCATTTGCAGTGTGTGAAAAATCTTTGTAACTGCGCTTTACTGGATGAATTCTAAAAATTTTTGTGGCGGTGAATATTGAGGCCTTAAAGGGACACTAAAGTCAAACTACTAAGTCGACTTTGATTGTTGAAATGGCGGTCCAGAAACCTTGTAGTATTACTTTTGTGTCTAGCAAGGGCCTATTTTGAAATAAAATCACGTTTTAGTGCTCCACATCGGGTCAGCGCTCTTCAAATTACCCACCTCAAGAAGTGGACCGACCCGACCGTCTCACGTCACTGTTGCTGTGCACAACGTTGCCCGGCTTTACTGCGCTAGTAGCAGCAGTACGAAAGCAGCGGGAGCCACAGCAGCAACAACCGCCATTGATCAATTTCCCGCCATTGGCTTCGACATTGCAGACACTTTTGTTTCAATTGAGTTCCACTAGATGGCACCACCTGTCCAGTGTAATCACGCAAAAATTGAATTTTTGAATCGCTCGGGCCATTCCGCATAGTAACGTCCGGCGTTTTTTTTTTTTTTTCCATGAATCAAACAGAAACGAACAAGCAGTATTTTATTGTGTCTCTTAATGCGTCGGAAGGTTCTTTATTTAGTGCAGTTAGGGTCGATTACTAGTGAATAATTATAGGCAGGCCCGTATGATGTCATCGAGATAATTTTGAAAGTGCCCTACTGCGGCGCTTGTGTTCTCTGCATTTACCTTAATTTCTCGGTAAGTGGAGCACTGTTGTTGATAATATTGTCATTTTAGATGTTGCCATATATAGATCTTTCACTCTGACTGGAAATTGTTATTTGACTTTAGTGTTCCTTTAATAAGTTTCCTTTAGTGAATTTATTCCATGGCTACTTGAAAAAGTGTTGTAGAGGTCCCTTGAGGTGATAATCAACTATATACAGGTACTTACTTAGCACTGCTGATTGACAGGTGTGCCTGAGCAAGCTTGAGGACTTGCAGCTGGCCATGGTGGTGGTACGCTTGTACGAAGGCGACCTCGATTCAGTTCCCGAGCACCTACGACGGCTGCTTCAACGCCTGAGGTGTTAGGCCAGCCTGAGGGCGCCGAAGGCACGTCTCTGGAACTGGCCAATCCAGATCCATTCCTGCGCTCCATGGCACTGTGGCTGCTGCAGCATTATGAGGAATCACTCACCACCCTGCTTCAGACACGTGTGGGGCAGGAGCATCACACGATACACCAGGAAACGCAGCAGCTGTCTAGCAGTACAGCTATGCAGGCTGCAGATGCCAACGACAAAGGTTCCATCACGAGTCTTACGACAGCTGATGACACGGGTGAGACCATGCTCGGCACAGCAAGCTTATGGTGGCTTTAGCTGTGTTTTCATTCTGTGCAATACCAATGATGTAATGTATTGGTTTTTTGCAATTTCTTCTTGGAGATACTGCAAGAATAGGTGTATTGAATGATAGCCTGGTGCTGGTGTGTCTTTTTATGCCAAGCAATGCCCGCACTGAAGTAATGGCACAAAATGACTTGTTTTGTGTGCAGTGAAGAGCAATGAAAAACTTAGGGTTCATTATTTGTAGTATTTAACTCTAATGTAGAAATTTACATGAATTGGGAGGAATTACAGTGGATAAAAAGTCAACTTGCCATTGGTGGGTACCAAACACACAGTCTCCAAAATGCAAATAGTGGGTTCAGTTTCTCATCCTGGCAATGGTGCAAGACTCATGCGATCATCCAAGATGGGCTTTTACTGCAGTGGTTTTTATCATGATTGAACAGTTTGTGGCTGAATAACATTTGAATCAGTGAGAGTGTGATGCTACTATACAATGCATATGTTTACAGGAAACAAAGGACAAGTTTGTGTTATTTTTTTCGCACAAGTCGTTTCTGGAGCAGAAGGGTATTTATTCAAAACTTAATACAAGTAATTCAAGAGTGAAAGCATTGTGCAAGGTTTGGCGCCAAGTCATCTTGGAAGCAGCAGTTAAGGAGTTTAATATTCAGTATAAACTGCTCACTTGGATAACTTCATAGTGTAAAGATGCTGTCGTCTTCTGTAAAATGGTTTTCGCCTCAAGGCACCCGGGCATCATACTGAGCTTGTATGCCGCCGAGCAAGAGTTGGCATGCTCCCGAGACGGGGCCAGTGGCACTGCCTGGCGTGAGCGAGGTTATGTTGGCCTAATCTTTTGAGGTTCAGTACGGCCTTGGACAACTGATTTTGGGGGGTTCGTGGGTGCAATACTGCGGCTCGTTCCCGCTCACTCCTGGGTTGAATCGATTGGCAGCAATGCTGCATACGTGGTACATTGCAGTGCTTTATGTTGTGTGTGTGCACTATTGGCATTATATTCAGTTATTGGTAATGTTTACATTAGTCATCTTATGAGATTCGACTGGCATGCTCGGCGTTGTTCACCATTATATGAAAGCTGATAATAAACATCCACATGTTTATTACACTATGCAGCGCACTTTCCTCATGTGTTCCTAAGAGCGGGTTATCTATACACTTCACAGCGGCAGGACTGGGATAAGCTGAGCTTTTCCTAAGTAAGAACATGATCAAAGAACAACGCTGTATTGGCTCATGCAGCTGACCCAGGGGTGTTCAACTTCTACCTCTACCTGCGCACACACCCACTGGTGGTGCGACGCAACCTGGCCAAGTCCATGAGCATGCGCCGCAAGCATGGCCGTGCGGTGCTGCTTTCAGGCTTCAAGCCCGGCAGCACAGTGACCAAGACGCTAACACCAGGAGGGGGCGACCAGCAGCGACACTATAACGCCGCTGGAGCGACGACTGTTTTCACAACAAGCCACGCACACTTCCGTGCGGGTTGCCCACCGCTTGCTCTAGAGGTGCTGTCGCGACTGCCCAACTGCATTCTTGACGGCAGTAGTAACGCCACAATCGAAGAAGGCTCTCCTGCCAAGAAAAAAGACTCTAATGCTGGAACTCCATCAGGCACCATCATCAACGGGCCAGTAAAACAGAGAGCTGAAGACTTTGACTGGAGGTAAGAAGCCTGTGTGACATTACAGGGTGAGGTTATCAGAGTGCATAAATGTTTTATACCGCATAATATCTTATTAAATGTTTATTTTATGATGCAAGATACCGTAAAACCCTGCTTAAATGTAATGTAGGTGAAAAACTGGGCTCAGATTGCAGCGGGCAGTGTTTTAACAAAACAAGCCACAAATTGGCAAACTCACTGCAATAGTTGCAGTGCAAGGATGATGCCAGGCGGGAAGGCGTAAGGGTTGGCGTGGAGGGGCAGCAGAAACAGCAATGAGTGTACATCTAATGTGTTTATCAGCAGAGGAGTTGATTTCCCTAAAACATCTTTGTCACCAGTCAGCCTGTGGCAAAGGCCCCACAGAAGGCAGAGGACTTTGACTGGAGCCAGCCCCTAAGCACAACTACAGCTGCCACGGAGAAAGCAGATGCATTTGACTGGAGCCAGCCTCTCAGCACGGATAAACCCAAGCACAAGGCAGACAGCATTGACTGGGATCAACTCCTGGCCAGCACTGACGCTCCTAATGTCGAGGACACCAAAGGCTCGAGGCAGTTTGAAGAAGGCAAGTAAAGAGTACTGCATTGCAGCTTGCAGCTGCTGTGCATGGGTTTCTTGGGAAGGTTACTGCAGAGGGAACTCCGTCACTTTCAAGAAATGCTATTTTTCTACTTGTCTAAAGACCATAAGAGTTCTGTGCATATGCATGGTTGTTGAGAGAAGTAGTATTTACTATGTTTTGTTTTGTTAAAAAATGCCAGTTCCACTAGAGGGGCGAAGCAATGATTGTGATGGCAACAAATTGTATGCTATTTTATCAAGTAAGACTAACAGCTATATCATTTAGCATCCGACCTGACAACTCGACAAAATGCTGGCGCAAGGAAACACTGCTGCTGTAATGAGCATGGCAGCCTTCGTCTGTTACTTCAATGCAAACCGAGTGGTGAGAACACAGCCCTCTAAAGGCAGGGGTCATTTGCCGATTCCTGTCAAGATCGGGTGCGCGAGGCTGTGCCTGGCCACTCGAAGTGCGCACTTTCTGCTGGAGACGGGCAGCCCTTTCCTACTTTCTACGACACCACCACAACTTTTGACATGAAAAAAAAAAAAAAAAGCCTAGCGCGTTTGCTGTCTGCTTGAGCCATGATCGTCTGCCCTCATATGCCTTTACTAGCACGCAGAATATTAAACATGCCTGCCGGTGTTTCCACCTTTATATACAACCTCATGGCGACAAACAAAGCTAGAATACGCCCAGTGCGTCTATATAATTGCCATCACAATCATCACCCTGACTACGTCCACTGCAGGACAAAGGCCTCACCCATGTTCCGCCAGTCAACTTGGTCCTGTCCTTACTGCTGCCACCTTATATCTGCAACTTCCTAATCTCATCTGCCCACATATATTTCTGTCTCCCCCTAACCTGCTTGCATTCTCTGGGAATCGAGTCAGTTGCCCTTAATGACCAGCGGTTATCCTGCATTCGTGCTACATGACCGGCCCATGCACATTTCCTTTTCTTGATTCCATCACAACAAAACAATCTTTTGCAATGCCACTTGACCATTAAAGAGAGATGCGGTTCGAAAAAAATTTCCATTAATCTGTAGCCTAGGGCAATGAAATTTTTGCTGTGTATTTAGGCTTTTATGCCGGTTTCACATATGTAAAGTTTTATAGTAAGTTGCACAGTTTTCGTTTTGTGCCATGACAATTTGTAAAGCATAGTTTATTTTGGACAAATTTTTAATGCCACTAAAACTTTATTGTTCTGAGTCATTAGTGGCTCAGATTGCTACCTATTAACTATATAATAGAAATAACTATCAAGGAAGTGCATATAAAACATTTTGATGGTCAAGAAAAATTGTAATGTGAGAATTCTCAGAGTCCTCAGCCCATACTAGTAACCTACTTTAGGTTTGTAATAATTATACAGGTAGTATCAAATTTTAAAGGAGATACTTGTACCCTTCACATGTTAAGGAATATGTACGCAAAATTTCATCCTGATCGGGCTATCAAAAGTACCAGAGACATTATGTTTAAACTCAAAAAGTTGCCCAAAGATAGATGAGAAAAATGCATTTTAAAGGTATCTCATCTATGCAGGAAAATCTATGAAAGCTCATCTATGCAGGAAATATATGTCGTTTTAGATGATTTCTGCCACCATGAAAGCTTGGCAATGACGGTTTTTTTGAGCGAGTGGTGTTAGTGAACTCCTCCTGCAAAATGCAATGGCAAGCAGCCAGGTGACAATTTCCTGGTGACTCTAGACAATGAGCACTTCTTTTAGTTTTTTAGTAGCCATATTGTGCTCTTTCAAAGCATTTTCAACTCCCATCTCTCCCTTAATTAAACCCAGGAGACATAAGCTTGAGCAAATACATGTAATACCCATCATACTTCTATTGGTTGAACTGCTGTGCTTGCAGTACTCAGAATATAAGTGTTGAAAGTACTTATAGCTGCACTTTCACACTGCAAGGTTAACTGCACATATTGTCGTTACTTCAGTTCATTCATTTTCAAGTTTAAAAGCATGTTATGCAAGCTTACATTAGTTACTCATTAAATGTAGTAACATTTAAAATGTTATGTATTTTGTCTAGTACAACTTGTACTCAGCTGCTATCCAAATTTTGCTACTAGTACTCGTAATTGCTTTCAGTTAACTTCAAACCTAAACAGTGACAATCCTGCATGCCTAGTTCTATTTTTAACAATATTGTGCAAGTTGGGTCATGACAGGTGCTCATTTTCCTTAATAATATGCAATATATAGTACTGTCTGAATTATTTGATTTTAAATTGTTCAAACAAGTCACTATTCGCTTCCAACCTCATACTTTCTATTATCCCATCCTCAGTATTTAGTACTTAATTCAAGAATATAGAGTAAAACCTCGTTAATTCGAACTCGGTTATTTCGAAATTCCGCTTAATTCGAAGGATTTCCGCGGTCCTGTATTTTTCAATGTAAGTTTGAGTGTATAATTTGAAGAGGCGGCTGGCACCAGTCCGGTCAATTCGAAAACTTTGGGTGCCATGTGCCAGTTCCTAATCCCGATTTTGCCGCGAATCCGCGGAACGACAGCTATTAATAGCCAGAAGGCAATGCAACGTATCGATACTAACGACCAGCAGCTGAAGCACTCCAGCCTCGTTACTTCTAGTGCAAAAAAAAGAAAAAAGAAAAAAAAAACGGCCTCGTGGTCAACAAAAACGTGTGCCTGCAGAAAACACGCCATGCTTCACTGCAACACAGTGGTGACACGCGGGCAGGTTATTGTATGTTTCTCGCAAAGTCAGCGGGTCATGGTTTACCCATGCTTTCTGAATTGTAAAGAAATTAATAAAGGTTAGTTTAGCGGAAATGGCGATGTATTCGAACCTCTGGTTGCCGATTGCTCCAGCAATTTGCACCTTTTCACTGCTGGCGGAGTTCTTGCCAGCAACGCCTACTTCGAAAATAAGTTTGAAAGTGTCAAAGATCATTTTTTCCAACCAAAACAAATCATGAGCTTTGTCGCACTGGCCATTAATAAAGTCGTAATTACAATAGAAGAAATGTGCGAATGGTCGCACCATGACGTTCTGACGAAGCGAGGAGCAGGCGACATACTGCCCGCGTCTCATTACTGTGTTGCAGTGAAGATGCCTTGCTTTCCGCAGGCGCACATTTCAGTCAATCACGAGCCCATTTGTTTTTGTTTTTGTTTTCGGTGGCAGCAGTGAGGCCCACTGTTCTTCCATGTTCGCGGCAAAATAAAGACCAGGTATTGCTGGAAAACATGACCTTCGGAGCCGCAAGCTAGCCGACACAGCAAACGACCAGCACTGATTACTTTGAATAATTCGAAGTTCCTTGCATCCCACTTCTTGTATGTTCTGTTAATTCGAAAACCCGCTTAATTCGAAGCTTTCTCGCGGCCCCTGTGACTTCGAATTAGCGAGGTTTACTTTGTCCCTATTTGTATTGTGTAAGTGGTCTGTGACAAGAAGAAAAAGTAAAGTGCAACTGTTTCAGTATTGCATGTGCTATTTGACTGGCAAGAAAAAATACATTATGTTTTCCCCTGTGATTCACATATAAATATGGAATATTTTTGTGGGTGCAGCCCATTTTAATGAAGCCAGGAGAAAAAAAATATTAATGCCATTTGTGTTGCATTATGACACGCATACTTAACTTTTAATGCAAATTAGTTTAATCCTTGTGGCTTCATGCTACAAAATGGGTGGTTGTCTTCTTTCCCTTTCTTGGTTAACTTTTATCTACCAATCCAGTGTGTGGCCTTTCATGACTTCGTTTACAGAATAGGCACGGTGGTCAGCCATGTGGTGAACAGCTACTACTATTAACCCCTACTGCCTCTATAATAATCAGCCACAGTACCATTGATAGATGGCTGATGGGCCAAGTGTTTATCAAGCGGGGTAGGGCTTTGAGATTTTCAGAAGCTGTGTCTTTACTTGCTCTTATGCACTTGTATTTATAAGTGGTCACTTATGTCACAACTCATGCTCACTTATACAAACACCAGTTCATATTCATAGTCACTGCTATTGGCACTAGCACTCATTCTTTTTTGTAGTAACTTGCATCCACCTATTGCTGTACTCATTCATGTACACTCTCAAGCTCACTGGAACTCATTTCCGTTCATACTCACATTCGCTCATGCCCGTCGTTACTTATTAGTGCCCCCTCTTCATGGCTGTAAATGGAGCACATAGCAAATATGAATGGTTGTGCTTTGTTTGTGAGTATTTTAACCTTTGCTGAGTTGTCACTGACAGTGCACGAAGCAGAAACGGGAAGCTATGCTGTACATTGCTCATGTAATACCTTACTAACGATTTCGTGTTTGTCTTCAAATGCCTACTTACAAATCTTTTTTTTTTTTCTACCTTGTATTTCAGAAGAAACACTAGCCCAAAATAGGGTAGAGACCCTAGACATCATGGCACAGCAACTGAAATTCATGGCATGCCTTAAGGTGAGCTATTTAACCCCGTGCAAATATTACCAGCTATTGAGATTGCATTTTGTGCCTTCACTTATTAATAGCCTACTCACATTATTTGCTTGTTTTCATGGTTGCATGTTAATCTTTTCAGTCATAGCATCCCTGCGTGGAATTCCAAGGTGTTTTAATTCAAAAGGATGGTGAATTGTGCTTAGCTGAACAGGTTTATATTGCATAACATGGAAGTGTTCAGGTAGTTAATTGGAAACAGGATAAACACTTTTTAGTCAGTGTATCACTCATCACTGTATTTTTGTGTGAAATTGAAGTTGTGTGATTGCGCTCATTCCTGTCATGTATTTCTTCGCTCCTTCCATCGCATAGCTCATACAAGTTGTAATAGCAGTGTAAATATTTGTGGGTAGTTCCTATCATTGAGCATTTATGCAGCAAAACACAGCAGAGCGCCTTTCAATTATGCATAATTTCATGCAACGTGTTTCATGCATCAAATTTTCTCACTATTGTTTAGTACACTCAATGGCTAGAGAACTTGCTGAGAGCTCTGTTAACACGTACCATGTGCACTGTGCAAACGTAAATAGAGGTAGGGGGCAAAACGACAGTGGTAGATGAGAGCAAATAGGAGTGCATATCAAACAGAGCTTATTGACTGTTACATGAAGAGTGCTCGTTCATCTTTTATTTTTTTGGTGTGTGTCTGTTTTTGTGCAGTGCATGATGTTTCGATGCTTTTATATTGCTATAATAGGCTTTTATATTGCTAGTAATGTGCACTTCTCAAAGTGAATGCATGGCACCCCTTTCTGAACAGTATGCTGTTTTTGGTACCCATCATCTGCGGTCATTTGCAGATCATGATGGAGGAACTGAGCACCCTGGCTACAGGCTTCGAGGTGGACGGTGGACAGCTGAGGCATCAGCTCTATGTCTGGCTCGAACGTTGCGTGGCAGCACTCAAGGAATTGTGCCAGTATGGCGCTGCTATGCAGGCTGCTGGCAGTTCCTCAGGTGTGGCAGTTCATTCCTAACTGTATAGTGTCCACTTTTTTTGGATCTCTCAGGGTGCTTTACATGACTTGTGATTACCTTGTGTAATTGTAACTGGCGAATTGAGAATTCTTGTTGTAACATTTTATGATTTACTATTCATGTTCACACTTGTAAAATAGTGCTTCTCATTTACTATATTTGTTATTTATTGTTCAAGTATGTACTGTTTGGACAAAGTCACCTGCCTATACATTAATGTGGACATTGAAAGAACATCTACCATCTTCACTCAAATGTTCTGTGATATTCTACACTAACTCTGCATAAATAAAGATGCCCAGTCTGAAGCGATAGTTTGATTGAATCATTAGCAAAGATGCTTTATTATTCATGATAGTACAGTAATAGGTAGTAATTATTATTCACTTATGATCAACATATTAGGAAAGGCAGCTACACTGACCTACCTATACCTGCTTTTTAAAGGGGGTCTTGTAATTGTTTATTTTATAAAACCTAACTTGACAATGTTTTCCAGCTGTAGGTCATGTAGGTCTAGAGCTATCATAAAAAAGGTAATCCACGACCACATTATCAGGGTAGGTGAAAGGCTAGAGAAACAAGGAATGGTGAATACAAATACAAGGTGATCTCAGTGTTCACTTCCTCCTCGCATGATACAGTAATCATTATTGGTTGTTTTTCTCGTTTGCAGTATCTGACACGTCCATCCTGCCCGAAGAGGAAGCTGGCGGAAGAGAAAGGGCCAACACTGCTGATGGGACCCAACCAGGGGCACCATCTCTGCATGCCATCTTGGTCGCAGACAAGCAGGATTTTGAGGCCAAGCTGGTGCGCGCTGCGCGTCGCAAGCTGTGGCTCAAGGCCAACGAAGCATTGCTCCGCACTCTACTGTCCTACACTGGCCTTCACGGAGCCCACGGTGGAGGCCTGGCCGCAGTGCGCATGGAGCTCAACCTGCTATTGCAGGTGAGGACGGAGAGTAATGTATGGAGGCTCACTGGCTGCGCTTTGCACAGTGGAACAGCAGGTAATAGAGCAAGAGAAACCCTTATTGAAGCAACATTGAAAACAGGCAGTGCCTTGTCATTCCGCATGACTTCATAGGACGGCTCTCAAGATTTTAAACAAGAAGAGGTGAATTAAAGAAGTGAGCCATTTGTGTGCCGGTTGGCCTGCTCGAGGTAAACCCTTTACATTTATAAAGTGCGTGATTCATTTGCGGCTCCCCTTAAAATTGTTTCTGCGGAGGCCTCGGCACCTGGAAAGTTCACTAGTTTTAAGCACCTCAGTGGTCACAGTCAAATTGTCCACTCAAACATGCCTCGCGAAGTGGGCAAACTCATTTTCAATGTCAAAAATTTTCCTCTTTGTGGTCTGTGACAGTCTTTGCATGATGACTTGCTGTTGACAATTGATATTTTCAGTTTTCGTCAGTTGCAAACATGTTTTTGGCATGCTGAAATGATAGACTGCCTACCCATGCTCTTCCATGTGTGGAATAACATATTCAAAGCTTTTATCATGGCGGACCTGACCAATCTTCATGGCCAATATATTCGTTGGGCTCAGGCAAAATGCTGAGGCCAAATCATAGAGGGGGAAACTCAACTAGGGAAGCAACAACAATGAAGTTGAAAGAACACTCTCTTCTGCATTTTTGCGACACACACCACAAAAAAATGTGCTACCACGGTTGCCAGCAAAAGATAAACATTATCGCTGAGTGACAATGACAATTGGGTTGCGGTGGGGGGCTAGTTTGTTTGTTCTTTATACCAATTAGGATGCCGCTTTACGACCTACATAAAAAAAGGTGCATGTTAGAATTGGGTATGTTATATGACATAAGATAACAATATAACTGAAGTTTTATATTCAACTTCTTTCTATGTTTGCTCATTTCCATTAAGGGTGTAATGTACAAATCTTGTATACGTAGGTGCTTGTTAGACTGTCAGAGGAACGTAATCGAGAGCCCCTTGAGATAATAAAGGGCTCTAGATTATCACTCATCTCGTAAAAGTTGTCACCCAAGCGTGGGACATTAAACTCTGTCAATTAGTGGTTCAAGATGAGTAAATACTGGCTTTGTTTCCAATAAAGGCCACTTGGTAGGTGCTAATACAATTCTATAATAATAATTCAGAACGTTCACTGCAGCATGGGTCACCAGTGAGCCATCACCTGTGCTCCTCATATGCAGCTGCAGTTTCACGAGTTTCACTTCATTGCTCTTGAGTGCGGAGACACGATTCTTGTTGAAAGAGGGTGTAAATATCCAAAAGAACACTTATCTGGTGGCTGATTGCGTGCACAGGGGCATGACCTACTGTTGGGTTTCGGCAAACCCTGGAATATGTGCTAAACAGCTTACCGGCGGATCACTCTGTACGTAAAACGATAATCCAAAAAAGCGCACCAGAACCAAAATATGTGCGTCGTCTGACTGTTCTCACAGGAGTTGCAGCAAGATCGTTCCCAACAGCAGTTGCTGTCTCCACTTCCTTTCCCGACAACACTACCACTCTTGGCTGCCAGTGTGGCCTGCCAAAAAACAGTGGTTGCCGATCCAGTGCGTCTTCTGCAGGTAAGCTGTTCATGATCACTTGCCAGTAGTCATGTTCATACTTGTGTATTCTAAATCTCACTATCACTGACTTATTGATGCTCATGTTAACCAGCGCTCACTCTTGTTCAAAACCAAGTCCAATCACACTTTTCACCACACTCTCATTCGCACCGTATCCCACGCCCATTGAATTAATGTGAAGTAAATGAGTCTCTATACTAACAAGGAAGCGGGTATGGCTGCTTGTAGTCCATGCATGGTATTAAGATATTTTGCTTGTGTCAGAGCACAGCAGCTCTTTAGAATATAAGACACCATGGTGGCGAATAAAGAAAAGCACACAGCGCTCTGTATGAAACACTAATGCCAATTCGTTAAAGGGCCACTCACCAGGTCTGACAATTTTGAGCTGACAAGCGCAATGCGTAGACAAGGCGTTCATGACCATGTTTGCCAAAATTTGCAACGCTACGTGCAGCCGCAATGGGTCAAATTTCAAGATGAGCGCTGCTCCCCCTCTTCTCTTCCGGCGTGCGCCTAGAGAATGAGAGCATGACGTGTGCATATGAATGGCCCTACATACACGGCAATGCAGTGACGTTGGTCCTCTACGTAGATGACTCTGCTCTGACATTGCAGACAGTGGCATGTGATATGGCGAAAATTATTTAACACGCCATGCATAGTTTATGTAACTTGTTGCTTGAAAAGATCAATAAAACTCTAGATAAATAATGAGACACAATAAGGGAATGTGAGTGTCTTTTTTCCATTTTTCTCCCGCGAATCGCAACGAGATGCGGGGCTAATGTGTCGGCGTTTCGCATGCGTCCGTGTTCCCACGGTCAGAGCATAGAGCAGACGACCGCCGTGGAACTTTCCTACGCGTTTGCGCACTCATTGTGCTCATCTATTCTACCGTGTCTAAGCCACCGTTTCCAAACGATCCCGCAGAAACAGGCTGAAGACCACAAAATAATGCTGGTCAACAAAGCAATGCCGCTAGCGTGCTCAAGGGTTGGATTTGTTTGGGCACGTCATGCGCACGTCACTTCTTGGTCGGATGCAGGAGAGGGTGGGGAAGAGATTTGGCTTGCAAAGGCTACGGAAACGAGCAGCAAGGGCTTCGAGCTCGGCTCCTCTTATCCTCATTTCGCGGCGCTTCAAAACACCTGTTTTCTCCTCTCATGATGAACCGCTTCAAAAAATTTTTGTAGCAAAATGTTCCTCATTGGACACCTAACAACTTCCACTATCTAACTAAAATTTGGTATGGGGCCTGGTGAGTGGCCCTTTAAAGGGGTTGTGAAAAAAAAAAAACTGCCTAGTTTTTGTTTTCACTGCTTCTATAAGCATCGGACATGCCAATTCCTAAATACTTCAATGCAACATTCAGAGCATAATTTATATTGCCCGTCTAAATCTTGCACTTTTTAAACAACAAAGTGGCACGTCGGCCGTCATTGGCACTAACCAGTGCCAATCTTAAGGCATTTGAAATTGTAAACATATTTATTGTTAATCCTCATTTGCTCCAAAAGAATAGATGTATATGAAATCTAGGAAGTGAAAGCATGATACAGCAATTTTTGAGCTCATGGTCCCGCTCAATACCCAAGAGCCAACTTGTCAAGAACATGCTGCCCTGCCCTCTCTCCTCCTTGTGGGTGCAGTGGACTGCACCTCTTGCAGCATTCCCATGTAAAGACACGCAGCTCTTGAAGCCACCACCTTTGCACATTCCTGATGTGCCCTTTGACTGCGGCGCGAAATGCATTTTTTGAAAAGGAGGGGAGCAGAAGAGAAGAAAGCGAAGCGCCGACACTTGCTCAGGACACTCTCTCTTCTTCACTCTCTTCTCTCCTGTCTCCCTCCTTTTCAGGAAATGTAGTTTGCGCCATAGTCAAATGTACATCGGCAATGTAAGCATCAGCTCGCCTAAAAGTAAGTCCTTTTGGAGAGCCTTTGAGCAGCTAGCAGCTGCCAGCATGATGTCATGTGAATAAGCGGTATGGTGGCAACTTCCGCAACGCCTGGAGTGCAGGCGTAGCCTCTGCAATTGGTTCAGCCAGGAGGCTGTCTGTGGAAAAGGGGGTGATGTTCTAGGCATGTAGTTAAAGAAGGGGTTGTTGGGACAAATGACGCTTTAGCTTGGCAACGTCTGTCATTTAGGAATTACACAGATTGTGTGCGTGACATCATTACAGCAATACAGTCGGAACAGTATGATGCTCCAAGCCATGGGCAACTACCGCAAAAAAACGGAATATAGGTCGATTTTTTTTTTTTCAAGAAATGCGATGAAAAGTCGCTTTTCGTCTTATATACTGGTCATTGGCAGAAAAAAATGTGGAAGTCTCGCAACAATGGGCAGCACAAGTGAAAAGGCTCCATTGCCATCGTGAGCATCAGCAGAGGTGTTATTGGGCAAGGTAAGGCAAGGCCTACAGTGTTCTAGCAATGCCATTTTGCCTTGGTTACCTGCTGTCAGTCTACTGTTTTCTTTTTTTTTTTTTTCAGAAATGAGTGACATGACATTTGAGGGAACAAAATGTTGGGACATCAAAATGTGCTTTTATAGCTATATAAATTGATCTGAACAAATCCGAACGATTAAACCAATTTAGGTAGATTATTGAGTGGAATGCCAGGATTAAAAATAAACACTTCATTAAATATCTTTGGAAAACCTCCTACAACCCCTTAAATGTGGTGCAGCACAAAGCAGATCTCCTCGTCCTACTTTACACTACAACACCTACACAAAAAATGAGAAACCAACTACCCCAAGTCACTTGCCATTAGAGATTTCCAAGGCAATTGCTTGACTATGCTTGTGGTGTTGTACAGAGGCTTGCATTTGTGTGGCCCTGAATGAAAGACTGGTGTCCCTGCTGTGCATCTTGGTGATACAACACCTTTATTTTTATACAGCTAATGGCACATGACATTTTGCTGACGGTGATAGACCTGGAAGAGCCCCCTGGTGAAGCCACAAGTGCCAGCACCTTCTCTCGGGTGTCAGTTTTGTGGGACTTGGGCACTTCCCTGTCCGCCTGCATCTACCAGGCATTGTGTGACAGCGACAGCTTTGGTCTGAAAGGCCAACAGGGTTCCAACAGGGGACTTGACGTCGAAGACTGTCTCAGGTGCGTGACTTGACTGATAATCACAAAATATTTTTGCTGTTGATTGAGAAATAATGTTATTTCAAACTGCCGAATGCATACGAATGCATGTGCAGTTGAAACTTAATCTGATGAAGTGACGATTGCGTTCGAATCCTTCGTCTTTCAGCTTCCAGAATTACTGAATTGATTTCCAGACAGGTTACGAATTTTACTTGCGTGCATGAATTACCATCGCTCCATGCGCTCTGTGACTGCAGGTCCAGGAATTGCACAAATTACGTGGTGTATGCAATGATAGATTTCAAGACTGGCTACTGCATAGGTCTCTGGCGCTCAGGCTCCCAATGTGCAGATGCAAAATGCGATAAATCCATATAAACAAAATGCAAAGCAAATTTCGCTGTCGAAATAAATAAAACAGGTGCTAATGGAGATAAAACGACATTGTGTCACTTTTATTCCAACCGCTCATGAAACCCTAAAATGTTAATTTGTGCAAATAGTAAATTTTAGGCTCTAAGCAAGTTTGAAGCAAATACAGTCTAACCCATTTATTAGAGACACTGATATAAGAAACCAACTGGTATAAAAGACACCAGTGTGCCCACTGTAAAATACGGGTTGATAAGAAAATGCATACGTGGTACCATGCTAATAAAAGACATATCATACAAAAGACAAGAATGCCAGGGCATGCCTCTTATAAAGGGGTTCATCTGTGGAATAATTTTGACTTGAATAGTTCTAATGGTATAAATCACATGTTATAAATACATATGGGCATATTTTTCATGACCCAGCTAACCTGCACAATATATATTTTTTTAATTGGAACAAGGTATGTATGAATGTCGCTTTTTTTTTTTTATGTTATAAGGGAAGTGAAAGCAACTTTTAATAGTAGCAGGATTTCAATTTCACTGTATGCAAGTGATAGCTAGTAAAATACATTGTTTTAAAATCTACTATGCTCGAAGCATATTAGACCATATAATCAGCTTCTAAACTTGAAAAAAAAAAATCAATGTGGGGTAATACGTTCATTTAGCTTTGCAGTGGGGCTTCGCGGCAGTGGTGCCCCGCCGCGGTGGTCTAGTGGCTAAGGTACTCGGCTGCTGACCCGCAGGTCGCGGGTTCAAATCCCGGCTGCGGCGGCTGCATTTCCGATGGAGGCGGAAATGTTGTAGGCCCATGTGCTCAGATTTGGGTGCACGTTAAAGAACCCCAGGTGGTCAAAATTTCCGGAGCCCTCCACTACGGCCTCTCTCATAATCAGATGGTGGTTTTGGGACGTTAAACCCCACATATCAATCAATCGCGGCAGTGGTAATTTTTTAAAAATATTGCTACGTAGCTATCGCATGAAGGGTGAACCATTCTGTGGACAGAAGACGACAAAGAGAACTGGTTTGCTTCGTACAAGGGACCTTACCGTATCATACGACGGGTAACGAACGTTACCTATGAGGTCATTCAAGTCTCTGGGACTAACCTGTCTGCAAACACCACCAGTGACGTAGTCCACGTCAGTAGGTTGAAACCATATCACCCTCCTTCTGAAGAACACGTATAAAGTGCACCGAGCCGGTGCTTTTACAACCAGGGGGTAATGCTACGTAGCTGTCGCATGAAGGGTGAACCATTCTGTGAACAGAAGACGACGAAGAGGACTGGTTTGCTCGCTCTGTGTGCTGCGCTCCGATTTTATTAGTGTAAATACACTGCCAAATAGTCACGTTCCGTCTCATTTTACGGAACAATATTTTCACGACATAGCATTTTTATGCAGCAGTGAAACCACCTTTACAGGGGAAGGGGGGTAACGTGAGATTTAATATTTGTTTATTCGTTTATTTCAAGTACTTAGAAATTTTCTATAATATAAATTTGTATCGAAATGAGTTCGAATACTGTGATATTCGTTCAAGTATTCAAAGTGCTTGAATGTTCGCTCATGCCTGATAAAAAGTCTTTCACGGAACCCAGTTGACAAGGGTGCATAGTTGTGCCATACAAAGCAGCAGCAACTACAGGGTGAAGTAGAGCATTTCTGGGAAATGTAGAATTTAGTATTTCGTAAGTTGCACTGCTCGTAAGCGGAATGGGAATTTTCGTGGATATGAAATGAGAAGTTCTAACTGGCGAAACCTTATTTTTAAGTTTGTTTGTATGTGCATGTGTTTACATGACGCAGCCTTAGTGTGGTGTACCAGAACAGCCACCTCCTAGCTGGCCATGCCACCAGACGACCTCGTTTGGGCAGCACTGAGGAGCCCCTTTCACCTGCCACACAGCCCAGCAAGTGGCCAGGTAAGCACATGCGTGCCATTTGTTCATCATCCGAGAGATCTCACACTCGAGGAACAACAGGACGGAATACACTCACTTGTGCACTGAGCACAAGAGCATACACTATGCAACAGCCAGCCGGCCTGCAAAATCACAAGTAATGCCACTAACACAACAAGTAACGTGTTAGAATGCCAATATAACACACACCAGGTAACACTAATGCGGCATTGCCATTGTTCAATTTGTGGGACTTTGTAGGGACACCTCTCAAAATGGATTCCTGGACCTCCCCACAAAAGTCAACTGTCAATGAGCAGGACTTGCTCCTCATGACCTTGCATAACATCGTTGCCAGGTGGCACCACTGTGAAAATGCAGCACCATTTTTTGCATGGCTACTTCTACACTGACATCTATTTTGTCCTTGTGGCGCAACCAGCCTGCAGGGCAAGCAGACACCATGCTGCGTAAACAACTCATAGGATGTGCGAACTACCCCACAATTTTTAGCATGCTGTGCACCTTGGTGATGGTTCATTGTCTCCAACAACATTGATGTCTAAGTATTTGTAGCATGCTTCATAAATGTTTGCTGTTATTAACAAAAGTAGTACAAATAAATTTTTGTCCAAAGATGTTAATATGGTGCACTGTTTGCTGCAATTTGTCTTGTATTAAGCAATATAAAAGAATAAATATGTTTTATATGCTGTTTATAAATGAGAAATTTCTCAGTGCAACGAAATTGATATTAGCACATTTTTACTTGGTAAATAAGCTAGCTGACTAGAGAAAGCATCATTTGGTAGGTCGCTGTAAGCTAATGCACTCTAAAACAAAGTACCCAAGTAATGGAAAATGTTCCTTTGTGTTCTATCTCGAAAATTTGGGACTCATGTTTTCGTTCGGTGAAACAGGTGTGCAGTCTCTGCGTGCATTGATGGCTCGTGACAAAGATGAAGACGGGCCCCGGCTGCATACCTTGCTGTGCGAGTCCTTCGTGGCTGTCTACATGAGCCAGTTGATCCACGCCCTGGCCTCGTGCGATTGCCACGTGCTGTACCGATTGGTAGGCCAGCGCTTCACCCAGCGCACCTGGTCAATGCTGTTCGGTGGGGGAGCCAAGAAGCTGCTACGTGTGTCTGCGGGTGGCTCCAGTGGAGCTGTCACGCCATCAGCAGCGGCTCCTGAAAGTGAGTCGAAGCCCTGTCCATTTATATAACCCTTTCAAACGGAAAAACCATCAGACAAGATGTTGCTAACTGTTCTGCTAACTGGCTTTGCTGTACTTGGCCTGACATCACCATGACACATTAATAAACTTGTTCATGATTCTAGCCGATGGTGAAGCCTTGTTAGAGATACTGTGTTTATCATATATAAAATAACTTGCAAGGGCATTTCAGCTCAGCTTTAGAATTGACATTTTTGTTTGATGTTGTCAGGTCACCAGTGTGACCTCTTGTTTCATGACTAGTTTCATACTTTAGCAGATTACAACCTTGGCACCTGCAGTGCTTAAAATAGTTTAAATGGCATCTCTTTGACTGCATCTATAACCTGACAGAAAAAAAAAGTGCAACTTTTTTAATGTTTTATGCAATCTATTTTTTCAGAGGAGGCAACAGCCACTGTTGAGACTGGCATTTTTGATGCCATCACCCGTCAGCGTGTCAAGTGGAACATGAAAATTCTGCCTCAACTGAAAAGCGAAGCTCCACAGGCAAATGTCCGTGAAGACCGTCCTACATACAGGGAAATCTTCGTGCCTCCAATCATGTCAATGATGTCCTGCTTTATGTCCAAGGTATGTTGAGGCAGTCTCATTTACCCACCTGAAGCTTTCTACCATGCCAGATTGAAGGCTTAAAAAAAAAATTGGGGTACTTGTAAGCTTCGCCTTGAATAGTTGAACGCGATAGCAATATCCTGTCCCTGGTGCGTTCTTCAACTATTTAGTGCACACTTTTTTTTTGTTTGAATATGTTACTAGAGAAGTTTAAATTGCGGATTTCTACAATAAAATTGGTAAAGTTGAAAGTGGCTTGTTTCAGTGAAGGTTTCGCATATGGCTGCGTTCTGTGTAATGGGTGACGAGCAATTATGCGTGTGAGATGTCTTCGAACTTGATATGCACCCATTAAGTGGTCTTTAGGGAACATGTGCAGTAACGCTTGTCCCTTTTGTAGTGGGTGGCTACCTTTAAATGATATGATAATGACATGTTCTCACAACCAATGGCTATGTGCACTTGTACCATGCAATATTACTGCAATATTGCATGTTATATTGAGAAACCTGTGTACAGGACACGTGTGTTTGTAAAACATGAAAGTTATTTTCACTGTGTTTCCAAGCAGACATGTGGCGTTGTGGTAGAACACCTGCTCGCCACGCAAATGGCCTCGCTTCGATCTTCACCTGCATCAAGGAATGTTTATTACTTATTTTATTTGCATCTTTCTCTATTTTTTGGTCACAGACGAGGTGCTGATTTTTCGCTCACAACCAACACCAGCACTGACACTGATGCCGGAATTTCTGCAAAACAAGCTTTTTAACGCTGTCCCCATGAAAGTGTGTGAGAGAGGAGAATTTAATTAGTCGATTTTGACCCGTGGCATGCTGCAGCCTCTTTGGAATCGTTAGAAGCCAAAAAATTGCAAAATTGATCAAGATTTTCTAATCCTTCACTGGGGGTTTCGGTGGGTTTACAGAATTAGGATTCCACTTGAGCATTCATTTAGAATTTAAGATGTGTGAACATCAACTATTTCAGGTCTCGCATACTTCAAAAGCACATATGCAACCATGAAATGCGAACACTGATAATACACATGCAGCCATGAGAGTTAGCTGCCAGCCTTCATTTGTAAAAAATTACAATTTGTTGCTTTTGCGCTCATTGCTTCACTATTGCAGTGAAACCGTGGTATATTTTTTTTAACTTAATAAAGCTGCTTCCTTTCACCCAGCCTACCCTCCCGGATCAGATGGTGGCGATTGACTACGACTCAGCAGCATCACTCTCCAGCGACGAAGAGGATGCTGCAGGAGGCCATGATGAAGAGATGGATGAGGATGACGTGTTCAAGGACGCAGGCACGACTGATCAGCAGCGACAACCCTCCCAGGGGTCACGCCTCGAGCAACTGGATCCTGGTTCATACGCGTGGGCTCTCATGCGGTTCGCGGTTGTGAAAATGGTCAACCACAATTTACGAGACTTCCTCACTGTGGCTGGCATCGAGCTGCAAGGTAGCAACCACTTCCAGCTTCTCACCCATAGCGCACATGTGCCAATAAAAGCAATGTACACCTTAGACAGTGCAAAATGACCAGCTTGCATAACATATGCTCCAAGTTTGCTCCTTTTCTAGTAGGCATTGACACCACATGACACATCGGTAGCATGAATCTGAATACTATGGCAGTGATGTTTCAAGTGCATCACTTGCTATTTGGCAGTGCACTAATGTTAGTCGTTATGTCTATTGTTTGTGGTAAATTTATGCTTGGGCTTCATTTCAAAATATAATTATTCTTCACACTAATGAAGTTTTCAGATGATGCAGTTGTGGTATTCACTCTTCAATGAGTCTGTAGCATCCGTACATTTACTGCTAGAGCACATCTGTCTGTGTATGATACTGTTGCTAATTTAGCGAGTACAGGTAATATCATGAAACATTCCAGTTTTCACCTGCTGATTAACATTTGTAAGAAAAAAAAATAACAGGTAATGGTTAACAAAGTGTTGATTTTTTCAAACTGCCAGAAAACAAGAAAAGAGAACAGTGTAGCGCTATGGAGCAATGGTGCTTTAGTACCATATGCGCAATCTTACACTTACGTTTTAGAACCCTCATGCAGCACTAAATATTTCTTGGAGCCCTGTCAGCAATATGTCTAATAGAATTGGCTAGCCTCTATCTTAGTGCGCATCATTGTTAGCACACAAAATAAGCAGCAAAATGTGTTCATGACATGTGTTCATGTGTTCATGGCATGTCTCAGAAACGAAAACACTGTGCACAAGTCACACTATGTGTCTATACCTCTTTGCCACCTGTGTTCACATATGTGTACATGGCCTTTATTGCAAATTACTCAGCAGCAAAGTGTTTGGTGTCATTAAAAACCTGCGCCTTTATCGCCAGTGTCCTTTAACCATAATGCCTAGAGTGAGCCATACAACTCAGCATTGGCAGCTGGTGTACAAACAAAACAAAATGGCGGTAGAGGCAGATCACACTGCTCGTGGTCTAATTTAGTAAATTTTTTCAATTAATATTGCACACGAAATATTCTGAGCAAAAGTTATGCTATTGGTCAATGTGAATTATTAAAAAAAATAAATAGAGCTCTTAAAACATAGTTTCTCATTTATGAGTGGTGGTTTTGCCATTTTTGCAACTAAATTCCTCATTTTGAGACCACCTTGTACCCCTTTAAAAAAATGAAATTTCGGGCACTATGTTTTTTTTATACTTGTGGAAAAACGTAAAATAAATTTTTTCAGGACAAGCCTATTTTTCTAGCCTACATCTTTGTTCAGTAAGAAGATGATAATGCTGACGTGTGTGTTGTGGCAGAGCTCCCGGTGACGAGCCCTCTTCTGCATGCATCCCTGCGTGCCATTGACCACTGGCTGCGGCACCTGCGCGAGTCACTGGAGGCCCATGGCGGTGCGCCCCCCGGCTTGCTGCCCAACTCGCATGTCGAGGCTGCCGGCCAGGGTGCCGCACCTGTGCAGGGGCCCCCCATTCTCAAATACAAGGTGCTCCTGGAGGTGGACAACACGCCTTTCAGGTGGGCTGCCGCAGATCTACATAAAAGCCAGTGTCCTTCAAACGTACGAGTCACAAAGTTTTCCACAGGCTCTATGACCAACCTTTAACAGAAAAGTTTCAAGACAAAGGTCATAAAAAAATAGAAAATTGCAGGTACGAAGTAATGACCCTAGTTCCTATCAAAGTGGTTGCCTTGACTGTCTGTACACACTTGCCAATTTGTGTGAAGGTCTTGGAAGCAAGCAGGGAACTCTGACTGTGATGCTTGTATGCTTTACAATTGTCTTGCACTGAACCTCTACCTTTGTGAAACCTTTTGTGCTACTCAAAAACACGACTTCTTGAAGGCACCTTGCCTGCATGTGCTTTCTCAATCATGCTACACATTTCACTTGGAATTTTGCTGAGCTTAACCCAGAACTTACCTGAGTATAACACAGAACTTAGTGTTCGCTCTTTGCTCAGCCCCTGTCACCTCAAGTAATGAAACAGTAACCTGAACAATGTGTTGCGAAGCGCAGCCCTACTACCTAACAAGTTTGCATGGAAACATGGCCAAGATGATGTCAAGTAAAAACACATAGCAGGCAACATAAAAACATTTGTTCTTTTTATTGTTACAAACTCAGGTATACAAAAATTCTCCTGAACCGTTTCTCACAAAGTTGGGGTCACAATTCGAACGGAATATTGGTCAAAATCGTTGAGGTCTGCTAATTGTGACATCAGCTCTCCCAGCAAAGAAACAAACCAATTTACGGCTTTATCTCATGTTGTGTTGCATAAGATTGCAAGCTTCATTAAATAAGCAGTGTGTTCGCATTTGCGATAAACCCTCCTCTATGGTAACTTTATAATCATATTATGGGCTTGTATTGTTAAGATCTAACAGTTATAATTATTAAGCTGCCCATTGAGAGTTGTCTGTGGCCACTCTGCAGCCGAAGCAAGCACCCTGCAGCCCACCCAGCTCGCAGGCTGTGGAACTACCTGGTGCGGCAAGAGGGAGTCCAGGACCTGTTCATTCGTTATATCTTCTCTCACAAGGTGGTGCCACTGCCAGATGTGAGTACTTGAAGCGGCAGCCGTGTTTACTGCTGCGCATAGCGTGAAGCATCGGCAGCTTATCAAGAGTGAGCCTGTCGACTTGCAACTGCGACTTCATTTGGCATGAGCACATCCTATTACATTCATATACTTTTCTTCTACAGACGCAAGGCCAAGCGCAGGCGAACAAAAGTAAGTACATTGTGCGCAAGATATGCATTGCGTATGAGCTCTGGAATTGTACGCGGACAAATTTTCATCTTCCTTTTGTAACAATCTGTTATTAGGAAATTTCAGGTTTCGAAGTAACTAGTGATTTAGACAAATAATTTCGAACCGTATAGATCAAATAATTTAAATCCTATATTGATAAGGAAAAATTAGCATACTTATTATGACCCAACTTACGTGCAAATATTTTTAAAGATTGCAACAAGGCATGTGCGAACGTCACTTCTTTGGTTCACAATGAAGTGACAATGGGTAACTTTGGATAGTGGCGGGATTTGCATTTCAGTAGCATCTGAGTGATAAGCAGTAAAATATGCTATGTTTTAAGATTTATGATACTTAGTGTATATAAACCCGCATTACATACTTTTAAATTTCAAAAATAATTAATCGATGCTGGAGTAGTATGTTCACTTAAGGGCTTTGTGGCAGTACTGATTTTTTTTAAATAAGTGTTTTCACAGCATTGTATTCATAAGCTTTAGTGAAACAACCTTTACAGGAGATTACATTAATTAAGATGAATGTTTACTAGACTTGTGCGAATATTCAAAGGCTTCAAATACTCAAATGAATAGTAGAATATTCAAATTTGCTTTAATTCTAATTTAAAATATTTAAAATTTTGAAGTATTCACAATGAATGAATAGGTGTATATTAATCCGCATGTAACGGCTTGTAAAGGTCGTTTTACTGCAGTGTAGATATGCTAAGCTGTGAAAACATTTATTCAAGGAAAATGCGTTTCGTCTTTCTTCAAATTTAAAGGGGCCCTGCAACACTTTTTAAAGCATGGTCAGAAAACGCTGCTATTGGTAGTCGAAGCTACCGAGAACACGCGAGCCAAATAGCATAGCGCAGCACACAGCCTGCAATTCACAAAGTTCTCAAAGTCAGCTGAAGATTACGCTCTTCTCTCAGCAAAAGACGCCACAAGCTTAAAAATTGCTTCTCACAATTATTGTATCAGACATGGGCCGATTTGAGCATGGCACGCTCGGTCGTTACTGGGGCCGCCACGGGAGGCCACCACTTGTCCACGCGCATGTGCGTAATAGCACTTAGAAGCTGCATGTCTGAAAAAAGAAAAAAATCTGAAAAAAAAAGATAGAAAGTGGTCAAGGTCATGAGGCGGGTGTGACCTATTTTTTTACCTGTGGCATCTTTTCCTGCTTAGCTTCCAGTGCTTTCGTAGGGATGAGAAGAGGGAATGCAATCGCAGCTTGTGACAAATCTTTGCAATCCCGCTCGTACTAGACAGTTTTTAAAAACCGTCTTTTGCCGCAGTGAACTCGTGAGGTAATAAGCTTCTTTAGTGAATCCATTTCATGGCTACTTGAAAAAGTGTTGCAGGGCCCTCTAATGAACATATTAAACTCAAATAAATTGATCATTTTATTAAGCCTAAAAGCTTTTTATCATAACTGATGTGCTCTAAGTATAATAAATGGTTATATGTTAACCTATTTTACAGGTTATCCCTTGATCTTACCAAAGTCAAATCCTGCTACTACTCAAAGTTGTTTTGACTTCCTTTAAATGGAAAAAAGGCATTTGCACAGAGGCTCTATTTTAATTTTAAAAAATCATTTTGCAGATTAGTTATATACTATTTGAATTCAATTTGAAATTCAAATTTATTTGACCAAGATTGCTATTCGCTTCGAATTCGCTTCGAACCTAAATTTACTATTTGCACAAGCCTAATATTTACTCAATTCTACACACCCCCTTTTTCTTTCACGATCGCGATAGTGTCACGGCGTCGTGACGCGGATGAAGAGAACAGAATGGGTGCTCAGGTTAAACTGTTTATTGCGCCGAACTTGTGATCATGTTAAAGGAAAGCCAGACTAGAGCAAAACACTGGCACTGATAGCGGTGAACAGAGCATTGGGCCGTCGATCATCTGACAAGTGGCGAAGCACGGCGGCATTTATACATGTGTCGTCGAACATTCCAGCCTTATCACTGGTCTGCGCGCAAGCTCTGGAATAATCTCGAGGGTTCGCCTCTCGCGGGTATCTTAACGGAACAATCTACAATGATCGTGAACCTCTCGAACAATGAGGCGCAGTTTGTGCTAAGCATTCTTGACCCAGGCTTTGTGGACGAAAACTGAATCTAACAAATGTGAAAATAAGAAACGCAAATGGCAATTTAGAAAGTTAGGGGGGTGCTTAGATTCGAGAAATCGAAAAACGACCACACAGCCCAATCCCCTTTTGCGGCAACATATCAACGAGATTGACGCGAGAAATAACATTTTATTTTGAAAACAATTAAAAAATATCGAATCGGGGTGGTTAGAATTTTGAAAATACGCAGGCTTATTTGTTCATTTTTAATACTTCAAAATTTCAAACACTTTAATTTCATGTATAGACAAATTCAAATACTGTGACATTCGTTTGAATACTTGAAGCACTCGAATATTTGCCCAGGCCTAGCCTTTTTTTTAACGTTACTTGCTTGCCAAAGCTGTTTCCTCGTCAGCAAGAAGAGTGCACAAAGCCATTTAACCATTCATTGCAGCTCACGAGAATATAGATACTAACGAGCACTCACAGAACAGAGGTGCAAATGAGACAAGTAATGCGACAAGCATCATCTAGACACACAGGGTGGGATTCTCCATGGCTAACTGGAACTATCAAAGTCTTACTTATGGAAAGAGACAGGTCTGTGCAGTGTAATGGGCCCTGATAATTTTTCTGAACTATAAAAATTCAGTTTATCTGATTAAAGCTTAGCAGGCACTTAGTTTAAGTTCTGTTTGCAATATCTTGCTAAGAATTTCCTCATTCAGTTAAATCTGAAACCTAAAATGAAATCTAAGACTGTTAATTATTTCAAATATACTGAATAGTGTTCTTTAGACAAAATGGCCTCTTCACTGTTGTTCCTTGAAGACACCTTAGAACAATGATCGAAGTCCCTCATCATTACCATAATTGAAGTCCTTGGATCCAATTTCTTGGAAAACGTTCTTAAAGGGACACTAAAGGCAACTATTAAGTCGACATTGATTGTTGAAAGAGCGGTCTAGAAACCTCGTAGTGTTACTTTTGTGCCAAGGAAGGGCCTATTTTGAAATAAAATCATGTTTTAGTGTTTCTTATTGTGTTAGGCCACTTCAAATTGCCCGCCTCAGAAGCGGACTGATCGTTCTCCGACTCACGTCGCTGTTGCTGTGCACAACGTTGCCCGGCTTTACTGCACTAGTAGCAGCAGACCGAAAGCAACGGGAGCCACAGTAGCAACAACGGCCATTGATCAATTTCCCACCATTGGCTCCAAGACTGCAGACCTTTTTTTTTATTCAACGGCACCCCGCTAGGTGACACCGCCTGTCCAATATAACTACGCGAAAGTTGAATTTTTCAACCACTTGCGCCATTCTCCATAGTAACGTTCGGCAGTTCCTTTTTCCATGAATGACAGAGGAACAAACAGGCAGCATTTTATTGCGTCTCTTGGTGCATTGAAGGTTTTTATACAATGCAGCTAGATAGATTACTAGTGATTAATTGTAGTCTGATGTCATCAGGATCATTTTAAAAATGTCCAACTGTGGCACATGTGTTCTTGTGCATTTACCTCAATTTCTCGGTAAGTAGGGCACTGTTTTGATAATATTATCGTTTTAGATGTTGTCATACACTGAGCTTTCACTCCGACGTAAATTGTTACTTGACTTTAGTGTCCCTTTAAATTCTGCATTGCTCCAACGATTGAGCTTTTAATTTCAGTCCATCACCTTTGAAAATATTATATGTGAGCTGTTTTCATAGTCAAGAAGTTTTTTCTGTGCCATGCATCATACAAGAACAAATTCTATTACAAATTTCGTGTACCTTTCAGGTAGATCCTTCATATTACTTTTCATAATACTACAGCACTTTTGTTTCAAGTGCCTCTATGTTAACGGCACTAGCCCAACAAAAACCATTCTTCCCCCAACCCCGAGTGCCTGTATCCGATTTCCCACTGAGTCCCCTCTTAATGCAGTGAGGGGCTTTTATTCTTCAGAGTGTACTGGTTCTATAATAAAAGCAAAAAAATGTGGCACAGTAAATTCTTGGGCTTCTCCCATTAGCTTGCTCAGTAAAAGTCACTCTTCTTCAAGCAAGACTGTCCCTCAAGTGTACAGGTTCTAGTAAATGGCTAATTATTATTATTATTATTATTGATAAAAAGGAAAAAAGTGAAGGAAAGTTATCTGTAGCTGTTTAGCATTACGATCGAAATATGAATGGAGATTGGAAGGAAAGGGGAGAGGATGCATAGCAAACGCTAACATTAACTTTATTGTGCAGAAAGAGTAGAGTGGTGTTGCTTAGGCAACATATGGGATTCTCTGTAGCAGTAATCATCAAGACCATGGATGCTGCTGGACCATCATGTTGACATGGCAAGTTGCTTTATCAGGCCTTTTTTTTTTTTGCTTGTCTCCACACAGGGTCAGACGCAGCCGCCAAAAGTAAGTGCTGCATGTGTGTGACGATCGCAGTGCATTTTGCCTTTAAAAAAGCTTTTGTTGTGATTTGTCTGCTGTTATGTACATGTGCTGTGTGTACTTACTCGTTGGAACGTGAACAGCTGGACCTGTGGCTGTTGCAGAGCTCGTCAAAAAGATGGATGCTTATATGGCAATTGGGATTACTCCATCATTTTTTTTTTCTTTCGAAGGCATTCTGACTTATGTAATAGGGGATATTGATAGAGGGGAGGGAGAAACTTTTTGTCCTGTCATTTTGTTTTTGTGCTGGGAGAAGATTTATATCAGTCACTTGTTCTGTATTGATCTAGTCGTATACATCATCGCACTTTCGAGTATTACAAATGGAATAAGATTCAACAACTCTTGTACTGTGCGGTTCTTCGACTACCTGCCATGTGCGTCCGTGATTTTAGCTTTGTCAGTATTAACCAAATTCTAATCTAATACAGATTTAATCATGCTCTACAAAAATATGTCTCACAGAGCAGAAAAGACACAGCACCAGAACCGTTTTCAACAATTCTGATTTCATAACTCACTTCACACCACGAACCAGTTTCATTTTTTTTTTTTTTAACGAAGATCCATCGCGTCACTTTGTAATTCAGGCTTCTGTGCCTTGTCTTTCAAGCCTGTAGCCAATGATGGTTCGGCAGCCTCTGAAGCTATACTTCACAGCACTGCCTTTGCTGTAGTGTGACAAATTTTGTTTGGTCATGCAGGAAGGACCGACCACTACTCCTGGTGGTGAAGGTGACGATCGTTCCATCGATGGTGGCGTTCTAGATCCCGTCCGTATCATCCACAAGATCAAGAAAGCATCTCGGCCTTCTGCATCAGTCAGGTGTTCATTGCATCCACGGTTTCTGTGTCCTGCTACTGAGATGAGGTCCGACGTGTTTTTAATGTGGAGCTTTCTCTAGTTTTTTTTTACTTCCTAGCAAAAAGAAAAAAAAATAAGCCATTTATCACTTTCCACTATTTAAAGAGACTGTCCAATATGTGCAGTCTCTCTTGATAAGCTCTGGATAGGCATATTTTGTATTACAAATCATCATCAGTATATAGAAAAATTTTAGGATGCTCTTTTAGCTCAATATGCCCAGATTTAATTTTATAGATGTCATTGGCATAGCTAGGAGAAAGGAGGTCGAACCTTCTCAATCTTTCTCCAAACACCTCTCAACCCATTTGAAACTTAATGTCAGCATGTGTACATATACATGCACGCATACATACGCAAAAATATATATAAAGGAAGGTTGGGCCAGCCCCACTCTCCCCCTGAGGAAATTTCCGGCTGTGCCTTTAATACTATATATTTCAACAGATGACAAAGTAACTGATTGCGGGTAGGCTGGTTTGGCCATACTTAATTTATGCAGCATGGTGCAACTAGCCAGAGCATAAGCATAAGTAATGGCTTGGCACTTGAAGGGAACACGTGGTAAAATCGGTTGCTCTTTTTGTAGGTGAACGAGGGAATTTTGTCTTTGGCGACACCGAAAGAGTTGCAAGAGCTGGACATCTCTGCTCTACTAGAGCCAGCACCATGGCTTGATGACGAGGCAGAATTTGACATTCTCACTTTGAACAGGTTGGTTGGAAAAAAATTCCATTCTATATTCTTCTACTAAGGGAATTCGAGCACTCGTCAGTCTCATTCTTCTCACTGAATTTTCAGCGAGAGCCTGAACTGAATGATGCAGCATAATATATGAGGGTTTATTGATTAGCTGCATACTCATATGCTACATAGCTTATCATAACACTTGTAAAACAAGATTTGACATCTTCTGCAATGCTGGAAATGGCACTGGCTTGGCCTCACCAGGTCATATTTTGCACAGATACACAGATACCCAAGGAAGTCGACAAAATGATCGCCACAACAATGGCCTCATTGGTAACGAGCCATATGTGAGGTCTTTTGCTGGGCTGGGCTTTCGCTCATCGCTTGAATCTCTTAGTCCCTGTTATGACGTATTTTGGAGGAGAAAAGGCAATACTGTATCGCCGTGTACATTTATAAGTGTTGGAGATGTCAACGATAGTATTTCTGTCAGGTGAAACTTCATTTTGCATGATTTATGTGCATTCTTGTGCACTTTCTCAAGAAATGGTTATGACTTTAGTTGTTGATATGCATTCTCTTTCCAACAGTTTCATTAGCTGACCATGCCTAGGTGAAGGCTACACAAGTCACGTGGCCTAATTATCTATATAGCTAGCCTATCTGCACCTCATGGTCAAGCCTCCTTGATCATGGGTTCTTCTCTGCTTTGTCTTGATGTCATTCTCTCGCACTTGTGTCCAGATGCGTGTATAGTTGGTAGATATTTCACATACTAGTAACATTAATGCTCATGTGATTGGGCCCAGTGCATGTGTCTCAATTTATCAGACATATGTAGTTCCGATTAAAGTCTAGTGAAATAGTGGTACAATGCCATAGTATTGGGTGTTTACCACCCATTTTCCTGCACCTTCTGTACTATTTGTTTGCAGATGGAAAGTGAGCTGTCGTTCCACTTACACTTTCAAGCACAAACGACCACAGAAACTGTGAGACCTGCGCACATTTCCTGCACAGTATGGGCACATGTAATACTTTCTCGAGCGTAGCACGAACACTGGGCAATGCATGGTGAATGCTGGTGCTGGTGCGGGTAGCACATTAGCAGGACACTGGGCTCATGGCACCATTCTGATGCATCTTGAACAAATCTCTCCTGCTGTGGCCTCTTCTGTGCATCCGGGTTTCATCACACATTCTTCTTTCATGTCAAGCCACGATGTTACCTACACTGTCTGTGTAGCCTAGACATATATTTTAAATCATACGTAGATCCTACAATTGCCAGTGTGCAGATGTCTTGGTGGCAGTTGCGCATTACTTCTAATGCCTTAGAATATACTTTTACAGCGCAAACATAAAACGATCCACAAAGAAAGCGACGACACACACCAGCGCTGACTAACAACTGACTTTATTTCGGGATATGTCAATGCATAAATACCTCCTGGGCAACCTCACCGCACATGCGCCACACATCTCGACAGATAACAGACACTCAGAGGAACAATCAGAGTTGACAAAAGAAATGAAACCGTGTATTACATACGTGATGAAATGAACTGAAACTCAGATGGGAGCAGCGTCAGAGACGTGTCGCTTATACAAAGCTGAGCCCTTTTTCTGATATGATAGGCTTCCAAAGCCAGCAGCGCATGTTCATTGTTACTCCTGCCAAGGATCGACGTCCCTTCAAAACGTGGCTCACAATTGCAGCAAGAATTAATATGAGCCACAAGATGGGCTCCTTTATCTTCGTTCTTGTTAACTTTTTGAGCGTGTTCCCTGAGCCGCTCGTTGATACATCTTCCAGTTTTTCCGACGTAGAACTTGCCACACGAGAGCGGGATGGCATAAACCACGCCGACGGCACACGGGACATAAGTCACACCGTGTCGGATTTTGCAACCTCCTCTGTTCATACCGCAAGTATGAACAGAGGAGGTTGCAAAATCCGACACGGTGTGACTTATGTCCCGTGTGCCGTCGGCGTGGTTTATGCCATCCCGCTCTCGTGTGGCAAGTTCTACGTCGGAAAAACTGGAAGATGTATCAACGAGCGGCTCAGGGAACACGCTCAAAAAGTTAACAAGAACGAAGATAAAGGAGCCCATCTTGTGGCTCATATTAATTCTTGCTGCAATTGTGAGCCACGTTTTGAAGGGACGTCGATCCTTGGCAGGAGTAACAATGAACATGCGCTGCTGGCTTTGGAAGCCTATCATATCAGAAAAAGGGCTCAGCTTTGTATAAGCGACACGTCTCTGACGCTGCTCCCATCTGAGTTTCAGTTCATTTCATCACGTATGTAATACACGGTTTCATTTCTTTTGTCAACTCTGATTGTTCCTCTGAGTGTCTGTTATCTGTCGAGATGTGTGGCGCATGTGCGGTGAGGTTGCCCAGGAGGTATTTATGCATTGACATATCCCGAAATAAAGTCAGTTGTTAGTCAGCGCTGGTGTGTGTCGTCGCTTTCTTTGTGGATCGTTTTATGTTTGCGCTGTAAAAGTATATTCTATGGCTATGAACCAACTAGGCCCAAAAGAAGTTTTTCTAATGCCTTGTAGCAGAAATTTCCTATATTAAGTTCCACAATAATTGGCGTATGATACCACGATACATTTTCTCTTTGTAAAGCTTTGCTACATGAAACTTGTTCTTTGTGTTCTGATTTGAACAAGCCTCACAGGCTACAGCTAGTGTCAGTCTTGCCTTAAGTAATGCAGCATACTTTGGGTAGAGCTAATATAAAGCATGCTGTGAGTACAAATAACAATATAGTTGGTCATATCCGTGACGTTTAGCGGAGGCTTGTGAAGACACATGAAGAAGGAGGAACGACACACACACACAGCTGCTTTTTGATAAGAGTTTCATTGTACGTAGACACAGCGAGGCAACTACATGAGTGATTATTGAATCTGCTTCTATTCATACTTTTGGGTGAAATTGCGTTATTGTGGCATTGCTATCTGTAAGGAAGAAAGAACTATTTTATCGTGATGCAGCTGTGTCTGCACATGCCTGAGTTGTTTATGTTTTCAGAGTATAAATGCATGCATAAATGTGTATGATGAAGGTTTCAATAAATTATAGTTGAGAATTAGCGCCTGTGTGTATTCGTCCTTCATCTTGTCTACATCTTCACAAGCCTCTGCGCTAAAGATACACCTTACCGGCAGGTCCAGAAGTCAACCCTTGCCAAGTTTCTAGTGGAACAGCATGAACAATGAGACAGCTGAAAACAGACGGGACAAAACACATCGCTGTCTTTGTTTTGTTGTCTTGTCGTTTGCACCATCTCACAATAATGCACATAAGCCATCTAGCCCAGCTGAAAACTTTTGGGCAAAGTAAAATACTTTCATGAGTAAAGCAAGTACATGTTTGCTACGTAGATGTTTCTTGTCCTCTTTGTAACGTATTGTGAAACTCTGACTTCATTTTTCAATTTTTTTTTCTTTCTTCTGCCATTTTTTAAAATTTTTTTCGGGATTATATTCAAGAGTGCGACATTTTCAGTCTTGACGGTGTTGTGCTGCATGCTGCAGGCCTCCAGAGCCCCCAGCAGGGCAAGCATTGGACTTCCTGGTGGTGCAACACCCGCTGGACCGGCATAATGCCTCGGTGGGTTCTGGGATTCCTGGCGCTGGGTCCTCTGCATTCACCAGCCCGACGAGCGCCAATCCTCCCTCAATGGCACAGACGGGTCGTAGTACCACTATGGTGAGCTCAGCAACACAGTCCTCAGAATATGAGAACAGACCAAATTAAGGAGTTCAGTTTCCAGCTGTTTTGTCAAACCACAGATCTTTCCAGCTGGAAAGACTTGTTTGATAATTCAGCTCAAAGTGGATGAATGTCCAGCTTAAAAAGGGGTTCAGCTGTACTTCTTTCAAATAACAAAACTTTGTATATTAACTTTGTATAGATCACCAGTTTAATTCAATTCTACACATCAGAAAGTCATTTAGGATACACCTAAACCTCATTATTTATTTATAAAGGTTATTTCTAACACTGTATGGCAAGACTACTTTTCATTCACTTTGTTATAACCAATATTTCGTTATATCAGTGTTTGTTATATTGAGGGCTGAGTACCGTATTTACTCGCGTAATCCTCGCACTCGCATAATTCTCGCACCCCCCTCATTTCCCTCCCCAAAGAATACGATTTTTTTCCTCGAGTAATTATCGCACCCCTAGAAAACTGTCGCAATAATGTGGTGTGCTCGTTCCAGCCATTAATGATGATAGCGCACACCATCTGGCGCCATCTCTTAAGCATCAAGCGTACTCTTGCACGGAGATTCAATTCAGTCCAAGCCAAGCCGAAGTGGCCAGTGCGCGTTGCGGCGTGATTTTTATGTTGTGTCGGTAATCTTGGCTCGTTATGGGGCGATACTGAAGCCACACGGCTGCTTCAAGTTGCAAGGGATAGATCATGCGCTAAACAACGGCAACAGGGCCGCCGGTAGGCCTTTCGGGGCCTACGAGTTTTGTGTTTGCTACTGGTGACGGCAGCTGAAATCCACCAAGACGCGTTGGGCCTGCCGTGTGCCTAAAACTGCGATTGATGGTAAACTTTATTTCTTCAGAAGGAAACTGCGGACGATTCTGTTAAATAGCCATCAGCTCAATACTGACGTCCTACGCTTACGTTTTGAGGGCTCCTGTTGAGCGCCGACCGCGACCGCTACGCCCGCAATGCCCACAAGCTTCGCGTATAGTATTCTAATTATCGACTATTTGCTTCCACTTTTTGTGTCTCAAATTAATCATGCCTTGTGTTGAACCTCTGCTTTTATTGTTGAGCTAAAATCTAATTAGTACTTCTTAAAGCTTGCTTAAGTTGCTGGTGTGAGAATTCTGATTTGCGGCCACTTTGTTTGCTTTCTCGCTCTCTGTGTTTTCGTGGAAAGTTTTCCCCACGTAATTCTCGCACCCCCCAACTTTGCATCGATATTCTGGCAAAAAAAGTGCGAGGATTATGCGAGTAAATACGGTACATCAGGTTGTTACTGTAAGCATACAAACATGATAATGAAAAATAATACAGGTAATTTAAACCTTGTAACATTCCTATGTGCACCTGTGTGTCCCTAATGTCCTTGCGTGTTCCATGCTCCATCTACTACGTAATTAATTTTTTAGTTTCATGATGCTCATATAGATCTAGCTCTGTTGTTGGATACAGAGATAATTATATGCACATCGAGTGCTATATTTCTCAGGTGCTATACATGTGCTGCTTATCATTCAGAGAACCTCACGCACAAAATTCGCCCTCTTACTGTTGCATGAAGCAAATAAGAAGAGTTGTACCATGCTGTTGAATTATAGCAACTGCCGCTGTGCACCTATGTCGTCACTGTTTGCAAACGCTTTTTGTATGATTGACCAGATGCTAACCTTGTTGTTTTACTAACACTTATGCATTTCTTCCCTTCCTTCTTCCTTCCTTTGAATAATTCATAACATCACATCACCCTGCATCTTCTAACAAAACACCATCCTCCCACCCCCATTTTTTTGTTGTCAATTAAAAAAATCTTAATTACCTCGAAAAGATGAAGGGGCTGAATTTCCCCGGCAGCACTAATGCCCACTTCTGTCAGATTGTCCTCGAGCGAAGCCGTCTCATGATCAAGCCGGTGAGTGGCACGTTTGCAAAAGTACAGGGTTGTTCGACGGCCCCTGGCCTTTCCATGTTTGGCTCCCCCTCTAGCTCCGCTGCCATTTTCTCATCCATGGTTTTGAGCGGTGTCGATGCATGGCCATTGCATGTCAATATGCTTACTCTTGGAATGCCTCACTGAGTATTGGGACTAGCATGTTCATTGAATGATAGAAGTGGCATGCAAGTGTTGAAGCTGGGTGCTTGTTTTGTTGGTACCTATCCAGAGGCATGAACTGGTCAAAATGCTCAGGGTGTACAATTACTTACGTTGCAGGCAGTACTGGCATGACTGATACTTTTTTAGCTACACTTGATGTTAATGAGTGAAAGGAACGCAGGCAATTGAGGGGCACAATAATTTGTTGTAGCATATGCAGGCGATTCGCCTAACCAGGATGGACCAAGCGAAATAGAAGTTGACAAGAAGATAATTTCGTGCAGGCTTCACTTTTTTCTTTTTGCTTGGTTGCACTTGGAATGCGAGCAGCAGCAGTGGCAATCTTTCAGGGAGGTCCGTAACCTAAGCTAACAGAAAGCTCTCTCTTATGTGTGCTAGACAATTCCTGGTAATGCTAGCCAGTGTCTGTGGTCATTGTAGAGAGCAGGTACTGGGGGGTTGCTTTTAGTGCATTTAATATACACAGTGATTAAAGACTGTATCCTGTGTGTGCCTCTATATGAACATTTATGATGACTAAAATTTGATGGTAAAGCCTTGTTAGAAGTTAAATAGATAGTAGTAGTGCTTGTAGTTTAGTAGCACCATAATCTAATTAGAAGCAAGAGCTTATGGACAGAAAAGAGGTGTCAGGAATAGGTATGATTATTGCACTAATTGACCCAGAATCTTTAAGAGGCCTTATGTTACGCATGCTCGGCCCCATAAATGGGCAAATGGTAATATGTAGCAAAAAAAAAAACAGACTTCATTAGCAAAAGTATGCTTGTGTACTTCTAACCTGCATGCCACCAGGAAACACACAAAGAAATTGAGAATTCGAGGCTCATTTAATTAATGTTTTCTTGAGAGTTTAATCTACCAACACGGCCAGAACTTCACACGTTATCCTATTATCGTTTAACACATGATGATATTATGGAAACACAAGTATAGGCTTTTGTTTATATTGTCATGCATGTTTATTGCTTTCTTTTGATGTGTTCAAGTGCCACCTACAAAGACTGTTATCAACGCTCAAAGGAGAACGTGCCACAATATTTTAGAAGCTTCGTGATTGTTCGAGTTCATTCTGTTAGGATTACATGCAGAACACAAGCAGTCAAGTTTATTTGAGAGATAACGTGAGCACCAGCAATAACACTACGAGGTTCGATGGCTGCTCCATAAAGGACGATGTGTTGCGCCGGTGATCAGATTACTCGACGGCCAACGACTGTTCAGGCCGCTGTCGATTTGCAGTGTGAATCACCTGCATATTGTCCTTTCATTTTCCAAGCACAGGTTCGCCCAAATAAAAAGTTAAACACCCTGACTGCTGCCTTCACTGTCACAACCATGTGAGGATATTGACCTATGCGTGCTTTGATATACCAACAGTACACAATGCTTATTTGTCACACAGTCCACTCAGCAATGGTGCAACTGGTATGAAGAGTGCAGTGAATGAAACATACTTCATCCTGGCTTAGTTCACATTATACTGCAAATGTGTGAGAGGGTAAGCGGGGGTTCTCTTGCAGCAAGAGGTGCTTCTGAAAAAAATTGCATGTATGGTGCCTAATAAATTTAATAAGTTTGATGCAAGTCTGTGGCCTGGGTTTTACCCTGCATTCTACATCGGTGTTTTATTTGCGAAGCAGCTTCAGTCTGAGCTGTAGCTAGAATAACTAAGAAGATGGGTAGCATTGTTGAGTGAATGGCCTTCATGTTTTTGCGTTCTCACTGGCAGCCTGCAGGCTCCACTGCATTGCTACATGTCACAGTGGTTGAGCACTAGCACCTTTACATTTCTTTCATCATGTAGAGTAGGAGGGTGGTATAGCATGTATACTGCATGCTTTGACACCGAGGCATGTTCTAGGCATCTAATTTACAGGGCCATGTATGTGGCCATGTTATGTTGCCCTGCCAGTGCTTTGTTCTGTCATTCTGCTTCTTGCACATCGTGTAATATTTATATATGTATGTTCACCAGTTAAAGATGCTTATTTTTGAGAAAGCTTTGTATCGCAAAATTTTGTGCAAATGTCTCATTACTTCCGTTATTAGTTACCCAGCAAGATAGCTATAATTTCGTGAATATAGGACAAGAACAGACACAGTCGTAGGAAATTATGAACAGCACAGCCCATGCATATAGCTTCATTTAATGCCGAGAAGTCAGCATTAGGCTGCACGAGTCTTTTGTCATTATATTGTTGAGAGTAAAAAAAAATACAGTAACTGAATTCTTATGTAAATATCTGCAAGCTCCTCAACTAATCGTAAGTGCTTCATTTTAATTTCTTCAATGTAAACTATTAACATGTTTGCTGCGACACGATTTCTTGAGGTCTCGTTTTACGTGTGTAATGACCCACCGGTAGGCCACTCTGCATGTTATCCAGGTGCACTGTAACCCGCCAGAGGGTCCGGTGGGTCACAGAATCCAACACCAGAAAAAAATTCTTTGGATTATTTATTACCTCTTGCAACAAGAATCATACCTGTGTCTTCATGTCTGATGAAGCTATCATATCAGCAAGCAGATGCATGCTCACAACATCGGTACCGCATAGGAACACAGGCTACGACCCACCAATGGCTTACGCTGTAGTGAACATCTTAATATGGGCTAGTTAAATGAGAATAGCACCAGCAAACTGTGGACTTTAAGTTTTTTTTTTTTAGTTGTACCAGCGCCTCCTCTATTCCTCAGTGCCCGGGCGAAAGAGCGAATTTCAATAGGAAGCGGCCGTCTGCGCTAGTGCGCTTTTTCGCCGCCAGGCGCCGCAACTGTAGTAGACATGTCGCCATGTCGTCTCTCGCGCAAACGAATGTCACGGCTGCATTTGAAGCTGCTATACGACTCGGTTTTCAGCTGTATTCGCATTGTTTAAGGTGTAATGGAAACTTGGAAACGAGAATCGTGAAGCACTTGTTGTTCTGAACACCCAGCTCATTTCAAAGACATGTGTCGTTCGCGACTACTTGATCAAGGCGCTCGCGTGTCATCTGCTAGGCCGATACCAGATAGCCCATGCCAGTAATCCGTGGAAGAGTGCTTTGTGACCATGGCGTTCGCTTGACTGAGAGTTGATTTTTTTTAGAGAAGCCTTTACCAGAGCTAATATTACAAGCTTGGGTGCCTAATGTTTCTCGATGCTTGCTACTCTCTAGTGGCATAACACGTTATGCGCAAGCCTGGAGCTCATGCACTAAATAGCTCAAAATGCCACTAGACTGCTTCAAGGGATATAGGTCATCATCCGTTTCTTTCGCAAAGCATTACATGTGTTGCTACCGAGAAAAAGCAAGTGTCAGAAGATGAGCTTAAACAATGAAATCATCGTGAAATAAACAAGAACAGCTCGATATGCAGCGCGATTTCTGCGATCATGGCCTACGTTTCGAACAGGCGCTGTTAAAGTCTGAAGTCTAATGCCGACTCTAAACTTGAAACAAGGTGACAGGCGTGAACAATGCGGCCTGTGATCAGTTGCTTAAGCTTGTCTGTGTATTCGTGGACGGATTGTTGTAGTCTTAATATCCTGCTGCTCAGCTCTGTTTCTTTCTTCTTTTCCCTGGCCTCTTAATTCGTTAGCAAGCAGACTAGAGGCCGAATGGCTGTGTGGTGCCCATGCGCTCCCATTCAGCTTTGGGACATAATGTTAGTGTTGCACATGGCAGTGATCGTGAGGCAGCGTTGTTACTGATAGTTTCATTTGTTGACTATTCGGATGCAACGCACTCCCGTTTAGTGATACCAATTGCCATGTTGCCAAACGTGAAGTCTTCATCCACCACTACTTATAATATATAAAATAGTCAGGATGTAAATGATAGCTGCGTATTAGAGTGTAGCCTAAAGATTTATTAGGAGACCAATGGTTCTGCCTGATTACTGCAAGCACGCTCCCCCGAACACCAGCGGAAACTGCAATTTCACCGAGTTACAGCCGTACAGTTCATTAAGGTGATAGCTTTAAATGCCTCAACAAAAGCGAAAATTGATTGGCGGCAAGCGTCCGGCGTCTTCTCGCGTCGGCGGCGTGAACATGGGTGATGCAAGAAATCATCATCATTATGTGAAAACGGCATTATATGACGCCACATATCATAAATGTTTGCAACGTATCAGAAGATCAGATAGCTTTACGGCATCATATAATATCTTCGCTTCGTTGAAATAGGCCGATCATGAGGGCAGTGCATAACAAGCTGAGAGGCAGACAGCTAGCTTTGTCTCCGATCCTTGAGGCAGTATGAAAACTATGTTAGGTGCAGAAATATACGGCAGGGAAGTAGGAAACATTCAGTGTATTGAATCGGAAGAAAACGGGGATAGTTCTTGCCTTTCATACATCTCAGGTGAATCTATAGGGGGATAGGCGAGTTTTTTTTTTTTTTTTTGTAAGTAATGAGAAATGCAAAAAGACAATTTGATTTCTTTCCATCGGATATGCAGAGCAGTACACAGCAGGATTATGTACTGAGGCATGCAAATGATGAGGCTGCAACAGCTTGAAAGAGAAAATAAAATGCAAATGCTATGAAATTCAAACGCATATATCGAACTGGTAGCACGGTCTGACAGAGCTGATGAAAACATTGCGCTGCTATGTTCGTGTTACTTTTCATTCCCCCTGTACCCATGAAAGCCGGCGAGAAACATGTATGCAAATTAACTCACATGAAAACATGACTTCGCAAGCTTTCTAATACGCGTGGCTGTCTAGTGCCAGCTTCCCGTAGTCTACTTGCGCAGCGCCGCCATGCGGAAGCGGCAAGCAGAGCGTGCGCTCAACGCCCTGATGAGAGCGTTAGCCCAGACACTGAAAAAAATAGAGGAGGTGCTTGTTGTACACAATGTAGCTGTCTCAAAGAATTGTATAAAATGAACTGAGCTCCATGTCTTTTGTACATTTCAAGCTGCAGTTTTTTTTTCTTTTCTTGTTTTCAGCTTAAACGACATCGTGTGGACTCAGTACGGCGTCTGGCAGCCCACCCAGTGCTCCCACTCTGTAAGCTGCTCACACATCTTGTGACATTGGATCTTCGCTGGTATCAAGCTTATCATTCTGTAACTTTTGTTTAAACTTCCAGTGGAGTATTCATTGGCTTTGCTGAATTGTATCAAATGCCAAGTTGTGGCATTGTTTGTATTAGTTTCTGGTGCCACTGTGAAATATGCACTCCTCTCCCAACAACCACTAAGGTCATCAGAGTTGCTTGTGACTGAGTAGACCACACCTCTCTGGTTAAACACGAAAGAAAAAAAAAGTTTAATTTTCAGAAGGCAGCAAGTGTTTACAACCGCCCATGTGTTTACAACCGCATGCTTTGCAAGGATGCAAGTTTGAAACAAATGAATGAACTCCTACGTGCTTTCTAAACGTTACAGCTGTCATATTTGCAGCAGATGAAAACAGAGGATGTCCATGCCTGCTGATCCAGATTGTGAACTGTTCTAAAATGAATATACTTTTTTGTGCGCAGAACATTTCGGAAAAGAAGTCAGATAGGACAGACTGTTTTGTCCTATATTACCGTACTCTTTTTTTCTGAAACATATTCCTTTTAGAATGCTATACCAACTAGTCCAAGTAGCCGCTCTTTTGTGAACTGTTGTTGAAGCTGGGGGAGAAAGCTAGGCAGCCAGGTGGTGTCATTTTACTCTAGGTACCTGATATGAAAAAAAGTCAACAAGGCAGGGTATGTGTTCAAATCGCCACCACTGGTTACATCCCTGCCTTGTTTCATGCTTTGTAGCACCCATTTGCACCCTACACAGAACCTTAAACTGCATGAATTGGTTTCGTCCAGCAGCATTGTGAACTGTGGCACTGTTTCAGACCTCTCTGGCTGCCAGGATGGCTCTGTCACCCTCTGGGAATGGGGCCATGCGCAGCCCGTTTCAACACCGAGGCTGGCGGGCACCTTTGCCAAAGTAACCAGCCTGATGTTCAACCAGCAAGGGAACAAGGCAAGAAACCCTTTCCTCCAAGGTTTTTGCTGCTGTTGTAGGTAGTCTACCGAAGGGATCTCCACCAGGCCTCAGTCAACTTACACACAGAAGTAATTAAGTACCATCTAGAAAAAAATTTCAGTGGAAGAATTTATGTCTGGGTTTAGTATTAGGGTGGGATGGAAGAAACTAAAATGTTGCATCACCATGTTGCCAAAAGGCAAACTTGACTCCCTTTTCGCTTTGACTAGTGACCTCAAGTAACGTTCCTTTACTGCCTACTGTCGTACCTAGGTTAAGTGACTTCAAGGGTATTGAAGGCTTTGCATGGGTTGATTTGCTAATGTTACATGCCACATTGTTAATCTTGCAGGCAGCACACATAACATTTGAGTGGGAACGGCACAAGGAACTAAGTGTAATAAAGGGTCAGACAACGGCACTGACTAAAAATGAAACATTTATTCTTTCAAGCTGTGTTAACTAGTTCTATCATTGCTCTCATAGGTGTGATACAGAACATAGAAATATCTTTTTTGTTTCAGTTTGGCGTCACTGATGGTGATGGAAACCTGAGCCTGTGGCAAGTCAGCATGACATCCACAAATGCAAAGCCCTTTTTTGTAAGCTCCTCATTTCGCAGTCGCTTGTCTCGACTTGTGTTGACCCTACATACATCAGTAGTTTCATAGATCGTGTTAGTTTTAAAGGCACTTAATGGAATAAAGGGCTCACTCAAAACATTATTTTCTAAGCAACAAAAAAAAGTTTGAACAGGAGATGAATGACAGTGAAGAGTAACGACATAACTGCTAGTGTCATCCTTTCTTTTCATGTTTATTCTATCTGCACTATTTTTTTTTTCGATACGTTACCAGCTCTCCTAGATGGCCATCAGTCTAGATATGGTTTAATGAACTTATGTGTATTAATTAACCACCTCTATTGCTACATTTTAAATGAGGAATATGCATTATGCACATGACTGCATTTGTTAACATCTGTTGTTATATGTTCACTTTGGTGAAGTTCTACTTATGTGTATTAATTAACCACCTCTATTGCTACATTTTAAATGAGGATATGCATTATGCACATGACTGCATTTGTTAACATCTGTTGTTATATGTTCACTTTGGTGAAGTTCTGTAGTGTCCTAATTTGCTTCAACAACTCTTCATTCATTTAGTATAACATTATCGGGTAATAGCACTTAGCTATGCAACATAGAACATGCTAAGGGCATGCTGTTTGTCAAGTGCTTATGGTTTAAGTTAGTGTTCATTTTCACATTAAATGCCACGTAACTTTCATTCAATCTTAATTCTTTCTTACGTATGAAGCTTGCTCGGCAAACTTCTTTTGCTCGCACCTTGTCCAGCGGCGGCGGCCGGCGTTTTTAGCCAGTGTCCACTTCTCCGGTAGCCGCTCACAGCATCGTCTCCGGTGATTCTAATAATGCTCACTAGATGGTGCGCTGCCACCCAAGGTGTCGGTTTTCGATGGCCTGCATGCTCCCCTCCTCGCGACTACGTCCACTTTGTTCTCGTCGCTTCGTAGGGACGGTAGCACGTGACAAGTTCCTACGACTGAGTGTACGCACAGGTACCGATATTCTTTCAAGCCCCTCACCTGCCTGTTCTCGACCCCGTTGAAGAGTGCCTGATAGCATTTGACTCACGGCAGTGGCCAGTATGGCATAAAGGGGCAGCTGGTTAACATGCCGGTTGACATGGCCAGCACTGTGCAGTGCCGGCTGTGGAACGTGCCCGAAAATGCGGCCTTCGATGTACACATCATGCACTAGCTTGTTAACAGAAATGGTCTCGCCAAGAAACGCCCCGTGCACCTCCAAGCAAGCTCTTCCGACATCTTTCACTTGGCAGATATGGTGATGATTTTTTTTCACCCATGTTTAACGAAAATGGCAAAATTTTTGTGCTTTTCAGTGTGTTGTTATGCGTATAACAGCGCAGATTAGTAACCTTTAACAAGAAGTATGCAGCTTAACAGACAAGTTGATCGGGCTAGTTAGTGATTATTCATCATTGCAGGTAGCAGGAAAGGCTTGCATCTAATGTTTCGTGCTGCCTAGAATTATAAAAAGCATTCGACGAGCGGGTACAGCTTGCTTCACATTCCTGACTGTGAGGGTTCACTGATCTCATTGTGTCTCACACTGGCAGAGTGTGAAAAGAAGTTAGGGATGTTCAAACTAGGTGACAATATGAAAGTTTTCATTTCTGAGAATTAAAAAAATGCGGACGGAACACTACCTCAGACAAAGCAACACTGAAGCAGTTGGCAAACTTCAGATCACATAGATAAATAAGGCAATACCTAATGCATTTCAACTCTGAAAAGTTCTAGTTATCAGTGAAAACATTGGATAAGTCCATTCAGGGACTTCCAAAATCACGTGCAGAGTTTGGTAGCAAGAGTCTCAGTCTCAGTGCTAATACTGGAGATGGACTGTAAGTTCAGCCACACCAGGACCCCAAAGTCACAGTGGCGCGAAGACAAGTGATTTGTCACGTTACTATAGTCCCTTATGTTTCGTGCCCCTGAGAAATAAGCACAGACAATTCTCATAAGTTTGCCAAGTATAACTTGGCAGACGAAGCACAACAGGAAACATCTTTCAGCAGTGTCCTGACCATCACCTTGTCTTGCAGAGTGCATCATGCCACACCAAGCAAGCCAGTGACTTTGCCTTTGTGAGCTCGTCTAGTTTGATAGCGACGGCGGGCCACTCGACGGAAAACCGCAATGTCTGTCCTGTGGGACACGCTGCTTCCCCAACGCAAGGCACTCATTGCCTGTAAGTATTCTCCTCTCAACTTGCCAGTCATTGTACTGTATGAAGAGGGTATCATAGACTTAGGTCGGGGTCAGTTAATAGATGAAAATAATTATATTTCTGTGATATAAATTATTTAATTATTATTGCAATATTAAGGACAACTAGTGGCAGCACGTATTGCATGGGGCTTGCAGTGCATAGTGTGTGTGCATCTTGTATAGAGATAGGTGTTTAGCTCGCTTAGAATTGACAGGCCATGTACAGATTGACTCTACATTAAGCATGATTTTTCTATTTCAGCCTTTTCTTGTCACGAGCATGGTAGTTCTGCGGTGGTGTTCGCACCACAAAACCAACTCCTGATCTCGGCTGGCAAGAAAGGCGACGTCTGTATCCTCTTTTGCCTCTCTTTTTACCTGGAGGCATCTTCATAGTCTTTTCAAGCATGTGGCTCATTAGTTTACTCATATTGTTGTTCTTATTCTTAACTTTTCTTGAAAACATGCTTCAAAACATTCGTTCCAATAACTTTAGTGCTTTGTTTAGATTTATATTTTATATTCTTAAGTCCAGAAAATTGATGGGCTGTGTATTCTCCACTGGTCGCAAGGTTGCTAGTCTGGGATCCAGCCACAACAGGTGCCTGCTAAAAGAGACAACTCATGAAAATGCCCGGCTCGTGAAAGTGCCCACGTACTTCCGTATACTTGCAGACCAATGCCTGCTCCTTCATCTCCACCATCCCCAGTTTATGTGCGACATGGGTGTGATTCTTGCTTGTATACAGTCCGCATCACATTTAGTGACTTGACTTATAGTTCGGAGAGTGACGCTTAGTAATCTAATTACACCTGTGGCGTTCTCTTTCAAAGCATCTCCTGTCGCATTTCATTGTCCGACTTGTACACCGGTGTGCATCCACTGTAAACTGCAGTTTACTGTAACCCCTTGACTCAATTCCCTATAGTCATATTCGACGTGCGGCAACGGCAGCTGCGCCATAAGTTTCAGGCGCACGAAACGGCCATCAAGTGCCTTGCCTTGGATCCTCGGGAAGAATACTATATCACCGGATCTGCTGATGGTGACATCAAGGTATAGTTATTCATTCGTATGTCATCATGTATCTCGAAGTACTGTGCAACTTGCTTGATCTTATGTGATGCTTGCATACTGAAGTAGCACACAGGATAAAGTGATACCAACAACTTGCATAATATGCTACACAGTGGACTCTCAGTAAACAGAAATCTGTTGAACGGAACTGCTGCTTAAATGGGACAACTGCCTCTGATATGACTGGTTCCATCTCTGCATACTGCACCCTGACTCACCTCTAAGTAAATGGAACTCCTGTTAAGCAAAACACTGTTTTCCCAATCCGTTCAGGTTCCAGAGTCCACTGTATTACGTTTATGCTGGATGGGGAGTGGCACTCTATGCGACTTGTGACACTCTTGGCCACCCATGCTTTTTCTCACTCCTGTCTTGCAACAATTAGAAGCTATTTTATCACTTGGGAGTAATTCCAGATACAAAAACAGTAGGCTTAGACAAATAGTGAATCTTAGGTTATAAACCAATAGTGATTTCCACCAGGTAATTTTAAATCTAATATCAAACAGCATTCATACCTCATAAGAAAAATGGGTATATTTGTCACGTTATAACTAACCTGCACAATTTTCTTTTATTGAAACAAGGCCTGTGCAAATGTCATTTTTTTTTATACTTCAAAGGAACTGAAAACAATTTTGAATATTAGTAGCAGGATTTTATTTTCGGTAGAATGCAAGTGATAACCTATAATATATGTTAAGGATTAAAATTTGTAATACCTAGAGCATATAAGTCGGTATAACAAGCTTGTAAACTTAATATCTTCATGTAACCTTGAAGTGCACCTTCGCGGCAGCGCAGATTTCCCCTTAATAAGTGTTTTTACGGCATAGCACCATTTCACTACATTGAAACTACTTTTACAGCAAGTTACACGCGAACTAGTATATTACGGCCGCCAGATAAAAGAAAAAAACCCAGCGACTTAAACACTTTCACGGGATAGCACACCAGTGCAGTGAAACCAGCTTTACATGAGGTTACATGGGGACTAATATGGATCTATTCATTCGTTTCAAATATTTCAACAATTTAAATTGCAAGTACTGTGTTATTCGTTCTACAATTGAAACATTCGAATATTCGCACAATCTTAGAAAACATCATTTTGTTGTGCATATGAGGGCTAGTTGAAGTTGCGTGCAGCCTTTCAACTTCAGAGGCAACACCCAGCTGTGTTGAAAGGGAATTCATACTGAGCATGATTGTAGACTATGCTGCTTTTTGTAGGAGATAAGAAAACAACACAAACTTCATTGAACTTCACTTCACCTACAGGTCTGGGGTCTGCCAGTTCATGTGCTGCTGTACGCCTTCCCCAGCGAGCACTCTCGGAGTACGCTGTTCCGGAACATTGGTATGGGCGTAACACACCTGCTGACTGATGCCAAGGGCCGGCTGTATTCGTGCGGCGCTGACGGTTCCATGAAGATGCGCCAACTTCCCGACCGTGACGCTGTGGTAGCCAGCTTCACCTAGCACGACAGCCCATCACTACGTTTTGCTTCTCTGTCCCTGCACCTTTCAATGTCTGACATTGTGCTGCATTCAGAGTGATTGCAACGCGAGTTGTGTGGCTTGCAACTGTTATCACTGGAGATAGTCGATTGCTACAATTATGTATCCATGTTCCAACCATACCCTGGTCTTGTGTAACCTTGCGAGCCCCAATAGTTTTCCAGCGATGAAGCAAAGGGAAGCAGAGATCTGCTGAGGGCTAGTTCCTGATAAGAAGCTTTCTCGGCACTCTTTGTGAACCTGTCTCCCCCCCCCCCCCCCCCCACCTTTTTTTTTACTGTGCTCTTATAAATATACATACCTCTGTTGTTGAATGTGCAGTGTAGCTGTGATAAATTTTTCCCCACTTTCCCGATAAGTCACATTTGCCACGTGGTCTTATTCCAAGTGACATTCCTCTCAATGTGCAAAACCAGGGCGCGGCTTCAATGGGGGAGATGAAGCCGTCTTGGATATACGTTTGTTTTATGCAAATTATGCACTGACTGTTGATTGCTTGGTTAGCCATTGTGCGTGGTAGGTGCACGGAAGCTGTTCAATTGCTAGTCGAATCAGCGGTTGCGGTTTTTCTCCCATACTGCAGACAAAGCTGAGATGATTAAATCAAATGTGCGCAGTCATTAGTGTAGTGAACTAAAGCACGTTTGTATATATGTATTTATGACATCAATTTTTGCTTATGCCATTGTGTTCTACTTAGCCTTATTTTTTAGAAGCGACTATATAGAGATGGTGATGACGGAACGTGCAAATTGTCTGAAATAAAAAGTTACAGTGGGCATCTGTGTTTTGTATTTGCATAAAAAGAAATCCACATTCATAGTTACTTTTTTTTAATGTTTATTTACAACTGCTCAACATAGTTCAGGGGAAAACAAATAACTGGGCAAAACTTCCACCATAGTTCAATAGAGACCGAACTCCCTTCGAACATAAGCCCATGAAACAATGGTAACAGGAGCAAGAATGTTTGACACTTATGGAAGGTCGATGCACGGTGAAGCACAACACTCACACTGAAGTTTCCAGGGCAGCATCTCGGTTGTCATCTTCTGCAGATGCAATATTAGATGGTCGGCAGCTAGCCAGTGGCTCAGTCACTGGCCTTCCGTTGTTGCCTGGTAGGATAGCGTCTGGCAATGGAAGAGTCATTGTAGAAGACAAGAAGTTCACATTTGGAGACTCGCTACTCTTGGGTGGCTGTGTGGTGTCCCTGCGACGAGGTGTGGTCTTTTCCCGAGAGGGTAGGCTACAGTAACAACGAGACGTGAAAAACCGCTTCTTCCCAGATGAAAGGTGCACGGCACCATTCTTACCTTGACTTCAGCTGTTCTAAAATGTCCATGAATGCAAGGTAGTGTTCATGCGTGAACTCCTGTTAAGGTTACAGGAAAAAAGGTTGGCTAGTGAATCCGAAAGCTCGAGCAGCAATTGTTTCGCTTGTGAATGGAAGCACGTCTCGAACTATGCAACATCTAACCAAATGCAAGTAGTCTGACCAGCAGCGCTTTTAAAACAGTAATAGCTGCCAAGAGAACAAGAACCAAACATTGAATTGGGATGTTGAAGATAAGCTTGTCCACATCCTGAGGAGCAAAATGCACTGGTGCAACAAAATTGAACATCGCGAAATTGATGAAAATTGAATTCGCGTTTTTATGTTTAAGCTGCCTGTATTGGCCAATGGAATTAAGTTAACCACGGTTTGACAAATTACAATAGGTTCTTACCTTCGGACTGTGCCTAGCATGTTCGTACAAGTCCAGAAATTTGTGTACAGTGCGAGGATCGCAATTTGCGAACGGTCCCCCGTGAAGTTGACGCAGAAGGAAGACTCGAACATCTTGTCCTGGTTTGCGGATTCGTGTCTTATCGATTCCTCCAATGTGCTCCTCTGGGGTCGGAAAAAAAAAAGCAGTGAATTGCATCTTCTCGCTGTTCGTTTATATCGTTTTCACGACGGCACAGAGTAACGAGTAAGAAATCCCACCACGCAGCCACAGCGTGCGATTTGTTTACCTAGTTCCGAAAGCTTGTCCACAACACCCATACGAAGCAAATGCTGCGGTTGCACTGCAATTGAGAGTGCACAGGTCCGATTTACACACCCATCACATGCACAAATCAGCAAGAAGTTTACACGCGATCGAGTCAGCGGCATCTACCTTGAGATAGATTACTATGCTCCGAGAGGCACTCGTTTGGCTTGAGTAGTGTAGGCTCGTAGGCTATATCTTTGATAATTAGCAGCCGCCTATCAACTTCATCTTTCAGCGACTGAAAAAAAAAATAAGGCGGCGAGAAAAATGTTAAGCGAGGATCCTACGTACGAAATGTAACATGACACGCGCTAGATTATTACATGTGTTGTCATGATGCACTTGCCTTCGACACACCGTGGCCTATTGGCACGTGGGGGCTGTGCTTCGACTTGAGGGTGAATCGCATTATCTGCCTTTTAGCGAATATAAACAGGATGAGAAAGGTCTGCAAAAAAAACGCCAAAATCGAGATATCAAGAACGGTACACAGTTCGGCACATCTCGCGACGCTTACCAGGACTCCTAGAGCGATACAGATAATGATAGCAACTCCAGAGAGTCGATCTGCCATTTCAGCAATTCACTGAGCATACTCGAGCGATAAAGAAGTGCGGCTGCGCTCACGCTAGTGGGTATGAGCCAAGATCTTCCATGCGACAAGACAAGAGTTCCTTTACAGTCTGACACGATCAGCATCCAGGCAAGTAGCGCGATGAGCACGGAGTGCAAATTGATCTCGATACTGGTTCACTGACAAATTCAGCGAAACGCGAAGTTTCGTCGCATAGTTTTCATCCCAGCTGAGGATTTTTGAACGTTGGTCACGTCGTTCACTGCCCCCATGCTCAGTTGTACTACAGTGTACTAGAATCACTCTACTTGTACGACGAGTTTCGCAAAAGGTTTGCAGACCTCTAGGAAATGGCCGATTGGCTGCGCTTGTTGTGTTTTGCCTATTTTGCCAGCGGCTTGTGACACGTGACCGCGATGCTTTTTGTCCGATACCGCCCCAAAATGGCAGACAGCGACTCGGAGAGAACTCCGAACGACGAGAAAATAATAACGCCACTGCAGTTAGGACCGCGAGTCGTAACCATCTGCAAGACCGAGACGGGATTCGGCTTCAACGTGCGCGGTCAAGTCAGTGAAGGCGGCCCTTTGAAGAGCATCAACGGCGAACTTTACGCACCCTTACAGCATGTCAGCGCGGTGCTCGAAGGCGGTGCTGCCGAGGAGGCTGGCATTCGACGCGGCGACAGAATCTTGGAAGTGTACGCATCATCTTGTGCTGTTCTGTTGGTGTTAACGGTTCTCGCTGATCTGAAGTTGAGCCCCATTCGTGCTGTGCCTCGCGCGCCTGTGGTTGACGGCTGTGGATAGCAGGCGAAGTTCAGTTTCGGTAGAGTTTAGTTAGGCTTAATGTTTTACCGTGTTTTCTGTGCCAGTGCTGGTTTTCGCCTGTTCGCGAGCGGACCGCTACGCGAAAAGGTGCCTGACCGAACCTGAAATGCATCTTCTATTCACTACTTATGTCTAAGCGCTACATCAGCGAATCTTTGAACACAGAGACAGCGATTGACATGACAACTTCTAGCAGCTGATGTAGTAAAGACGAGTGGTTGAAACGTAATGTTCACTTGAATGGCATTATGAACACGTCGATAAGACACTGTTCTCGACACAAAGTGAAAGTGCCCAATGCCCGAGGCGTTAGCATAGGAAACACAAAAACGAACGTCGGATAGGTGTTTTGGCTGCGAGCTTTAGCCAGAAAGCTACATCGCTTGAGAGTCATGTGTCCTTGTTACCTCCTGATCGTTTCACTTATCAATTTTTCATTGCCTTCTAGCAATGGGGTTAACGTAGAAGGAGCAACACACAAGCAGGTCGTGGACCTCATCAAATCAGGCGGGGACAAGCTTACGCTAACTGTCATATCAGTCACTGCACAGGTACGTCAAAACGTAGTTGCGTGCAGCAGCTACAGTGGGTCGTGCGCTAGAGCACGGTCATAATGCGGAGGCCGCTTTTATCCCCCATTGCCAGGAGGCCGAGCGCCTTGAGCCCAGTGATGACTCTTCAGGAGTTTCATACATCGACTACAGCGAAAAGCGCTCGTTACCCATCTCAATCCCGGACTACAACTATCTCGAGAGGTCCAATGACAAGTTCGTGGTGAGTGTGCTTCTCCCTCCCACTCATTCTTCGCTGCCTCGTAAGTTCGGTGCATCGTTAAACAATATCTCGATTTTGCACTCGTTGGGGCTTGTGCTTTTCTAGTGCCCTTCTAGTTTATTGAAATGTCGCCTGTTGTAGCCGTGTCGGTGAAGAAGCTCTGGTACTGCAGCAACCGTCAGATTTTTGTTGCAGCAGTTGCACATGTAACAGACGGGAGGGGCGGGGAAGTCTGCATTTGGCGCAGTGGCAAGCTGGGTAGAACACATGCTCGTGACAGCAGCTTGTGTACATAGATTTGATTAGTAATTGCTGTGTAATTACAAAAATGTATTATTTTATTTGTTTGCTATTTATCAGACAGCTACTCAATGTCGTGAAAACGTTAACTATTTCGCTTTTTGTTTTGCTTCTTCACCAGAGCAACATTTAATACTAAAGGATGAGGCAGCTGTGCTGTGCAAAGTACAGTTTGCCAATAGCACTGCACAACCCGCAGCTGTATTGTCGATCCCCTTAGTGTATGCTTCATCGTTGCACATTGAAAATTGAATCAACTGTCACCTTTCATAATTTTGCTGTATCAACAGTGCAGTTTGGAAACATGTATCTAAGAGGGACATGTTCAGTGCTGCGCACAGAGCATTGAACGGTAAAATGATTGATGCTACCAGTACTCTGTGAGGGATTGAATCAGGATTGAGTTTAATGGTTTTCTAGTTGAGACGATTCCCACTGTGAAGGTCATGAAATGCATGAAACAACTAACATTGTAATTAGCAACAGATAAGTCATTAGAACGATGAGATTGTACACTGTCGTTCTTTATGAAAGGGAACACGCAAACGCATGACCTGCACTCTGTGGGGGCTGCCTGCAGCACCATCAACTGACAAGTGAAGAAAGCATGTTCGCTTTTGGCATCATCAATGGCTAAGCAAGATAATGAGTCATGGCCGGTAGACAAGCGGTGCTAGATTACGTTCCCCCACCGCTCGCGCGGCGAGTGATATCGGGCGATTAATGCAGCTTGTGCCGTGGTCGCGCACGTTTCATATGTTGGCAGTGGACTACGCACTACAGGCGTGAGCCGAGATAGAGTGCAATCTAGCAGCGCTTCTCTACCGGCCATAACTCGTTATTTCTTGATTATTTCTGGCAACAGATGACGCTGAAAGCGAACTTGTTTTCTTTTGCTGGCGGTTGATGGTGATGTAGGCAGCTGCCGCAGAGCGCAGGCCGCGTGTTCCCTTTCATAAAGGACGACAGTGTACGAATTCCTTGTATAGTGTGCGCATTTATGCATGGTAGGAATGAAGATATTTTCATTAACATGGATCACCAAGGTTTTCAATGTTTTATCCAGATGTGCATAAAACTGAAAGTGACACAGGCATGCCTTTTGGTGACATTAATAACATTGTGCTTATACCACTACCTTGTGGCATGAAAGTGATTGCTGTTTAGAAAAAAAAAAAAAATGCGCTTTTTGGAAACTATGGAATTCGCTTTTGTAAGGAACAGAATTTTTTTAAGCATTTCGTTCGTTGCTGAAGTCGACTAACTTTTTTTCAGTAAGGAAGCTAGCTACAATAACCAGTTGCATTGCTATAAATGAATCCATGTGTCTGTAAACCTTTTCTTTCTCAATGAAAATAACATGCCAAGTGCATGATCTTGCGATAAAATTAAATGTGCTTAAATTTCCCAAGCTTGCTTCTGGCCATTTTCACCCAAAACACTTGAAGGAACCTGGCTTGTTCGTAGCATGTGATAGATTTAAATGCTGTACTGTTAGCGTTCCTTCCTTTTTGCTGGATTTATTCCTTTGCACGTATTTTCAATGTTGCTGAATTCCGTGTGAACTCGGTTAAGATGGCGCAGTTGCAAATGCATGTTGTTGTGCCTGCACAAAACACACAGCTCATGTATGAAATACTGGTAGTAAAGTGAGCTTGCCCGTTTTTTTCGAGAAGTTGCGTTCGTTGACATCATTATGCGTTGTTCCCTGTAGGTGTATAACATTTACATGGCCGGAAGGCATCTGTGCTCACGGCGTTATCGAGAGTTCTCAGTTCTCCACATGAACCTCAAAAAAGAGTTCCCGGACTTCGCCTTCCCCAAGTTGCCAGGCAAATGGCCATTTTCACTGTCGGATCAACAGCTGGACTCGCGAAGAAGGGGCCTCGAACAGTACCTAGAAAAAGGTGCAGCTTAGTTGGATCTCCGTCTGTCATGTGTTGCGTACTGCATTGTACAGTTGCATTGTGGTCATCGCAAAACACTGAATTACTCAAACTGATGAATGAAGGAATCCTCTATAGCACTGTATATCATAATTGGGATAAGAGATCAGTTGTTGAACGAAGCCAGACTTCAACTTCTAGATTAGTTTCCATTTTAAAACTCTGGCTCTCGAATGTTGATTTAATGCTGTGTATTTCAAACTATTTTCTTGTGTTGAGGCTGTCATGATATAGTTACAGGGACACTAAAGCCAAATAACGATTTCCGTCAGAGTGAAAGCTAAATGTATGACAACATCTAAAATGACAATATTATCAAGAACAGTGCCCTACTTACCGAGAAATTAAGGTAAATGCACAAGAACACAAGCGCCGCACTAGGACATTTTCAAATTGATCCCGATGACATCAGACCACCTACAATTAATCACTAGTAATCGATCTAACTGCAGCACTAAATAAAGAACCTTCCGTGCATCAAGAGGCACAATAAAATGCTTCTTTGTTTCTGTTTGACTCGTGGAAAAAAACAAAAACGCCAGCCGTTACTATGGGCAATGGTGCGAGTGGTTCAAAAATTCAATCTTTATGTGGTTACGCGGGACAGGTAGTGCCATCTAGCTGGGCAAAGTTGACACAAAAGTGTCTGCAATCTCGAAGCCAATGCCGGGAAATTGATCAGTGGCCATTGTTGTTGCTGTGGCTGCCGCTGCTTTCGGTCTGCTGCTACTAACACAGTAAAGCCGGCAATGTTGTGCACGGCAACGGTGACGTGAGACTGTCCGGTCAGTCCGCTTCTTGAGGCTGGTAATTTGAAGTGCGCTAACCCGATGAGGAGCACTAAACCTTATTTTATTTCAAAACAGGCCCTTGCTTGGCACAAAAGTAACACTGAGGTTTCCGGACTGCCATTTCAACAATCTACATCGATTTAATAGTTGGCTTTAGTGTCCCTTTAACACTCTTTAAGCTTTCTCAGTTCAGTCTTTCTCCTTTACCCTACAATTAACAAGTCTTATATTTACCGATAAACTATAGTTATGCCCTGGCAGAAGCCTTTAAAATATGTGATGTTACACCAAGCTATTGGACAGCTATCATCTATGTTCTGTTGTTTACCTTTCCCAACTTATCAAACATACTTTCGTGGCAAAAGTGCTGTTTTGAGTTGTGGTTAAGATTTTAGTTGCACTGATGAAATAAGCTCAACAGTTAGCATTTATCGTTCCTTTGTTCATACTCGAGTGTTGTTCTCTTGCCTGCATTTGTAAGATTACGTTTCTGAAGCAGTCTTTGGTTTTCATTCTTCCGCCTAGTGTGTGCTGTTCGAGTGATTGCGGAGAGTGATACTATGCAGGATTTTCTCACGGACATGGACGACGAACATGTGAGCATTGTCAACCGCTTGTTTTTTACTTTTTATTTGCTACTGTTACCTTCTTCTATATACTGAGAAGCTTGCATAACTGTTCGAGCATTTTCGCACTGGGTTGAAACTGAAAAATTTTAATGCCTATAAAATATGCAGATTTCACTTTTGTAGTTAACTTTTAAAAACATGGAAATTTTGTAAAGAAATATTTCATGAGATAATGGACAACACTCACATCTAATGGAATTCTTCATGTGAATTGTACAAGGAAAGAAATATGCTTATATGTTAGTGTGTCAGCTTAAAGTTATATAGCTTTTTGTGTCATAGCCATGCCTGTGCAGTGCTTAGTGTGGGCTCTACGTGCACATAAAGCTTTACCTTTCTTTTGGTGCCACTAAACTGCTGTTAGTACTGTTGCCAAGTGTGTGCTGTGAAATAAATTTCTGTGTTCCGGGTAAATAAGTAAATAACTAATTTCGCTGTCAAATAGTGTGGGGTTGCCTTAGGCGTCGTGACCCCATTGTAGCACCCAGTGGGGGTTTGCATGCCGTAATAGTCTCTGGGCCAATATACACTTGTGCTTTGCCTTTCTTTCTGAGAGTACAAGTGCAAATTACATGAGCCTGCTTACTTTGATTTCTGTGCAATATTTCACATGCTTGCTGTTCTTTGTTCTTGGCTCTGAATGAAGGGTGGTAGTGCATCACTGGTGGACATCAAAGTGCTACTGCCTGACCGAACAACTATAGTGGTGAAAGTTCGCAAGAACAGCACCACTGAGGAGGTACAGTGCATTTCGTCCCTCATCACTATTTCTCTATTCAAATTTCTTTCAGCCTATAACAAAATTCAAACTTGATTTTTATTTCGTTTTAGAGGAAGGTGTTTGTGGTGTTGTGTATATGCATGCTTGTGTGTGTGTTTTCAAGTGCAAATGCACTCTTGTTTGTGTGTGCCATTGCTTTTTTATCAAGAAGGCAATGCACTGTATATATAGTTATGTCTTTAGGCTACTTTGTGCCTAAATCACCATAGAGTTTCCTAAAATTAACTAGAGGGGACTCTGGCACTGCGATCATTCAGTGACGATGGGAATGATGGGTAGTACACGGATTTGCCTTGTCTTTGTACTTGCAGGAAGCAAATCGCACTTGTGGCTTCGTTTATAACTGTGTTTTGGTTTTGTTTCGAAGTAAAAAATGATCCATTTTGAACTTCTTGACCTTGTTTTAAATGGCAAGCCTAAAAGGACAAGGTGGTGAAACGCAACTGCTGAACATTTGCCGATTTTTGTTTCGTGAGAAAACAGCTTCAAGCCACACGAACACACATGGAGCCAGAAGTACGTAGATTGGACAAATACGTTTATTACCCATCATTCCCATGCTCGCTGAGGCCCCGTGCGTTGCAGCTCTTATAGACACTACCGCCAGAGTTCCTTCTAGTGTATATTTAGGAAACTCTATGTAAATTACTACTTTGTGATTGTGAAACTAGAATTCTGTACATAAGAAAATATGGCACCATAATTAACATGTAGAGAAAGTAGTGCTATGCAATCATGTGCACAACCAGTATGCATAACCAGTAAAGTCGGATTATATTGGAACATATATCTGTTTCTCCATTTCAATGTGACCGGATTTCATAGACTAAAACTGCTATATGTTATCGCTTAGTGCAGAACACACCCCAACGTATCGGAACATTTTTTAATGTTTTCAGTGATTTTAATTTATTGCTTGCATGACATAAAGGACTGTGCACATTCTGCAAAGTGCGCAGGCACCAAAAATATGGCTAAAATTTATGATGATGCATTTGAAAAAATATGCACATTTTACCAAAAAGGGTAGATGATCATTGACCATGCACGTGTGTGTATTTGGTAGCTGAATGTACTTGCTAGTGATACAGCATGTCTTGAGGGTTTTTGAAATCATTGTACAGCCAAGGTGTACTTTGAAAAGGTTCTCACGAGGATGTGATATGCCTTAGCGGCCAACTGACTTTCTCTGACATACCAGTGTTGGTCATTTTGCGCCACTTTAATATTGCTTCAATGCAACATGTTGTGCATGTCTTACCTTGGCATCTTTAAGGCAGGATTCCTCCAGCCTTTTGCTTTTACTGACAAGACCGTCAAAGCACTTGTTTATTTTAAACGTAAAGCTATCTCGCAATATAAAGGTATTATTCTGGTTGTTGGGTTACAAATTTGCCATGTTCATAGATAAAAACATTACACTGGATGTTGTAGTTGGTCACTCATGTGTGGTATGGAGGCTGTTTGTCCAAATACTAGCCAGACTTGCCTTCAGAACTTAGTCCAAGCCCCATGTTCAGTGTAAGACATCTCAACCAATGGTTGGTAGTGGCCTATTGTTATAGCACCCTTGCTTATGTTATTTTGTTCCACGTGTCTACTTTTCTCTTTGCATTCCTTTTCATTTTTATCCCCATTCCCCCTCCCCTTAGTACTGGGCAGCAAACTGGATGCTACACTTCTGCTGAACCTCCCTATCTTTCTCTCAATTTATTTTCTCTCTCACAATCAATGGTAGTAATGGATTCAGATCAGCAAGGTGGCAACTTCACCAATGATAAGGTGATGATTTTTTGTTACGCTGCGGATGACAAGACTGTGATGAGACGGCAACCACATGGCAGGTGGTGTGCAATGCTTTTCCTGTAGTCTCTGTCTCATGCCTGTCTGTTCATCCGCAGTGCAACATGAAGTCATGGACTACCACCAACTAGCCCAGTTTATCTCCCTGCTGAACGATTTTAGAACCCTGCTACGTGGTTGGGTACTACAGAGTACACATCTACTAAAGATATTTATATCAGACACGTTTATTTACCCATGGTCTGACAAGAATTATCTTGAGAGGTTGTGACTTGGTTCTGCTCGCAGCACTGCATGTCTTGGCCTCCTTTTCGTCATCTTGCCGCAACTGTAGCATTACTATATGTTTTGACGTGACTGGTTCAGTAGAGGATCTCTGGCTTTTATAATGGAATTAACCACTTGCTGGTTGCGATGTGGCATGTCTTTATGGACATAGTATGTGTGCATTGTTGTGCAGGTGTATCAAGCAGTGGTGGAAAAGGCAGGCTTGCCACAGGAAGTCTGGCGCTACTTTGCTCTGTTTGAAATTGTCGAGTACGGCTTCGAACGCCGGCTGGGCCCCAACGAGTTTCCGCATAACCTGTACATCCAGAACTACTCGACGGCCACATCTACCTGTCTCCTGGTGCGCAAGTGGCTCTTCACCACCCAACTGGAGGAGTCGCTCGCCCAGGCTTATCCCTTGGCTGCAACATTCTTCTTCTGGCAGGTCGGTGCTTTTGCTGTCTTGTTTAATTTGCATTTTGTTGCTGGTATCAAGGTAGTTCATCACTGGCAACTACAATTGGGTGAGGCAACGACCGTAGTTGCTATCTAGTCTGCCATGATTATACAGTAAAGGCTAGTAAACTTTGCCTTCTTCTCAGGTCTTGGCAAGTGTGCGCATTCGTTAATGGCATCCAACTCACAATAATTCTGTTGTATTTACCTGTAACCCAGTCAGTTTTGATGATCCACAAAGCGCATTGAGCACAAAACACTACCAATGTGCGATGCGAAACAGGGTTCATGGTCAATGAATATGCACGGCGCAGTTCACAATATTATCACCATCAGCATTGTGAACCACGTGGCTCGCAATGCTGATTACCTAGAGGGAAAACTTGCCCTGCAATGCTGTTGTACGCATGCGAATGCTGGGATATATTGGATTCAAATTGGCATTGTTCCCATACACTTCCCCAAGAGCCCATACACTTCGAAGATGCACCTGGTTAGACCGTAAATTGGTATTGATGTTTGTAATGGGCTACTTTTTCTTTAGCATTACACAGAAATGAGCAGTTCTACCTTATGTACTCGGGGCTGTTGTCATTTTACTTGTGTTGATGGTGGTCTCACTTGAAGTTGTGGGACCCACTCAAAGCTAGAGTATGTTTCTCAGATAACAAGCTATGGCGTCTGAAAGGCCCTTTACGGGAACATTAACATTAATTTCTATTTTATGCCGTAGTTCTGAAAGGCTGCACCTCCAGACTCCCATCGGAACAGGCTCTAATAAATTGCACATTGTCACCAGCAGCTTGTCTCATGTGGCATGTTCTTTGCTAGCAGCCGTGTATATGTGTTAGTCACTAACGCTGCACTCTATTGCTGCAATGTTTTGTTAAACGTGTTGGGATCTGTTGGGCTGAAGCAGGTATAATTATTTAATCAGTCTGTTGGTGCACTTATTTGCAATGCAGCTTCTCGTGGTCAAATAAATGCACACTGTCTGTGCAAGGCTCACGTCTACTCATGTGTAAGAAGTGTTTCTTGAATTGTTTTTTGTTTTGTTTTGGTTGTTGCAGGCCATTGATGATGTGAACAAGGGACAAATCAAACCAGGCAACAAACTTTATGAACTTAAGGCACTACAGGATTGTTCAAGGAAAATGGAAGTAAGTTGTTTCACTTCTTTATCTATTTGCTTCCCTCTGCTTCACTTCCCAGGTATTACTGTACGTGTGTGTAATAAAATAAATACAAGGACAATATAAATCAGTGAGGTACAGTATAAAAAAATTTTCATTAAGTTAATGAGAACACACAAAACGAACTTGTGCTGCTAATCCACAGACGCTTGTGAAGTAAATCTCATGATGCATATACTCGCCAACGAGAGAGACAGGGTCGACCCGTGACAAACTAACGTAGGCTCTGCTGAATGCTTGATCTGTCTGTCGGAGTGAGTGTTTAGTTATTCAAGAAAAGGATCAGTAATCGGTCAATGAGTGAAGCAAAAGCTTGGCTCAATTGTTCAGTGATATGGCTTGATACGTTGGCTTTAGGCCTAGGATTTTATTGTTGATCCGTCTCCATCTCTGACTGTGTGACTATTCTGTCTTGTTCAGAGAACAATGGCCACGAGGACTGAGCATGCCATGAGACTATCAGTTGTAGTGATTTTTGCTGTGCACACATGTTGGCGAGCTTGATCCTGACACTTTCCTGGTTAGCTATAAGTACTTGAACATTGTGTGTGTGATTAGTGTTCCACTCAAGAAGGAAAAGCCCGACAGGGCTTATAACGACGCCGCAGAGTGCGGGACGTCGCTCTGAACCATGTAACGGTTCAACCACCACATTCGTAATTTGTGAAACTCTCAACCTTTCTATGCTGTAAATATTTGTAAATAGTGCCATAAACCTGTTTGTTTTTATATGTCTTGTGGCATGAGAACCATTTGCTTCAGCTCAATAGAAAGCACCAACCAAGTGCATTTACTGAAGCCAACAGCTTGTGCAGAATTTGTTACAGTAGAGAGGGACAGCCCTTGCACCCGTGATCTCTTTTGTGCTTGTCACATGCTGTATTCTAATGCACAACTGTTCTTTTACCTCACCCTGCTGGATGGTGCCACAGTACTTGCAACTCGCTAGGACTCTGGAAGGCTACGGAGAGCTGTCTTTTCCACACTGCACCTGTGATGCACGCAAGGATGGCCATGTCGTCTCTACTGTGGGGATTGATGGCCTCAAGCTACAGGCCTGCCGAGACGATGGCACATTAGAGGTGAGGCCAGCTGGCTTCATGTTGTGGGACATAAATTCAGAACCAGTGAAACTTCCACAATTTGCAATGATCTCTTCCTGTTACATGGTAGGCATGCTAGGCGTTAGCACTGTAACTAAACAGATAACCAGAACAAGCAGCTTTATGTTGTGTTATTCGTTGATACACAATAGACTTTCATTAAAACGAACCTGAAGGGACCATTAAAATATTTTTTGGTTAACAGGAGTTCCATTTACTAAGAGAAGAATAGGGATGCACATTTGAAGTACCAAACCAGTCATATAAGAGGCAATTTCACTTAAATGGCAATATTTTTTAGCGATTTCTGTTACGGACACTGTACTGCAGCATGGGAGGCATCTTGCCAGTACTTGCAGAGCAGAAGCCTGGAAGCTTACAAAGAAGGTTCAGCTTAAATTGAGGACGACGCAGCGAGCGATCGAAAGGAAAATGATAGGCATAACCTTAGGAGACAAGAAGAGAGCAGAGTGGGTCAGGGAACAAACCAGGGTGAAGGATATATAGTTGAAATCAAGAAAAAGAAATGGGCCGGACACGTAGCACGTAGGCAGGATAGCCAGTGGTCATTAAGGGTAGCTGGCTGGATTCCCAGAGAAGGCAAACGCACGAAGGGGAGACAGAAAGTTAGGTGGGCCGATGAGATTAAAAAGACCGGGTTGGTTGGCGGATCATGGAAGAGGCCTTTACCCTGCAGTGGGCGTAGTCAGGCTGATGATGATGACTGCAGTATATTGTTCTCTCTCTCTTTTCTTTCTTTGCATTTTATGCAAGTTTTCAGCCCTGCTTCTTGAAATTCCAGTTTTTGCTGCTGGGAGTTTAAAACTTACTGCGTACATATTACCAGAACCAAGTACCACACAGTATACTGAACTCTTCTTTGACATCTGTGATTGTTTTATAAGCTGCACAGTGACAGTCTAATAGGCAAAGTTTTTGCAGGCACAAGTGATAGAGTTTCCATGGGACACGGTGGCCGAGTGGGAGGTTGATGAAGAAGGCATGGCGTTTGCATTCCAGTACACACGACCTGACAAAAAGCCTCGCTGGGTGAAAATCTTCACACCATATGTGAGTTGTGATTTGGCTGTAGCAAGAAGGCAGTATTTGTCTTGCTGCTGAAGAGCTTGATGTTGCATGAAATCTGATCATTTGAAGCTGAACGTACAGCAAGTAAACCTACAGTCTGCTGCCTCAACTTTCTTTCCTATTACAAGTAGCTTTTGGATGCAAATGGGTTGATGCACTGTTATGTTAGGATTGGTGGAACCAGTGTTGGGGGCTTTTGTAATAAGTGGAGGAAAGCAATATTAAGCTTACCGCAATTTTACTGCCTTTAAAGTCCCCCGTGCCGTTTAGTTCGTAATGTGGTTGGCACACTTAAGAGTGTATAGATTTACGTGAGGTAAATGCGATATGACTATACAGTTAAAGCTGGATAAAGCGAAATTGACAAATTCTTAAAAAGTTCGTTACAAAGAGCATTTTGTTATAGTATGCAGATTTGGTGCAAGAATTAATGGAAAATAATGTGAAAATTAAACAAAAGGAGAGCTAAAGGCAGAGCTAACCCAAAACACTTATTTAGCGGTATTAATAAAAAATAAATGTGAAAATTGAACAAAAGGAGAGCTAAAGGCAGAGCTAACCCAAAACACTTATTTAGCGGTAAAAAAACAGCGTTATTATTGCAATATTAATTATATGAACACTCTTGGCAGGTGCTTGCTCTCAGAAACCCCCATGCTCCGCAACTAGTCCAAATTGATAACATGCCCCTGCGCATCGGAACTTTTACAAGCAGGTAAAAAAGCATGCAAGGGCTGCTGAAGCAGAGATCACATGAGCCAGCCAATCTCTATTGCCTGGAGGGCACACATAATAACTTCCCTCTACATGATAGAACGGCCATCGAATGCTCAAACAGGAAGGAAACCACCAGTCTTGAATGAGCATGAAAAAAGGGGGGAAGGGGGGTGTCTTTCGAGTAGCAATGGTAAGAGCATTGATTTTAAGGGCACGATTGCTGTGTGAAAGAGACTGTAAGAAGAGCACTTCTTTCTGAAGTGGCCATATTTGCTTATACCTGCATTTTGTAGGAGTTTCATGATATCGGATCCAAAAAAGTTGGCTGTCAGCCTTACTTCGTATAACATTACGATCTGTTGCTGTATCATTCATTGCATTGTATTCAACATGCCATCGTGTTGTTGCCAGAGCTAATCGACTACCGTAATTACTCGAATCTAACGCGCACCTTTTTTCCGGTTAAGCGAGTTCATAAATCGCCTGCGCGTTAGAATCGAGTACGAACAAAAAATTACGGTCAATCTATTGCCATCGGCAAATCCAAAATGGCCGCCCCCTACGTGCGTCGGCATGGCGCGTCGGCCATTTCTGCCTATGTGTTTCCCATGTGCGGCACTTCGTACGTGTGCTGAGGAGTTCGTCATCTAGTAGTGCATTAGCATCGACGGCGTGGAAGGGCCGACTCCAAAAACTCGAGTGCACCACGATGCCGATTTTAAAAGAAAAGTCATCGCGTGTGCAGAAACGGACGGAAATCGGGCCGCATCTCGGTCATTTGGAGTTCCCGAAACGTGCGTGCGGGACCGGCGGAAACAAAAGCAGAAGATTGTCGACAGCAAAGCTTCACGCAAAGGCTTCAGTGGACCACAGCAAGGTCGGTTTCCGCAAATTAAAGAGCTGCTCGGCAAGTATGTGCTTGAGCAGCGAGCGGCACAGCGGCCCGTGACGACAGAACTTCTCCAAGTGCGGGCTATGCAATTAGTCTTAGAAAAAGGTCTAATGCGGAGCCAGTTTAAAGTGAGCAGGTGCTGCCTAACTAACTTTATGAAGAGGAAAAGCTTTTTCCTCCGAAGGGGAACATGCATATGCGAAAAGTTTTGCGAAGGAGTACGATGAAAAGGTTCACAGTTTTCAGAGGTTCGTCCTAAACTTGCGGCGCAACAACGGCTACCTGCTTGGGCAAATCGGGAATGCCGATCAGACGCCTCTTTACTTCGACATGCCTGGCACCACAACCGTCGAGAAGAAGGGGGCGAAACAAGTTCGCGTGCTGACATCGGTCCACGGTAAAACTACAGTGACGGCAATGCTCTGTTACACGTCAGATGGGCACAAGTTTCGCCCGTACCTCATATATAAATGGAAGACGCTCCCGAAAGGAGTCGTTTTTTCGAGTGGTGTGATCGTGTGGGCCAGCGAGAAAAATGGGTGCGCGTTGCAATCGATGTCTTACGTTTTTTTTTTTTTTTTTCGCGGTAGAAATCGGGTGCGCGTTACAATCGAGGGCGCGGTAGAATCGAGTAAATACGGTAATTACGACGGCTGCGGTCCCGCAAACTCGTGGCGCGGCGCAAGACAGAAGCGCACGATGAGTCGACCTCCAAAGATCCGTCATCACTGTAGTCTGGGAGAGTTGCCATCGGAGCCTAATTCGACATTCTCTCGGTAGTGTAGACACGGTTGTCTACAATAAAGAAAAAAAAATGGAAACGAAGCTGAGCATCGTCGGAGGGCCACTCCTTGCGCGCGCAGTGAAACCATGCACGCGCGCGCGGCATCGGAAACAAGGAGCGAATGACACGGTGCTGCGGAAAACTATTCGGTAAAGCGCCGTCCATATGCAGTGTGGCCCCGCATATGTGGCCCTAACTAGAAGCGTGGACCTGCCAACGCAAAAGTCGTTTTTCTTTATTTTTGGTTTGGAGGGGTAGGGCACATCCACTCATGCACCCACGGTGTAAAGGACTGTGGCAACACCGGCTCATAGGGTGCCGGCCCACCTGCCCGTCTCACCCACACTGTGGCACCCACGCGCAACTACGAGCACACTCGCTCTCTCTCTTGGGATTCGCCAGGGACCACGAGTGCGCCGTGCGCGCAGCCGCTGCTTCGCCGGCGGCAGGCAACCGCAGAAGATGCATTCTCTCAAAATGAATAAATCCAGGGCGAAATTCCTAGATTGTCCGCAGCAAAAGTACGTTATATCAAGGATGTCTTCTGCTGTTAGTTTGTTACATAAAGGTCGCAAATTTGTGTGCTTCTGTGGAGCAATGGCGGGGAATAGAAAAACATCGTTATATCGAGGAATTTGTTACACGGAGGTTCGTTATAAGCAGGTTTAACTGTATTGCATTTACCTCCTATAAATGTATCTTTTCTATCAGTGTGCCAAGTATGGGACAAGTTTCTATCTTTGAAGAGCTGTTGTGCATCAAATTAATACTTCAACTTAGTTATTGATTTTTTCTTTCTCTTTTTTATTATGTGACTGTTGATTTTTCATATGCTATTACTAAGAGTGGTATATTGTAGCTATAATGCCTTTGAACCCTTGAATCGCTCTTGCAGTTCCTCTTCATGTTTGACTGCTTTGAGCGGATACAAGAAGAGCGGACGTGGCATACAGAGAATGTGTCTTCTGGGTAACAGCCACCACACCCATGAACTAGGAGATGTATATCAAGGAGGAAAAGCTCTGAAGCGGGAGGGGGGAAGGGGGGAGACGGCCACCATGGCTGAGCAAAGAACATGCGGCGGCATCGGCGTGCTTCCGAGGGGCTGCACTGGAATCCAGCTGCACTGCATGTAGTTGCTTGTTTGTGCATACTTGTACATAGGGGGCTTTGTACATACTAGGTATAGAGGACATTTGGTTTGTTCAAATGTCGAGCACACACCAGATGCCATAGATGTGCAACGAGCACGCAGCATCAGAGTAGTGTGCCACAGTTCTGCTTGAAGCAGTCGGCCACGTGTTCTGTCCATGAGGCAGAAAGATTCGTCGGTGTATTCTTGATTAACAGGCAGGCAAACTGTGGTTAGGCAGAACTTCGGTTAAGTCCCAAAATACTATTGCAGTCATAACACTAAGGAAAGGAAAAAGAAGAAAACTAGTTTTGTGTCTGGTTGAGCTTAGTTTTCTTCAACAATCCATAACTGAAGTTCAGATAAAGCTCAGTTAGCCTGCTTGTGTAATTAAGGTGAGAAGAGGCTAGGGTGCCGTGTCCTGCCCTCTCATGTTTGATGAAGGAGTCGATTTTTTGCCATGTTTATTTATGTACACACCCACTGGCCTGAACAACATTTGTTTGTTCGCAGTTTTAGAGAGACCAATCTTCGAAGAAAAGGCAATCAGTCTTTCTGCTTGTTTTCTGTCTTGTGCAGCTTGGCTATAGAGAGGAAGTGTTCTTTTTATGATTCTTATCATCTTTTTTATGTGTTGTTGTTGCAATAATATGTAAGCTGCTGGATTTGGCCCAAGTGAATACAAGGCGAGGCACAATGGTTTATGCACTGTATGTACAACAGTAGTTAGTTTTGCAGGTGAGGAGTATGTTTTCTCCTCAGAAGAAGCACCGTTTGTTAATGATAGCACTGTAATTTTTCTAGTCATCTCTCTCTATCTTTTCTTTGGAGGGAGGGGTTTTATGAGGGAGAGATTTGTCATCAATTGTGAAGAAGCTCCGAGGGATATTTTGGCACCGCATGCCACTGATCGCTGCAATATACATATACAATGACTAAGCATCTCTGGTGTTTAGAAATTGGCGTGGCAGTTTTGATTCATTCTCACTATGACAGTGCATTTTTCAAGGATTGTGTGTTTACTTATATCGCATGCCCATTCTGTCAACAGGCATGCTAATACCAGCACAAAGACCACACATGCTCTCCTGTATTTAGTATGCTATGCCAATGACATCTTTGTTCACTGTATTCTACTCCAACGTGGAATTTACTTACTATTTGTTCTACAGGGGACCGCATGTTTTTATGCATTTCAGCTACTGTATACATATGTACAATGATTTTTAAATTTCCCAGTCTTTACACTGGATCATCGGATCAGGTACATACAATTTATCGGTTTAACCAGGCATGTTTTTACAAATTCAAAAATCGTGTCATGTGTCTGTGCAATTTCGCGAAGGATTGTATACAGTTCTACCGGCAAAGAGGCGTGAAGCAAGTGACCTCTAGCATGTGCTGGTGCCTTGTACTAGTGTAATTGAGCTGGTGTTTGAATTCAATTTGAATTTTCCGTTCCTTGCTCTTAGTTTAGCATTTGGAACCCTTTATTTTTATGTGTGTATTTTGCCTCTTTGTGATGGTCAGTTCCTTTACTACTGCCATATTTTTTGTCCCGTTATGCATTTGCACTGTTGGCGACAAGTAGTACAGGTGGGAAAGATGTATTTGTGTGCTGTTAGAATTAGTAGCAGAATGCGCCATTGTAGCCATTTGCAGCATAGCACTTGGTTTCAGGTTGACTGCTTACGTCCGATCTTGCAGGTTATTTCATATAGGTCACCAGGCCTTCAATTAGGGTAAGTGAGGCACTGCTTTGGTAAAGACAGAGTGCACTTTTGTCATTTATGCCTCGAAAAGTGAAATGAGGTGATATTGCGCACCTTACGACTCTGATGAGATCCTGTTAGTCATATTGCCATGACACTGTCAGAGCGGCCCTACACTGTACGTGATATTCTACATTTCATACTACTCTGCACAATGTGCATCATTTGAAAACAATGCAATGCAAAACATAAGCATTCACCTCCAGGTCATGTGCAATGCTGTGAGGTGCAATTTTTCTACATGTTTGTACGTTTTCCTGTTGCTTGTACTTGCCCGTGCCATTTTACTCCTCAGTGCCTGCCATCAACCTTATTTGACTTATGCCATCCCGATACATACTCAGTCTTTATTTTTCTTAAATGGTGGCAGCTGCTTAAGGCTAAATAAAGCAAATGATTTGAAAGAGTTCGTTCCGCATTCTAGCTGTAGAGAATGACTACGATCTGAAGCTGTAGTTGTAACAAGATTTGATGTGGTTTAGCTGTAAAAGCTAGCTAGCACAAATGTTGGCATTCCAAGAGCGTAAACATCTGAAGGAGACAGCTCAAATAACTGAATAAATAATGGAGCGCACATAGAATGATGTTTGCAGAGTGACCGAAAGGTTCTTTGTCACATTTTTCAAATATTTTTTTTTCTTTAAGTGGACCTCAATAGTAGCATATCAGCCACGCTGCTTAATCTACAGTGAAGGCAATGTGTGCAAGTGATAATGAAGTGCTGTAATAACACATGCCTTTTTTTTTATTGTTTCAAAACTTGCTGAGCCTGTGCTACATGGCCAAATCCAGTGCTTTGTTTATAGAGCATGAACCTGCAGCAGTAGAAGCTGTCCAAGACAGGCGAGATGGTCACTGTTCTTTTTGTTTGTTTCGAAATTTCTTATTAAATAAATGTTTAGTGAGAATTGCATTGCCTGTATTGCTTTTCTTGTTCAGCAGCTGTACTCAGTACTAAAAGTGTATTTTCTTGAAGCACTGCTGCTTAGCCAAGAACTTAAAACTTCATGGCAAAGGTTTGTGGCCCGCCATATGTTAGTGGTTTTTATTTTGGTACAAATATACTGAATTGTTCCACAGTCAGTAACATTTAAATTAGGAGCAAGAAAAATGTTTACAATAAGCAGTTGGCAATAATAATAACTTCTTGCAGGCACAAATTTTAATGACTGTTGCACATACAACTGGCTGTATGGTTGCCAGCATCAATCTACATAAGCTCACAGCAGCAAACATTCCGTATTGCAGGCACAGAACTCCACAAGTGCTCAAGGCACCGCTGCCATTTTGAAGTGGTTCAGCTGATTGATAGTCCAGTCACTCTCTGCACCTTTAGTGCAATCTTTAACGAACCTGAAAAGAAGTACACATTGTTTTACTCAAAGGTATTGTATCAAGGGTTCTGCATTTACTTCAACAAAAGCAATATGAGTGGTTTGATATTGGTCAGGTGATTGAGGATTGTCCTATGGCCTACAAGTAGGGTCTGTCGTACGATTGATATGTGGGGTTTAACATAGCAAAAGCACCATATGATTTATGACATATGCCGTAGTGGAGGGCTCTGGAAATTTCGAATGCCTGGGGTTTTTTTTAAAGTGCACCCAAATCTAAGCACATGGGCCTACAGCATTTTTGCTTCCATCGAAAATGCAGCTGGAAATTCGCATGCCGCGACCTGTTATTTAGCAGTCGAGTACCTCAGCCACTAGACCACCGTGACGGGGCTGGTACGTCATATCTTTTACAATTGAAATTGTAGTAATGTCTAGGTCGCAGCAGTAATCTGGGTCCTTCAATCCATGGCACACGATTCAATTATGTCTTCATAATCGTTTCAAGGCTTGCACAGCTCAGTGCAAGCTTTTTCTTAATTTTTTTTTTTTCAATGCGCTCGAAATCATTTTGAAGAAATCTTTAGAATGTGAAAGCTCACATGGAGGATTTCGCAGTTTTTTTTTTTGTTTAATGCTTATGTTCTGTCTGACACTGACATTTGAAATCGAAGGCAGCAGCTAAGGTTCCTTTCTAAAGGATGTTCCACTAGCCTCGCAATGGCATTCACATCCAGTATTAATACACTGAAACTTGCTACACACAGCAGCTTGCCAACCACGAGCAAATGAATGATTATGCCAGTGTCTGTCAAAAATACGTGCAACAAACAGTGCAGAAGGACAAGTGGAGCACCTGTAGTTGGCAACATAGACCTTATCTTCAAGCTGCTTAACATTTTCGGGATTTCGCCGCGCCTCTTCTAATCCAGGCATGTAGTGGTAGACAACAGTGGCTTCCAAACACCTTTGCTTGCTGTCTGGAAACCAAAAGCCATGTGTTATTTGTAATGGGAAAACAGTTGCTGCTTTTTTTTTTTAGGGGCGAAGCTCCTTAGGGTGGAGTAATGTCTTCCGTCTGTTGGCGTGACACGCTATAGATATGCATGTAGATATCCATATGCATATCCATATGGACATCTGAACACCATATGTACGTACATGTGATTAATAAACAACTTCGCATATACTGTACACACGTGTTGTCACGTGTTTGGGCAATGTACGAAGTCTAATGATCCCTCGGCGCTATGCCTCCTCGCCATCGTTAACTTCATGGATATGCTGCGACTTTTTTTTTTTTTTATCTTTCTACAAAATGCCGGTGTAACAAGCAGACACAGCAAGGTCACTTACTGTCGTCCATGATGACGCCAATTTGATACAAGAAGCAAAAGTACACATCGGACAACTTGACGGCCAGTCTCTGTCGTTGTCCGACACTCAAGGAGCCGCAGTTTGCCTGGGCAGCAGCGGCAACCTGCACACACGGTCGGATTTCTCAGCGACAATTCCCAAACGCCAGATGATGCAAACATGCAAGTCAAATGCTACGATATGCGCATGCGGAGCGTAAGACGTTGCAAGCTCTAACTCATCAGCTTTGCGTGCGCAGTGTACTTGCATCGTTGGTGACCAGGCCTTCCATGGATTTGAAGTCGCCATTAGCCATCAGAACCGAAACGTACGTCATTGCCTACAAACACAAATGACATTGGGCACCTGTGATGGGACACAAAGGAGTAACGGTCCCTTCAGTTTGCTCGAAGCTTAGCAATGCTTTGTGCCTGCACTAAGCCGTTATAATCGAGGTACTACAAGAAGGCGGTATCACCTGTTTGGCACCATCAAGAAACTCGAGTTGGTTGAAAGTCGCGTCCAAGTAGGGCTTGATGATGAATATAGTTTGTATCCAATTCTTGATCGTAAGTATTACGTTTGGCCACACTATGGTCGGATTCTTCATTAAATTGAAGTTGTTTTCGCTTCGTGATGAGCATCGGCGGACAGACTGAGCACATAGCGCCGGTGCTGAATATCGCTGGAGAGAATTGTCCGCACACACAGGCGAGCCAAGCGGACAAACATGGGCCGTCCTGGGGCAATGGTAGGAAAGGCCGGCACAACGTACACAGGCGGCGGTCGCGCCAGCGTAAAATTTGACAAAATTTTGTCGGCGGAAATACAGGTTGAACGATGCTTGCCGAAGAGCCGCCATCGTAATCGTGAATGTCGATGTCACCGCGACTTTTCGGTATTGAGCTGATAAGCGTTGCTCACGGGCGAGCCCATGGACAAAAAAAAAAAACACTCCTCTTCTATCTATGCATAGTCTCAAATATTGATATCAGCAAGTATAAAAAAATAAAAAATATTTTTGCAGCGTGAACATTGACAACACGGCATTCTCTTCACTCAGACGCAAATCTGTCGTGCTACAGTGCGCTTTATTTTGCTATTCGATGGTCAAAATTGCTAAATTATTGAAAAACAACACTTAAGCAAGTCACTTGATTATCACAACATTTTTAGTCTGCACAGGTTTAGGCAGTCCATCTTTTTATCTGGCAACGTTTGCACTGCAGGGCGTCCAGTGATTCGCGGCGTCTTTCATATGATTCCAGCCGTTCGAGCAGTAGTCAGCTGCTGACAGCTCGGAAACTGTGATGATGCGAACAAACAAGAGAAATGCTGCCGTCGGTGAAGCGTTTCGCATCGCCGTCACGACGGCACTTCAAAAGTTCTATCAGACCGATGGCCAGACAGGTTTGTCCTCGACTCGTCACTGCGAAAACACGAGCTTTACCGTTACTCTAAAGCGTTCTGCACATTATAACGGCTTTTCTGTTTTGCAGAATATGAGTTTCCATCATCGTTCACGGCCGAAGAGCGAGGTTTCATACACAAGTACTGCCAGAACCTGGGTCTCAAGTCTAAAAGCCGAGGGTAATGCGATATAGCGTGCTTCCGCCGATATGCCAGAGATGGGCACTGGTCCACGAGGACCAGCGCCCCGCCGCGGTGGTCTAGTGGCTAAGGTACTCGGCTGCTGACCCGCAGGTCGCGGGTTCGATTCCCGGCTGCGGCGGCTGCATTTTCGATGGAGGCGGAAATGTTGTAGGCCCGTGTGCTCAGGTTTGGGCGCATGTTAAAGAACCCCAGGTGGTCAAAATTTCCGGAGCCCTCCACTACGGCGTCTCTCATAATCATATAGTGGTTTTGGGACGTTAAACTCCACAAATCAATCAATCATCCACGAGGACCAGTGCCCATTTCTATTATCTGTGCGTTTTCCGTCCCTCGGAATTTCGTTAAAGTCCTTATTGGAATAGTCAATACTCATGTGCTGAATGCGTCTTCTACTGACCTCCTGCTTAGTGGCAATGTAAAGTTTGTCAATCGCAGCAGAAGTGTTCTAAGTAAGCAATAGTTGTTGTAATGGCCACATTGGTAGCACATGCAGCATGATTATGCGTAATGCCTAGTTATAGTGAGGATTCCAGAAGGTGCTGTAATGTGTCATTTCGTTCTAGCCACATAACTATCATATCGCTTCGTTCGACTCGCATTGCAAAACTTTTTCAAAATTTTGTCTTGCCAAATCATTTCGAAAGCCGACTTCATCTCCATCTACCGGAATGAGTGATTGCTTTAATCCCTGCTGGGTTTCAGACATCTCATACTGTGACCAAATTATTGTGGTGCTCTTTCTTGAACTACTAACGTGGCCGTTCCTTAGCACTGAGGGTCCCTCAAGAGCATTCTCTCGGATGGAAAAATTCATAACCTCTTCACGCAACAAGTGGCCTGGGTTATGGACAACACAACCTTTCTTCTCTTATGCAGGAAAGGATCGAATCGCTTCCTTACTGCCTACAAGAAAGCCGGTTCCACCATAGTGCAGGCTGATGCCGGGTTCACTATGGGATCCCTCTCGTGCCGATTTGCCATGCTGCTGCTGCAAAAGTTTCCGCTCAACTCTCATGAGCGCCATGAGCTGTTACCTCCCACAGAGCGAGAACGCATTGTCAGTCAGGAAGGTATGTGTGTTTTCTCCCATATTGTTGAGGCTAATCATTGTTACTGTGTTAGCGATGATACTTATAGTGAGACAAACTAGCACACCGCTGTTTTCCTCATAATAATCTGTTCTTGGCTAAATTTTTTTTTGGCCTAGAAAAGGTGTAGTGCAAATTGAATCAATGTATGGGTAGTGGTCCAGCACAAAACAGACCTATTTAATTAGAGTGGAAGGCCTTCAGTTAAAAATAATAATACCGTTACCAGACGTGCTCAACAAGGCAGTGCATGCAAGTAGGGCTGGAGGAAGTACCAGAAAACAGCCCCCCCTGCATCGGGGACACATCATAATTGAAGGCTGCACTAACCGCTTACATCTTGAGCTTATAATAGCTTAGTGTTGTTTGACCATGTATTTTCATTAGTTTGTTGTATTTATATGTTTATGTTTTTCATTTTTATTTTTGTATTACCCACCCCTTCTGTTATGCCTTTCTGTGCCCTGAGGGTAAAATAAACAAATAAATAAACATGTACAAAATGATCATTTGATGGCAACATGTCATGTAACAACCTCTCCTTGCTACCAGCCCATGAAATAATTTTTCGTAATTATTGCTGTTGCCAATATAAAACTGGTTTGCATTGACAAACTTCATGAAAGGGAGGTAATCAAAAAGCGCTAGCTAGCAGACGGCTCTCACTTCTCATATTTGCACGTGTTGCACAGTCGCTTTTTGTAAGCATCATGAACCAATTAAGTGGTCTGAAAGTTTCATTTTTTTTTTTTCTCATCTTACTTGCACCTTCGGCAGTTTGCTCAGGTTGTCTGTAGTGTAGGTAACGAGTTCCTTTACGTTTTGCCAAGTCAGATTGACAAACTGAGTTGAGTGTTCCTGAGGATATTGACATCCTTTGCATTGTGCCTGGGCAGCTAAGCAATGAAGAAGAAGATGAATTTCTCTGCCATACGCACACATCTGAAGATTTCAAAGTGGACTAGTTGTGCATCATTTCTGCAGAATATATTGGGGCAAGCATGCTGCATGTCCAACGAAGTGGCATGTTCAAGTTCAGCTAAAATAGTGGCTGTTGCAAAGCGTTACAGGTGATTTCGGCTGCTGATTTTGTTAGAGGTTTGTCCCTTACGTTGCGAACATACTGGTAATCAGCCTTAAAACATTTTCTTCTGAACAGTTTTTTTATTTAGTTAACAGCATATGAGAAGCTTTAACCAATTACATGACTTCCGGAAACATTCTCAAAGCGTATCTTCAAATAAAGCTTGAATCTTCATTTACGCATAGCAGAACTGTGCTCATTGTGGCCATGCTTTTGCGGACCTCTCTCCTTTCCTTGGTGCAGTGCGGGACGTGAACCGCACAACAGCACGGCTCAACTGTGGCATTCCCCAAGTGCCACCGCGCAGCGAAGGGGCAATGGATGCCCAGCGCCAGCGTCTACCCATCTGGCAGAGCCGCCAAAAGTTGCTCACCACCATTGCCCAAAATCAAGTGACCATCATTACAGGAGAAACCGGCTGTGGCAAGACCACTCAGGTGATCCAGCTGTCACATATACACTGTCAATTTTTATGAAAGGGAACACGAGAGCGCGTGGCTTGCACACTCCTGCGGCTGCTGGCAGTATGCTCAAGCGGGAGCGAAAGCAATCGTACCCGAGCTTCTTTTCGCGTCATCTCGAGGCGAGCAAAACAAGTAGTCATTAGTGACATGAAACTAAAGGCAAGGTTGTAGCCCCATTACCCTTCAAGGCGATTACCGGCCTCTTGCGTGGTCGCCTTGAAGGAGGAGGGGGTTACAGCCTTGCCGCTGGTTTCATATCAGTATCATCAATGACTGCTTCTTACAAGACGATAGTTATAGCGCCAGAACAAAACGACGACACAGAGACAAGAAGGACACGAAAGACACGAGCGCTAACTTCCAACTGAGTTTATTGCGCAGAGCACGAAAATATATAGAGGAGACAGTAACCATGTGACAAAAACCATATGGCACAAAGAGCAGAAAATGAGTAAGAGAAAAACAAAAAGACAAAAGCACAGAAAAATGGCAAAGAAAAATCTATAAGAAAACGAAACAGAAAAGTAAAGATAATATAACTACTTGCGCGCACCGAAACCTTTGGTGCACGCAAGTAGTTAGATTATCTTTACTTTTCTCTTTTGTGAAGAAACCAAGTTTCTTTGTGTTTTGTGAAGAAACCAAGTTCATGAAGAAACCAAGATTCTTCATGAGGACTTAGCCACGTCCACTTGCGGTTAGCCCGATTTCTGTAAAACGTATTGAAAATCCATAAGTTACTACATTCTGCGAACTCTACTAATAACGCTCCCCTTGCATTTCTAGACCCGACACTATATTCCCCCTCTGCATGGTCTCCGGCCTCTTTCTTGCCTACTTTGGCATTAAAAGTCACCCATCAGTATAGTATATTGTGTTTTTATTATTGCTGACTGTACGTCTTCGTAGAAGCGTTCAACCAAATGATCTTCATGGCTCAATTTAGGTTGGTAGGCCTGTACCACCTTCATCTTGTACCTTTTGTTAAACTTAATTACTATACTTACCACTCTCTCACTGGTGCTATGGTATTCCTCTATGTTATCATTGTGTATAAGAAATGGTATTCTTCTATGTTAGTATTCCTCTATGTTATCATTGTGTATAAGAAACCCCACCTTTCATTCTGTCAACAAATTCACAGTAGCATAGAACGTGTCCGTTCTTCAGCTCTGTATAAGCGTCACGTGTCCTCCTAACTTCGCTGAGCCCTTTTACATCCCATTTGACACCCTCTAATTAATCGACTAGCACAGCTAGACTAGCCTCACTAGATAGAGTTCTAGCCTTAAATGTAGCCAAGTTCAGATTTCAATGGCGGCCTGACCGCCGCCTTGGACAGTTCGCAGCCACTGGGGTCCGAGGGCCGAGGTTTAATTGGTCTGCTCATGTGAGAGGTAGTGGCTAAGTACTGCACTAGGGTGGCCAATTCTGCTGTGGTGAGGGAGTGCATTACCAGCTGGTGGTCGCCAAGGAGGCTGCACCCCAGACCTTTCTCACTTGTTAGCCACAATACCAACCACTTTTGGCATTGCGGCTGCAGCCTCACACTTCTTTTTCGTATTTGTTGTGATGGTTTAATATGTTTGGTGAAGTTTATAAAGCGATGAATTTTGTAAGTTCTGCTGCAACTAAAACTTTATCTGTAGCACATACTCATTGAACATACTCAGGAAAGCAAGGCAAAAAGAAAAGCCAGTTGAGTGTGTTTGTGTTGTTGCACATGACCTGTATTAAATTATTTACAACGGAACGCTGATTATACGTCCCCCGGTTTCGCGACGACCTGCATTTACGACTAATCAGTTTGGTACTGGCAAAAGCCCCATAGAAACAATGTATTAAAAACCGTGGTTATACAATGCAGTTTTACACCGACCCCGCATCTTACGATGACTTTCAGATTCCGTCGAAAAGAAAAAAACCACCTTTACTCCAATCACGTGTTGACCAAATATTCACGAGTGCAAAATATGAACTTGTGTACCCCAAGAAAAAGTAGAGTCATCTTCATCGAATGGAAAATTTATTCTCTCGGAAGTTCGTGCAGCTCTACATATGCCTCAATCGCGTGCATATGTATCCTGGGTCGTTACCTAGTCGAGCTCTATCCACATAGAGTAGGTGCAGCTGACCAAAATGCTGATATTTTCACATTTCTGGTCCGTGGAAACATTTCCTGGTTAACATATGGCTGATCTCCTCCCTCTGTCACACTCGCAGTCACTGTTTTGCGCACGCATAAGGGTACGACGCAGCAGCTTTTGCCTTGCAAAATTACTTTCACTTGACGTCAGCGTTCATAACAACAGCAGGACACTATTAGTTGCGCTTCACGAGGCAACAAATTACAATGCGCACAGCTCAGTCGTGCATGGACGCTTCGTACATGAAGTCGTTGTCCATCGCCATTATGCGATAGCAATGGCACTTTGTCTGACTCTTCTGATGGGAGGCTCACAGCAACACGATCTTGGTTTCGATTTCACGCGCAGGCCATTTTCCAACTCTATTTATCGGTAGAAAGACGCTTTAAAGCTGAGAATAAAGATTCACTTGGACCTCCTTCAACTAATTATTGCTGCCGTTAGCTACCACTGGCAACAATAATTTAATCTACTCTCATTGCAGTGGCAGGAGGTCATGCCCGTTTTTACCCTTTTTCTGTACCCATTTTTCGCGCAAGGCTGAGTGTCGTGGTCTATAATCTTGGTTTTTCTATTAAGGATGCCAGGGTTATAGGACGGTTTTGTGTGGTCCCCTAAAAGTTGTGTTATTGGTGTTCCACTGTATAAATCAGATGCTTGGCAGTAGACCCCCCCCCCCCTAATACCGTCTAGCATATGTCGCTCACTTCAGCCAGCCGCTTTGGATGTCTGTGCCGCAAAAGAACTCACACTTGCTCTGTTAAAATGAATCCCAAATCCTGCCCGTTCCTATTTCTTTGTAATTGACATCTGTTTAAATGCACTGCACGCAGGTGCCGCAGTACCTGTTGGAAGAGTACTGCAGCCTTGGTAATCCATGCCGCATTGTGTGCACTGAGCCCCGACGACTGGCCGCTGTAGCTGTGGCTGAGCGCATTGCCACCGAACGAAATGAAAAACTGGGCTACACTGTGGGCTACCAAATACGTCTGGAGAACAGGTTGGGCAAATATAGTGTCAGCATATTATCTTAAGAATGATGGCAGGTGTTTAGTGAAGTTTTGGGCAATGCCATGTGATGTAGAAGTCACTTTGAATTGGCCCAAACGGAAGCATTGAACCAGTTCAGACTCGCTCCTTGTGAAGTTCGTGGTCTGTATTTATCAGAAGTGGTCGGTGCAAGAAGACAAAATCAAGGTGAAAATAATTTTCTGTCATTTACCCTCAAGTATCTCTTGGAAAACCCGATTCCGGTATTTCAATGTTTTGTAATGCATTTTTAATGTTTTCTTTTTCATGTTTGAGTCAGTGAGTTATTGAAATGAAACAATTTGAGATCGAAAAAAAAAGAAACACAGAATTTTTATGTGCCAGAACCACAACATGATTGCATAGCATGTAATAATGGGAGGCTCCAGGTTGATCTTGGCCCACTGAAGTTCTTTACCATTCATCCAAAAACTTAAGCACATAATCAACCATATAAATTGCACTCATTCAAATGTGGCTACCATAGACAGCATTAAGCCTGTTACCCAAAGCTCAACAACACAGCGTTATTAAGCACTTGAAAGCACTTAAGTATGAACTGAGCTTAATCAATAAGTCATCAAATTTTGACATCATTGTAAGCTGGGATTAATGCCCATTTTTTATATCTTGCATTTTTTCTATGTTATCAGGCTTCATCTCATAATGATGATGGCTTTTGTAGTGTTTAACACTGTTCAGTGCTTGAAGTTTATTTGTACAAAGTAGAGCTAACTGCTAAACAACTTGTGACACTGTCATTAGGGCAGCTGATATTACAAGCTTATAACACAGAACACTTTCATGGTGCTTCCCAAGCATTTGATGGTTGGTTGGACTACTTATCTGTTACGAATAAATTTGTGTTCTGTTGAGGAGTCTTCTGCTCAGCTTATCTAAAGAAAAAATATTTGCCATTAGTCTTTTGGGCAAGCTTATCTCAGTCGCTACGATGTTTTGCTGCTGAGCACAGGTCGTGTTGAAACCATAGCAGTCATGGCTCGATAGTAGTGAAACACATCAACACTAATGTACTTAGATTCATGTGCACATTAGAAACCCTGCAGGGTCAAAAATTAGCCTAGTACCCTTAGCCAGCGCACATGATACAGTGTGCGTTTTCAGGATCTTAAACTCCACAATTACTTTATTTATTGCGTTACTCATCTATGAACTCGAGCAGCACTTCACTTGTACAGGCTATCTATTTTCTAAAGTCATTGTGTTGCATTACTTGCAGCAGCCTGTGGAACTGTCATAGTAAAATTTGGCCTTGTGTTGCAGGGTTTCGCCCAAGACATTACTGACTGTGTGCACGAATGGTATCCTCCTGCGCACCCTCATGGGCAACGACTCTGCAATGGCAACAATCAGCCACGTTATTGTGGTGAGTGTCAGAGCTTCACAATCAATTACTTTAGCACTAGTGTGGTTGGGAATCTTATGTAGTATCTGTCCTTCCCGTATTTTGCTCTTTGCGAGTGTATTTCCTACTACAGTGGAACCCCTATATAAGAGACATGCATTGGGGAAGAATTTTTGTCTTTTGTACGAGGCGATTTCTATGAGAAGGGCACCGCGTACACGTTTTCTAACCAACACCTATTTCATTGTAGGCCCACTGGTGTCACTTATACCCAACAGTCTCTCACATCAGTGTCTCTTATGAAGGGGTTCAACTGCATGCAACTTTGAACACTGAAAGTTTAAAACTACAGTAGAATCTTGAAAACGGTAGGAAGGGGAAGATGGAAGCTTGCGATGATTTTATAGTATTATAGATTTTTTTATAGTAGAATCTTGGTAATACAAATCCGGCTGATACACATTTCAGCCTGATACGAATTCATAAAGTTCCTCGGCTACTTTCAGTTGTGTCTAGAGTAAAAATTCGGATGATCTGAATACTTTTCAGCATGGCAATAGGTAATATGAATTGGGGTGCCGAAACCACCGAGTGACAGCCAACAGAAGTGTGCTCCAGAAGGTTCAGAAGTGTGTGTGCGGCCAGTGCACACACAGTTAAAGCTGTGGCTATCGCTTTCCCCAACTGCCCTAGAAGAAGCTGCAGTCATCGATGCCGCAATCATGAATGGCAACAACGAAACTTCAAAAGTACATGTATATACGACACTCGCCGAGCCTAAGAGATGCTGCGTGCTGAAACCGCTGATGAGAAAACTACTGTGGATGATATCTTAGATAGCGACGCCGTTAGTTCTGACTGCACCTGTGCGACGAGGGCACATGAATTGAAAGCAAAACTGACACTTTTGCAACCACTGCGCACGGAAATGTGGTCACGGTCGGCTGGGCCCTGCTAAAGAAGAATACAAGTTGAGGGAACGAGTTTCTTTGTGTGACAAAAAGTGATCATGGTATGTATGAATGGTAGACATGGAACGAACGAACCACATGATGATCGATCAGCGAGTTTGTTTAGGCTTGCTTGGAAAGTCAGCATGAACATGACAAGGACATAAAACGACAAGCACACAGTATACACTTATTTTTCATGTATGCATCGTTTCAAACTCACCCACCCTTCTACCTTATACATTTAAGCTCTATGGGCACTCGGCCAGAGATTTGTTGAAACTAGGTTTCAGCTATTAGTATGTTTAAAGTGAATACTATATATTGACAGTGTTTTACTGTAGGCAATATGACAGCCACGTGGATTAGTTCTTTTCAGACAACTGTCTTATTACTCTTCCAGTGATGTTGCTCTGAACTCCTCAAAGGTTGAGCAAGGCTAGGTTCATGCTTGTCTATTGGAGCTATGATGTGTATGACATAAAAGACGCTTGTGTGAATAATTAAGAACTCCAGTTTGTCATAATTAATCTAGAGACTTCCAGCAAGGCATGCCTAATACTCAACACTGTCGAAATTTGGGCTTGTTGGTGCATTGCGACGACTGAAAATAGCGCTAAGAAACGGGGACACAAGAAGAGGACACTCGGCACAGGCGCTAACTTCCAACATAATGTTTATTACCACCGCACGCTCGCCTATATCACCAAAAAAAAATATATCACATGACATGAATGATGCGCACATAAAATTAAAGTCTTAGAAAATACAATTCTTTATCACTAAGCGTCAGAGAGGGAGTGCTGACGCACTTATACCCCAGTGAAGCGATAGCCTCAGCCTCAATAATCCCTCTAGTAAGCTTATAAAACATTCTCTTGATAACTGTGCATGCATTGAATATCGGCGCGCAGCCGCAGGAGTTACAATGTATGGCCAACCAACTCCCCTGGCCGTTTTTCACATTATTACAATGTTCTCTTAATCGATCATTAAGGCAACGGCCCGTCTGTCCAATATACTCTTTACCACAAGAAAGCGGGATACGATAAACAACGCATATGATGCAGGGAACATAAACAGTTCGATGCTTCTTACTACACTCTTTGGGTTTTCTGTCACGGTCATGAAGGCCACAAAGGCTGACCAACTTCTTGGGAGCCGAAAAGACAACCCTAACTTCAGAGCGCTTAGCTAATTTCTTTAGGTTGTGCGATATCTTGTGAAAATATGGTATGACGACTAGGTGCTTCGGTTTCTCGGCATCACGACTCGCTGTACATCCTGGGTTGCGAAGCGTACGAAGCAAGCCTTCTGCAACTGAAGTTTGGACATGCATAGGATAACCTGCTTTCAACAACCGGTCTGACTGATTATGAAAACTATTGGCGATTTCGTGCTCACAAGATTTGCTTAAAGCATGACGAAAACAATGACTGATGATGCCTCTTTTCACTAGTTTAGAGTGAGCTGATTGGTACGGAAGGACCGGTTTGTTCGTACGTGGTTGGTACGCCCAACATATGCGGTTAGGATGAAAGGTGAAGAGGACATCGAGGAATTTTACCGATTCCCTTTCATCCTCTTCACCTTTCATCCTAACCGCATATGTTGGGCGTACCAACCACGTACGAACAAACCGGTCCTTCCGTACCAATCAGCTCACTCTAAACTAGTGAAAAGAGGCATCATCAGTCATTGTTTTCGTCATGCTTTAAGCAGATCTTGTGAGCACGAAATCGCCAATAGTTTTCATAATCAGTCAGACCGGTTGTTGAAAGCAGGTTATCCTATGCATGTCCAAACTTCAGTTGCAGAAGGCTTGCTTCGTACGCTTCGCAACCCAGGATGTACAGCGAGTCGTGATGCCGAGAAACCGAAGCACCTAGTCGTCATACCATATTTTCACAAGATATCGCACAACCTAAAGAAATTAGCTAAGCGCTCTGAAGTTAGGGTTGTCTTTTCGGCTCCCAAGAAGTTGGTCAGCCTTTGTGGCCTTCATGACCGTGACAGAAAACCCAAAGAGTGTAGTAAGAAGCATCGAACTGTTTATGTTCCCTGCATCATATGCGTTGTTTATCGTATCCCGCTTTCTTGTGGTAAAGAGTATATTGGACAGACGGGCTGTTGCCTTAATGATCGATTAAGAGAACATTGTAATAATGTGAAAAACGGCCAGGGGAGTTGGTTGGCCATACATTGTAAATCCTGCGGCTGCGCGCCGATATTCAATGCATGCACAGTTATCAAGAGAATGTTTTATAAGCTTACTAGAGAGATTATTGAGGCTGAGGCTATCGCTTCACTGGGGTCTAAGTGCATCAGCACTCCCTCTCTGACGCTTAGTGATAAAGAATTGTATTTTCTAAGACTTTAATTTTATGTGCGCATCATTCATGTCATGTGATATATTTTTTTTTGGTGATATAGGCGAGCGTGCGGTGGTAATAAACATTATGTTGGAAGTTAGCGCCTGTGCCGTGTGTCCTCTTCTTGTGTCCCCGTTTCTTAGCGCTATTTTCAGTCGTCGCAATGCCTAATACTCTAATTAGAGTTTGGACACCTTATACATCACATTTTACTTTACAATATTTTTTTATTTCTAGAGTATCCTTACAGGAGCACAAGAACATTTGCTTGATGTGCTAGAGTTCCTTTCATTCTTGAAAGGTTAAATTTACGAGCATAAGCATCATACCAACGTTCTGACGTTTTATCTGTCTTTTCTTTTTCCCAGGATGAGGTTCACGAGCGTGATCGGTTCACTGACTTTTTGCTCACTGTTCTGCGGGACTTGCTTCCAAAGTTCCGAAATCTGAAAGTTATTCTGATGTCAGCTACTATGGATGTAGAGCTGTTCATCAAATATTTTGGTAACTGTCCTGTTGTGGAAGGTAGGTTTCTCTTTAATTCTTGATAGCATCAATATGTGCCAATTCTTTCAATCTGATTAGCACCTGAAATAATATATTTTGTAAAATTTAATTGACCTTGGCATGGCGTTCAGGTGGACTCGGTAACTGTCATCTTGCTATTATGCATACTTCAAGTTTCTTTCATTGTCATTTTGCAAATTTGCATTATATGGGTGTACTCTTTTGCATAAATGTAAAAGCGAAAAATAGTTTTTTTGTGTGTGTTGTTTGGTCGTTGACAGGTGCGAAAACATACGATAGGTTGATGCTCCAATTTTTTAGTTGTACAGTCTTTATGCATTGAAGTCAACATAATCTTTATTATTACTTTAATAGCTGGCATGAGCGATTTGTCAGGATAACTGTGTCATGTTGTGATGAATCTCGGCACTATAGGTAATGTTAGCTTTAAAGTGTCAGAGTCAAAATTAGGCCGGTATGACACGAACTGAAGACAGTGAAAATAAAAGAAATTGCATTTATTTGGACATAAATTCTCTCGTTTCAGTTCATGAAGTGCTGTTCCCGCAGAGCATGTGCAGTATAAAAACTTGTTAATTCGAACTCGAAGGTTACTGCAAGATTTTTTTAACTAAGCGGAGTTTGAATTAGCGTGCGTGCACTAAAAAGAATGGATATCACACCCCATTATCCGGGCAGAACTCAAAGAAGCCACCTCTAGACTCATTATTGCAAACTAGGAGTTACCACACTTTTGTGGCAAGCGATTTTGTTAGTTAAATGGAGATCTAACAGCTAGCTGAAATAATTGATCAGTCAATACGCCAAACACAAGCACTGACATGCATTACTTTAAGAACTTGGCATTAATGTGAAATATATGATGCTATTTATGCTCCAAAACATGCTTATGTTACATGGCAGAGTAGGCGTAATCAAATTTAAAAGTAATCAGTACTTATTTGCATTTTCTTCTGACGCGACTCCATGAGCATCATTTGCAGCTTGCCTAAGAGCTCCAGCGCAATTTCTGAATTGTCATCTTCTGAGAAATGCTGCTATTTCATTCTTTTTCAACTCTAGTGATGTTAGTTTGGCTTGTTATTGCAGCACATTGTAATCACCGAGGGCAGACATGTGCGAGGAGCGATGAAAATGAGGGGCTCCTAGTTCGAATTAACGATTGGATACTGATGTGTTCGAATTATTGTGAGTTTTCCATCATAGAAATATACGGGGTTGTGCTGGGACCAGGGCATCAGTTCGAATTAACTGCAAGTTTGGATTAACTGGGTTCAAATTAATGAGCTTTTGCTGTAACTTCTTCATCCTTTTTTCTTTGACTACTGACTATGTTTCTTTTTTTTTTTCCTTCTTCTCCAGTGCCATCACGATCGTATGAAGTGAAGGCCTACTTTTTGGAGGATGTCTTGCGACTGTAAGTGCAATTCTTCATGTATATAATACTTTCTGCTGAAGCTTGTGATGCAAATTGGCCCCTGTCGTCTTCCAGGCTCAAATCCTTCTCCTTTTTCTGGCATCGGGGGCACAAACTACTGGGGATGCATAGTTTTTTGCGTAGTGTGCATATGTCTGTTTCAATAATGGGCATTTTGCTGATTCCTTTGGGCAACTTTAAGAAAAAAAAAGGGGGGTGAACAGTGGGCAACACTTTTAGCTGTGTGCATCAGTTATGCAGGTTGCATGTGGCTTGGAGACCACACGTTTTGAAAACACTTGCTGACGCCAATACACAAAGCTAGGTCTTTAGCACCTGTGTTCCTTATCGCATTATGATTTCATGAGAGATGTTGAGAAAAGATACCTTAATCACTTTGTACAGTGAGCTTTTGCTCTTATGCATTCTGTTTCTGGACCTCTTGTCCCGAGAGCTGTGTTTTGATACTTTGAAATTAAATGCAGGACGGGATACACCAGCCAAGACATGCTGAAGCTGAAGAAAAGCAAACCCCGAGCGGAGCAGCAGAAGGCACAACTTGCTAAGTGGTGTGATAGTCAGGGCATAACCACAAGTAGTACCGCCCCTTCAGCAAACAGACTGTCACCTGAGAAGGACCAGGTATGCGTTGGGTACCTAAATAGTCGAGTGCATAGAACAGGCCGCTGTTTCCCAAACAGTGGTGCATCAAAAAAATTCTTTTGATTCATTAAAGATTGGTCATCTATTAAAATACAGAACACAGCATTCAGTGGTTGATAAAGTGCCAGAAATAATGCACGTGGAGGTTTGTGCCTCACTTTTGAATTTTGTAAGGGTCAAGTGCTCTCATCAACTCTGTGTGGGGCTCTTCATTCAGGAAATTGAAAGCAGAATAATATTATTACTTATTTCCAATTTTCTCTTGCATGCAAGGTGGATGGAAAGGACGATGGTGACAACGAGGATACACTTGGTGTTGATACACGCCTTGCTGCAGTGATGGACCGTGCTCTTCAGAATGCTTGGATGACTGGAACAGACGAGGCTTTTTCCCAGCTGCTCTACCACATCCTCTCAGACAACATCCCGGGTAGTACAATGCAGCTGTGTTATATTATGTGACTTCGTACGTTGGTCATACATGTACAGGACTTTCACGATTGTTTTGCTATCTGCTTGTCTGTAGTTGAGTACCACCATAGTGAAACAAGCGCCACAGCACTGATGTTAGCTGCTGGACGAGGCAAGGTGGAAATAGTGGAGGAGCTGCTGTCTCTCGGGGCCGATCCCTTGACTCGAGCATCAAACGACTGGACTGCCCTCGATTGGGCACAGCATTTTCACCAGTCAAATGCAGCGGAAGTCATTCTGGCTCACTTGTGAGTGCCAGCCCTGTGGCCCTTCCTTTGTTCTTTAGTTGTCTTCCTCATTTTTTCTTTTGACCACCCCGAAGCACAGTGAAACCACCCTGAAGCACTCGAGTGAAAGCACAGTGAACTGCCAAGCTGGCATAACAGTAGTGTTCATACATCCTACTACAATATACCTTCATTAAATGGAAAACTTAAGATGCAACTGTCTATTTTCCTTTTCCCTTCGCATCCTATTCAACAAGAGACTACTGTACCTTAAAATTTTCATAAAGCTTACGAATAAAAGGGTTTTTAGGGAAATAAAGTAGGAGACTTGCCTGTAAAGTTTTTTTGCTACATTATTAGTCTGCATTTTCTGTTTGATGTCCTTCCATGGTGAAAATATGTAAGATATATATGCTTGCTTCAAAAAATTTACACAGACTTGGCTCAAGGAAGCTGGTGAAATTGGCATCAGCAGTGTTGCCTAAAAGTCACTGCAAACCCAGAAAAATATTGTTGCTTGTCAGCTCCTGCTGCTCCAAATTTACTGTTGTTGAAGATGTTGGGTGTGATATGTCATAGAACATGTTTTATATGTGCAGAAAATAATGTATTCTTGGTCAATGTGTTCTTTCTATTTGAAGTCTACGTCACAAGATATCAACAATGCAGGTCTATGTCTACTGTTAACTTGGCACATCATGAATACTATACAGTTGACGCTCATTTATCAGAACCTGAACAAATCAGGAAAATGTTCTTTGTTCAAAAAAGTTCGAACACTCGGAGAGGAACAGGGGTGCAGTATAAACAGAATACAGGCAAACCTCATTATAACAAAGTTACATCTTACACAAAAACAAGTTTGTTATATCTAAAAATTTGTTATAAAAGTATATTCCTATAACTGTATCTATTGGAAGAGTATTTTTTCATTTCCTTCATTATAACCAATACAGTCGACGTCAGATTTGTCGGACGCCCGAAATTCCGGACATGCCTAATTTCCCGAACTCATCTGTGGCACCGTCAAGTTCCCCATGGAGTCAGTGAGTAAAAAGTGCAAAATTCCGGGCGTTTATAGCTTTCGTCATCCGATTTTCTGGACTTTTTACCGCTAACCACACACTCAAAGTCACTTCGTACCCTCGAACTCACTGCACAGCGGCTGCCGTACGCTCAAAACTGCAAATGCTGCAATCCAGTGCACACCAATTTGTTGCCAACCATAGCTTAGTCAAACCTGTGGCCACAGCAGTATGGTCAGGCATGGTGCTGTGCAGCCTGTGCTTCGACAGTGTGAAGAGCTACACTGTTGACCTATCGTCTGCCGCCGGCACTTGCGGACTCATGGAAGGTGGTTATGCAACAGACCCTCCGGAATTGTTTTCGCCATGCAAGTTCCGTACTGGACGCTGAGATGGCTGTCTCGCTCGGAGTGGACAGCGTGTGCAACAAACTTCCACCCGCAAACGTGGCCTTGGATGATTTTAACGTTGCCACTGTTTCGATTGCAATTGCGATAACATTTGAGGGTTTCACCGATGCTGATGAAGAAATTGAGCTGTGTGCCAAATTGAACGACGGCGAAATCATTCGTCAAGTTACGGAGGATTTCGACAGCTCCGAGGTCAAAAAGGCCGCGTCTACACAACCAACGAGCTCGGAGTTGACGCGAGCACTGACACTGTCATTGGTATACAACGACAGCATGACGTTAGCTGAAATTAAGGCAGACATCATTGCGGGCAAGTGGAACGCCGTGAAAACGAAAATATGCAACTTTCTTATTGCATCTAAGTGTTTACTAAAACGGTAACTCCAGCCGCATTGTATCTTTATTTCTTTTCTTTCTTCTGTTTTTTTTTAATATAAACTGCTCTTTTGAAAGCACCTAAACGATTCATTGGTTGAATTGCGATAGGAATCCTGTACTCCTGCTTTGACCCTCTTCGTCAGCGAAAAATAGCCTCTTTAAAAAGTGTATTTTCGCTTGCATTTGTTTTTTTGGTCTGCCCAATTTTCCGGACGTTTCCGTGGTCCCTTGAGGGTCTGTGAAATTGGATGTTGACTGTATTTTGCTATATCCAGGCTCATTATATCGCGGTTTGAATATCTGACGGAGTTGTTCCATTTAACCTGCAGTTATTTTTAAAGGGTTTTGGTTTACTCGGAGCCAACTGCAGTATGTGTATGATATTTTCATTAGCATAGTAGTGGCTATTTTGCTCAGGACTGCTTGGTGGTATCAAGGTTGTAAGATTACAGGCGTGGTTTTTATATTTATTGGCCACTTCACTGTTTTTTTTATTACCAGAAGCTACAATCTTTCAAGAGCTGGCTTGCTGATTTAATCAACGATATTAAAAGAAAAAAAGTTTTAGCCACCTGTAGCTACGTGCCCTTGATCTTCGGAACTGTCTCTTGTCACAAGCATTCCCTTGTGTTCCTGTGTTTTATTTTTCAAATGTTGGGCATGTCTTTCCTTCCTGAAGGTTGGTCATGCAGAGCGGCCTCCCAAAGTCTGATGACTATGGTAGCGTTGCTGAGCAGGAGCTAACAGCCGAAGAGCGTGAGCAGCTGGACCTGTACCTTCGTACGACCAACGACGATGAGACCGACCTGGACCTAATGCTAGCCCTTATTCAGAAAGTCCACTTGAGTGCTGAAGATGGTAAGCAACATTTCATTGTACACTGTTCGACAAGACACATGAAAGTTCCTGTATGGTACAACTTTATCAGTAATCATCCCTTGGGCTGGCTTAGTCTTTCCTTGGAGTACTGATGTTACTGTGCAGTATACTGCAACCAGTACCTCTTTTGAAAGTTAATTGATCTAGTCCTGCTTCCTAGTTAATTGAAAATACTAGCAATCCACAATAAGCAACCCGGGTCACAGCGGTATTGTAGCGTATGTTTCTTCCTTGTGGCAACGTGCTGAAGTCCTACTGTTACGCAGATCGGGTAACAAACAGATGTTAATAAACTACTACTAGCTGCTTTCTCTGACTTCTCACTCGACCCTGCTGATGAACCGCAGGTTGCGGGTTCGAATCCCGGCTGTGGCGGCTGCATTTCCGATGGAGGCGGAAATGTTGTAGGCCCGTGTGCTCAGATTTGGGTGCACGTTAAAAAACCCCAGGTGATCGAAATTTCCGAAGCCCTCCACTACGGCATCTCTCATAATCATATGGTGGTTTTGGGACGTTAAACCCCACATATCCAATCCAATGACTTCTCACTCGTGTAAACTACTCAAACACATAGCTTACAAACATATTGTAACGCGGACTGAAAGAGCGAAAAAGAAGAAGAGGTTGGACGTTCTCGAGCGATGGTGATTCGGCAGTGACGGTAGAACGCTGACATTTTTCAGTGTAAATAAACCCATCACAACCGTAACAGCTTTGGTGGAGCGGTGCTGGGTAACTTGCCATCCTGGACCCCGCAGCAGAAGTTCTTCGAAGAAGCAGACGCTTAGCTGGCCTACCCCCGGACAACATCAGCACGAACGACACAGCAACCCATTGACGTACTACGCTGCTGCATCCACCAGTGCCACCGACACGGCACAAGGTGGCCGTCGACCTCTACAACCAGACTACTAGGCGCCTGAGCCACGAATATTTTCAGGTAAAACTGACGAAGACGTGGACGCTTGGCTGAAACATTTCGACAGAATGAGCCGCTACTACGAATGGGGCGTGCCGGCGAAACTCGTGAACGTAGTATTCTTCCCTGCCGGGACAGCGTTGCTTTGGCTTGAGAACCGCGAACATGTCCTCCCCACTTGGGATATATTTGTTAAGGAACTGAAGGCCTGCTTTGGGGACACAAGTTCCATGAAAAAGAAAGCTGAGCAAACGCTGTCACGTAGGGCTCAGTTGCCCGGCGAAACGTGCACAACCTACATTGAAGAAATATTGAAGCTTTGCGGGATTGTCAATGCAAATATGTCTGACGAAGACAAAGTCGGTCATTTGTTAAAGGTATCGCCGAGGACGTGTACAATTCTTTGATAATAAAACAAAACTTGAACACTCCTTCTATTTTCAGACAGCAGTGTCGCGCATTCGAGGCGTTGAAGACCCGGAGAATTTTACCCAAGTTCGGGCGCTTGGACAATGTTCCCACTGTTGCAAGTATGGACATCGCCGCCTGCGAAGACATTCCCTTCCTCGTATGTGGGTTAGTTCGAGAAGAGCTCGTACGACTTCAAGCAGGTGAGGTTCACTACCAATGCTCGTTCGCCGCATGCCCCGAACCACCTCCCTACTGAATGCGAGAGCGCCACGTCAAGAACCGATTTAAGTACATAAATTGCAGATTTCACCTCGCGGCTTCCGTTTTCCCCGACGGGTCATGGCCACCACGGGATGTCATCTCGACGTGCTGCTGCGGACCTCCGGCCATCATCAACCAGGCCTCTACCAGAAGATTACTATGCATCATCACAAAATGTTCCTGCGGAGCACGACCCGTCTCCGCGTACTTCTGCCACCTCTGCTCCTGCTAATGTAACCCAACAAGTCCCCGTTTGCTACACGTGCGGTCTCTCAGGGCATATTTCGCGCTTATGTCCCAGACAGCCGCCTGCACCACCACGTTTTTCGACATATCCGGCTCGTATGTACGAAACGCCTGTGCCGCCACGTTTTTCGACGTACCCACCTCGTATGTACGAAACCTGGACCTCTCACCGGGCCGACCACCGTCCCCGACAGCAATGGCCTAATGAATTTCGCAGTGAGTCCCCCGCCTCCGAGCGAAGCCTGACGTCGCCTTTGACACGGTCCCGCCGGTCGCCGTCTTCGCGTCGTCGGTCACCTTCCTTGCATCAGCTGGGAAACTAACTGGTGCGACCGATGTAGGTGCCATCGCGGGACGGCGAGTTTCGCCAATTCCTCCTTCTGCTGTGATGTTGATGAACAAAGTGCGTGTGTGTATAGACGGTGTTGTATCGTTTAGCTCAGAGACAAGACAACGATGAACACTTGGCTGGGCCTCGCCATGACGAAAGACCCCTGGCCGTTTATTTGCTGGGCTTAAGTAGCCGCGCTCACAGCGGGAAAGGGGGAAAGAAAGAAAAGGAAGGAACGTAAAGCGTACTAAACGGTGGAGAGGAGGAGAAGACGATATCGCCTAGGGCGAATGCTGATAGCAGATAGTCCGGTCTGTTACATCTTCTCTTCACACATTTTCAAAACACTGATTTCTTTTGCACTCATTTACTTGATGGAAGGATGGCCCGTAGTGAAGGCGCTTCGGTTCGCTGCGCTGGCGTCCTGACCTGCGCAGGCCAGCCAGTGGGCTTCCTGGAGTGTCTGGAGAAATGGTGGCGCTATAATCTTCTTCTGGCTGAGCTGGTTGCACCTGGTGACACCCCAGTGGGTTGTCCGGCGTGATGTTGCCGCGGTGTCCATCACTGAACTTCGTCGGGGGCCTCGCGTCGGGGTTCGGATTACCCTCGGGGCTGACCTTGTCGTTGCAGTTTTCGTCTGTTCGCAGCAAGTGCTGTCGGTTCCGTCTCAGGAGCCCATGGTCTTCCGTTTTTACCACGTATGATCGTGGTGCAGTCTCTCGTACCACTTTCGCTCGGCGTGACCAGCTTCCATGTTTGATCCGCACCACATTTCCAGCTTCCAAGGGTGGTAGTGGCCTGCCTCGGGAAGACTGTCGCTGTTTCCATACGGGTATGCCTCCGTCGACGTTGTATTCTGGAAGAGTGGCGTGCAGGCGACGACCTTGCAGTAGTTCTCCGGGTGAGTGACCGCTGTCAAGGGGAGAAGATCGATAAGCCAACAGACCAAGCCATACATCACCCCGGGACTCGTGGGTTTTCTTTGGAATACGCTTTACGATCTGTACCCCCTTTTCAGCTAAGCCATTTGATCGTGGGAACTCTGGACTTGAGGTGATATGCTCGAAGTCATATCGGCGCACGAAGGACGCGAACTCTCGCGATGCAAATTGAGGCCCGTTGTCAGTGCAAACTTGGTTGGGAATGCCGTATCGCGAGAAGATAGCAGATATCTTGTCGATTACTTCCGCCGCCGTGGTACCTCTGAGTTTCTCGACGTCAGGAAAGTTAGAATGGGCATCAAACACAACTACGTAGTGTTCTCCAGCGAATGTAAATAGGTCTATGCCTACGCGATGCCACGGTCGGTCGGGCGTTGGCTGTAGCAGGAGGGGTTCACTCGGTTGACTGTATGCGTACTTTCGACATATGCTGCACGTTCGCGCTCGTCGCTCAATGTCACTGCTCATTCCCGGCCAGAAAACCATTCTACGGGCTCTAGCTTTGCACTTGTTCATACCTAAGTGGCCTTCGTGAATTCGCTCAAGAATTTCCGCACGCATTGGTTTAGGCACCACAACTTTGCAACCCTTTAGCACCACTCCATTGACCACGGATAGCTCTTCCGCATACGGTTTCAGTACACCGTCTATTGCCATGCCATCTTCCATTTGTTTCATGGTGCGGCTGAGAAGCGGATCTTCGCGGGTTTCCTTCTGCAGCCGCAACATAGTCGCTTTGCTTATGATGCTGGTGACTACTTGCGTTGTGTGGACGTCCACGTCCTCGACTTGGTCGCCTCCGCCAGTTGGTAGTGCAGCCCGAGACAGCAGGTCTGCGAGTAACAGGTCCCTACCAGGTACAAACTGCAACAAAAAAATCATATTTCATAAGACGGATGAAAAACCGCTGTATCCTGGGTGGCATATCTGCAATGTTCTTTTCGGCAATCGCAAGTAATGGCCTGTGATCAGTTTCTATCGTAATGCTTCGTCCATACACGAACTGATGAAATTTTTCACAAGCGAAAACAATTGCCAGTGTTTCCTTTTCTATCTGGGCGTATCGCTCTTCACTCGGCGTCAGCGCTCTTGAGGCGTAGGTCACTGGGCGCCAGTCATCCCCGTGTCTTTGCAATAAGGCAGCGCCAATACCGGTTCCTGAAGCGTCCGCAGTTATCTTAGTGTCTCTTTTTTCATCAAAAAGAGCCAGCAATGGAGGATTAGCAAGCGCTGCGCAGATCTGGTCCCATTCGCGCTCATGGGTTGTTGTCCACTCAAACACCGATGCTTCTTTCACCAGGCTACGCAGCAACACCGTTTTATCACTCAAAGCTGGCAGGTATTTCTGAAAGTAGTTCACAACCCCGAGTAACCTGCGCACACCCTGTTTATCTTTTGGGGCTGGCATGGCACGGACGCTTTCGATTAGATCGGGGTCCGGACGAATTCCGTCTCTTCCGATAACGTCGCCAAGGAATGCAACCTGCGTGGTGCCGAACACGCATTTAGCTGGATTAAATGTCAGCCCTTCCTCTTGCGCCCGCCTTAGTACAGCGATGACGCGTTCGTCGTGTTCTTCCTTTGAGTCGCCCCATATTAAAACGTCGTCTACGTAGACGCGCACTCCCGGCAGCCCTTCGAACATTTCTGTTAGTCTTCTGGAACACCTCGCTGGCTGAGGAAATTCCGAAAGGCAGACGCAAAAAACGGTACCGCCCAAATGGTGTCGCAAAAGTGCATATTCGTGAAGTGGCCTCATCTAAAGGAATCTGGTGAAAGCCGGCATTAGCGTCGAGCCGGGAGAAATATTGTGCTCCTGCCAGCTCGCTCTCTATGTCCTCTCTTGAAGGGATAGGATAGTGCTCCCGCT